AGTAGCAAATAAAAAGAAAAGGCTGAGCCAGCATGATAACTCCAATGTAAACAAGGGGTATTCCGACCGAAACAACAAAGGCTAAGAATAAGAAAACGCAAAAAGAAGAGAAAGAATAGTTTCCACAGGATATAGTTTACCGGTATGGGCATAGATATTTGTATCGGGTATGGTATCCGTGCTCTCCTTCATAAGTAGGGTAGGACAAAAGTTAACGGCGTAGGAGTCGGTCTGATCTATGTTGTCTCCCTCTTACTTCTGGCAAAGCGAAAAGTGACAACAAAACAAAGGGAAAAAATAACAAAGGGAATTTTTTATAATTTGGCCCGTGTCTCTCATCCTATATTATTGGGTAGTTTTGTGCCCATTCTTCGGAATTCGTTTATTGCTATGTCATTTCTTCCATTCGTATCTTCGAATTCGATTCTTTTTTTCTTTCTTTTTTTTCTTTCTATTTGTGTGTAAACCGTACATCACTTCACATTAGGGAGTTAAAAGGAAGAATTAGTCATTGACCATATCTCCTAGAGCCATCTTGTGTCTTTTTATAGGTCGAGATTCTGAGGCCTCTTCCTTCTCCTTTGCTGCTGAGTTTTTATCTTCCAGGGCTGGCTGAGTATGCGAAGTCAAAAAGCTGGATTTGCCTTGTGGGACAGTTCCTTGTTGCAGAGGACGGTATGGATCCAATCGTCCTCGACCGGACGGCCCGGAGGAAAAAGTGACTGGCTGGAAGGGAGGGTGCGCCGGCAGGGAGCGGTGGTCTTCCAACTCTTGGGCATGATCATCCCGCCCTGGGTTTGGTCGCCCTGGTTGTAAAGACAATAGGGATGGCGCCTGAGTTGGTACAGGTGGCCGTTGGATACCCTGAGTAAACTCGAATTCTGACCCCCTTTTTGACGGCATAAGAGGTGGTAACTGTATTTGTGATTGGCCAGGACTCGAGAATGGGTAGTTCCGCGCACTGCTGGGAGCAGATAAGGGAGGACTTGATAGCGGCCCGTGCGCAGATCCCGGTCCTCCGAAATACGCAGATCCGGTAGGGGGCGGAGGCCTATGACGTCGTTGGTATTGGCGAGGGGGCTGGTTCGGTGGTATCCTTTCGCCATAGAAAGGGGGGATGGAGCTTGACACATCTCGATATTCTGGAGTAAATGTGGAGGACGATACCGCGCCAGGTGAAAATAAAGGGCTATTATGGGTTGGGGATCGCTGGGACGAACCGCTGGAAAGCGCCATTTGACTAGAGAACGGGCTTGGAATAGCTGTTGATGTATGAATCCCCCGTGATGGATCTGGAGGAACCCACATGTGGGGATTAGGCATCGCGGGATTAGGCATTGGCGGCCCATATTCCACCCCAACCTCACTAGACCTCCTAGGTAGTCGTACTTCCGTGATCGGGCGAATTTCCCGAGAGGAAGAAGTCCGTCTGTGGCCATAGAATTGGGATGCGGGCGAGGAACTTTGCGGCTCAGGGCATGATACTCCTGAATGACTAAATGTGGGTTCGTATGGTTGCAGCGGTCCCTCTTCAACTTTTAAAGGGGGTCTGCCTCGTCGTTTGTGTCTGACGTCCACACAAGATTCCTATTTGGAAGTCATTCATTAGTGCCGAATATTTAGTGGGCTTGACATGGAAATTGTTCAGTACAGCTGTGATAAGATTAAATTCTACAAGATTGCTGCAGTTCCCAAAGTAAATTTCCGTCTGAACTTACTTCTTTTCCCGCCGAAATACATCTTCGGCATGGGCGTGCCGAGTCGCATCCAAGATGTTTCCGTTTGCAATTCACGCATGCCGAGGCGACATGAGCTTTTGCTCTACGTGTAGATCTAGGGGGAAGCGTGGTGGTTCTTGGGGGTAGAAGAGATCCAGACTGAAGAGTATGCTGGAGTTGAGGGCCATGAATCGCGGGCAGCCCGATGATAGACATGCCTGGCTGCCCGGTGGGTAACCGTTGTGAGTCAGGGAGAATTGCACTAAGTCCCGGGGCTCTTGCTGGAGATTCCGCGTAAGATAAAAGCGGCTGTACATTGCCATGAGTAGTGGACGTAATGGGTGAGTTGGAACGTTTTCGGCGCCTGTCTCCAAGGAGTGAATCGAAACGACTTTCAGGCGAGGGGGTTCCGGACATAGGGGGAGAGAGATAGGGAGCCCGAAGGTTGGGATTGCAAGGCTCGCCTGACAGATTCAAATTTAAAGGGAATCTCAGAGGATCGGAGCTTGACCCGTGGGCTTGTCCGAATGGCGTGAAGGGGAGGGGGAGCCCGGTAGATCGTAAGGAGTGCATGAGGTTCACTTTTCCCAATCCAACGTCTGGAACTATAGAAGATAGATAGAAGGGTTAAATGGCCGGCAAAGCCCGTATAAGGCATGGAAAACCAAAGAGACAACCGACTCGGATCTGGACTATCGCATAAAGGGCGGAAGCATGAAGACCCAATGGTGCCGATCATGAATCTCGGTGTGAGCAAACACCATGGAATCTTCCGCTCATGGAAAACGCGAACTCGATCCGCCTAAAGGTTCATCAGCTCCGGCCGAAATTCCCTAGATCTGTCACATATGACACCCGAAGGTAGATAGTGGTAACAATCCAGCCTAAGGCGATCAGACAAGAGAACAGTTCAAAAAACTGTCACAGCCGTCGCTGGACGTAACTTTCCAAGTTATTGAGGAAGAGACTCCCACGATGAGGTATGACAGGCTCGAAATGAAATAATAAGAAAATGGAACACACAAAAGCTAGCTGGCAAGGGCTGTACGGGTGTGCGTGCAGCTGTTTAAGGGTCCAATTGATTGCTATCGCATCTCTGAATTCGCCACTGAGCGACGCCAAATCTGGAGACACCTTTCGGAGACTAAAGTTCAATGATTGCCAGATTGAACGCTACCATCGAAGGAGGCGCAACTAGGAAAGGATGCGACGACTAAAACAAAATAGGGAAAGGCAAGAGATCCGTTCAAAGAGGCAGAATGGAGGGGAAGGAGGCAAAAAAATAAAATACAAAAATACAAAAACAGTAGGAGATAGAAAGAAAAAAAAGGAGGAGTAGTGAGAATAGTTGGTGGCTAACTCTAGAGATGTGTTTTGAAGTTATGGAGAAGCTGAGTTGGTCAGAGAGAGAGAGAGGTGCCCAGGTGGATTTAGTAGTAGAACGGAAGATGAGGACATTATTGACCTAAGCTCCGGCTGAATCAATCAAGCCTTCGCGATCATCTCCGGAAGTGTATGGTTATCATAATACTATTATCCATCATGCAGGTCATAGCAAGGCAGGGTCCGGGAGCATACGCCTGAACTTGAAGAGAAGAGTTGTCACGCTCGAGCGGAGCATCTGCCTCGTACTGGGATTCCCCCAGTGCTAATCTCGGACGATGGAGGGTGGATCCTTTTAGTGAGCTTTCATTAATATTTAGGGGTGGCGTTGGGAGGAAGGGAAGATTCGGTATGGCCCCATGGACTCAGTAGTGGATTAACGCTCCCCCCCCACACCCATTGCTCCAGAGGTTGTCAGGAAAAAAGTGGCAAGGGGGATACCAAACCTCCCCGATAGTGATTTGCTACAATGAGCTTCATTTTGCCAACGTTTCCAATTTGCTCCGCAGGAGGTAGTATCCGTTGTGGAGAGCATGGCGGGTGCAGGTTCTGCAGGACGCACACATCCAGGAAAAAATGACCCGACTAATTTTGAAGTTGAAATAATAGATAGGCGGTAGATTGGTACTAGTGAGCTGCTCGCGAGTTGGATCATCATCCTCTAACATTCACGTTCCATGCCAAACGCAGACTGGGTGGGCTAGCTCGAAAAGAGTGACCGAGCTGCGGCGAGCGCCAACTTGGCAACAGGCTTCCTGATGGGTGAGTCGTCGTCCTGATCTGCTGTCACGTCGATCATCTTTGCATAACACCAGGCGGACAAATAGCAAAAAGACTAAAATAAAAAACCTAGTCCAATCACAACACGGCCTGGCGACCCAGAGCTTCCACTATTTACTTTTTCGTCGAACGGGAACGCTGAGCAATGGTAGTTTACCTCTGGCTGGCTGGCTGTGCTTGATCGAGACAACTGGATCTTGGGCTTTGGGCCTTTTGACGCCGAGAGATGCAAGTTTATCACTTCAAGCAGGGAATGGCCGGCAGAGTGGTGGCTTGCATGGGTCTATTATTATGGTTTGGTCGAAGGTTGCAGCTGTCAGTAGTGACACCCAAACCGAACAAGGAACACTGCACACTGATTCAAGGCAAGCATGGACGAGGAAGTTCCTGTGTGATACAGTCTAGAAGAGAAGAATAATGGATATTTCTTACATGCACAATAGAATATCTCCAAATGGACTATTATTGTGGTATGTTATGTTATGGCTGTAGGCTGAAACCGCAATAATATAATATAATTGTTCAAAGGACGAAGAAAACCCAAAAGAAAAAAACTAATTAGGGCTTGTTGGCCAGAAAGGGAAGTTACCTAGTTAACATACCTAGGCAGGGGGTAACTTAACAACGACCAATAAGGGTGGTACCTAGCGCCCGCTGGTAAACTCCACTAACGTCGAGGTACCTAATTGTGGTAGTAGGTACGCTTGTGGTGGATACAACGTGAATTACGCTGCGTACTGTACTGCGATATTCAAGCTTTCGAGAGGAATATCAGGAAAATCTTTGTGAACCTTCCGTGAAGTTGCAGAGTCGCTAAAGTGGTCGTGTTTTCGGTGTTTTCGGTGCTTTTGCTCGTTCAATAACTACGATTCCTTCTTCATACCAGGGAGTCAGCTATCCTCCTCGAGCACTACCATAAGCCACCCCGCCCCGTCCTAAATTGAGAATTTATCAGACTGATGATGCCTTGTGTTGAACATTTTCGTTACTTTTTCGAATGTCTCCTTCGAATATTCATGGACACTAAAATAATATCATTGTTTTGAGTGCTGTGAGGATAATTCGGTGCCAATGAAAACCAAGACCAGTACGCAAATTCCTGCGAGGTATTTTTCAACCATGGCCAATGAAGAGAAGTACTTCGAGGGGATGTACGGAGTAACTTACTGTGCTGCACTTTAAACCCTTGAAGACAATGCAGTTCCCTGTTATCTATCTACTGTAGCTGCACCCCGCCAATATACATGCAAAAATAATTTCTCGTTCAACGAGCATAGCTTTCTAGAAAGCACATCACGGGCAACTTTTCATGTGGCTTGTTTTTGGCTGGAATCGGGACGATGATGATATCAGTAGCTATTCGATCCAACCACCTAGAGTGTTTCTAGACCTGTCTATCACGAACTGCAGGATGTTAAATATGATCGCCGCCAAAAAAGTTAGTGGACCCCGCAAACTGTTTTCCGAGCCCGCTGTGATCTTCCGTTCGAACCTCTCATCCCCGTTCAGAAAATGCACTGACCAGCAGTAGTAGCAACGAATGTAAGGTGTCATTCCCATTGCTGAGGGGGAAAAAAGGTTCGAACTTTCCAGAAGTGTTTGCCGAAATCAAATATGATTTCCTCCACGGCGCGCTGGCTCTCAACTGCCCGTGATGGACGGTCGTCACGGATTCCCACAAATGCAAACAGACTGTGGCGCGTTCGGATGCTTCCATGTTATCAAGCCGTATCTGTCAACGTGCAGCCAGGAAAAGCAGGGTAACTCGCCAAAAGACCGGATCGACTGCAGCGTCCCTTTGGCTCCAAGAAGAATAAAAATAAAAAGCAAGGAAGGAAAACGGAAGAACCGTCCAACAAAAATTGACTCGACCAGTAACTCCAGTCAAAAAACATCATGACATCTCAGGTTCAGATATCTCTAACCGCAGTCGCCGGCTGAAAACACATTTTCAAGGCTGCGGCCTTCATAGTCGGTGAGCCAACAAGCTTTTGGCAACTCTCGCATTACCCGACTGGCCGCGTAGAATTCAGGTATCACATGTGCGCATCTCTGAAATGCGTGGAAAGTAAGTCAATAATAATGTGGCTGCCTCCCTTGGTTGTTTATGCTCACTATTATTGCATATGCAGGTGGAATACAGGGACCAGAAACGCATGCACGCACGCACGCCCCTCAACTAGAGTTGTTGGACTCGGTTAATCCGGAAGTTTCCCCAGGAGAAAAACCATGTGAACCACGGATGGGGAAGGGCAAATATCCAGTATGTACATGTACAGTACGTTCGTCGTTCGTATGCACCTGCTATACCGGTCAGTCTCCCGCAATTTTGAGAGTGGCGCATATTCTTAGAGCAACTGCCAGGAGAAAGGAACGGAAAGCTCATCATTCCTGAGCTCTGAACCAGAAATTCGCTCAAACATGCCAGATATTGTGAAATAATTGTTACTTTCTAGTTCTGTAATGCATTGATCTAAGTCCGGAGTTAGATTGCTGGGCCTATCCTCCAGAGACTTAACGATTTCACCCGATGAAGAATATAAAATAATGTTCCGTGCCTAGATAGATCCCTGCACGCCGGGTTGTATGTACAGAACATGTATGTAAGTTACTTTACCGGATCCATCACAGCCAAATATGAGGCCTGTTTAAATACGCTGATATATCCTTAGGGAGCCGTCCGTACCCATGACACACACACAGCACTTAGTTTACTGGAAGATTCACTCGCACGTAAGGATGAGATCATGATTGTATTCCCGAGACATTGCTGATAGTCCATGCAAGGTAATTCCACTTTTAGTTTTTCGAATTAACCGCAGATGGAGGGAATACACACAATTAGTCAAAATGGGGAATATATCTTCATGACGCCAACACACCGAGTCTCTTCTGAAATTGTCCAGAGTCCCTAAACTGATATCAAGTTTCTACTCTTTCGCAGGTGAGAACATCATGTCCTGCTCGCTCAAAACCGGGCACTAAGGCTCAAGTTGAAGTTTTATGCCATGCCATACACCGACATAACAATAATAATAATGGTTCATCTTTGTCACATCTTTGAGAAGCAAATATAGCTAAGCCCCTTTTGCTGGCGCTCGCCCTTATGTATTGATCTTCAGGGTATCCATGGGTCAGCATGTTTCCCTTTCTCCCTCAGTCACTGGTATCAGATCCCTCCCACTTGTGATTGATTGCCTGCGCTGGTTCATGTGGTCCCAGCGTTGGGCCGCCCTCGCTTGAATACCTTATTGTCCTTGGCCTATCACGGCAAGCCAGCCGCTGGCGAATTGGCATGCAGGAATTATGATTATTCATCTCGGCAATTCTCAGGGATGTTTGGCGATGTAGCCCAAAGAAACAAAGCTTGATAATCCCTGAAACAGGAGGATTGTTACTGTCTTGGGACCAGAAACGGGAAAGTGGACACTAGACAGCACCTCCCACTAAAATTTATGCAGTATTTTGCTTCGGATGAGATAACAATGCAACGTCCGCAGCTGGACGGCCCAGTGTTTTGGTGTCTCCGATGTCGTTGCAACGAGCGGATATTGGCCCCCTTTTTTTTTGAGTATTGTTAACATGGCTTCGTATCGCTAGTTAAATACAGCAAAAATGGACTGTAAATAAAGCACATTTTCTGTACAAACCAGTTTCGAAGATGTTGAGCGAGGCATGTACGCAGCGTAGAGATGCACGGGTATCCCTAACTTATCAAGCTGGGCCCTTCTATGAAATCTTCTCCTCTCGTAAGACGAACGGCCAGCCCTTCATCCAAAAACATGGCAGGACCTAACGGTGAAATCGTCGATAGAGGCGTGGCAGCGCATCAGCGGAAGATATATCTATCCTGGCTAGTGCTAGTCTGGGGTTCCGCTCCCAAGAGGCTCCAGGCTCCAGATATGGTTTATAGGCACTGCCAAGGGCGCGGATGGCTGGGATTCCCGTTTCTAAAAAAGGCTTCCCTTCTCCTTCAGGATTTCGCCGATCAAATGGCCTGGTTCATCAGATAATTAAACGACCCCTGGTCATTGCTTGCTGATTCTCCGAATCGTCAACCTACCAAATGCTACCATCCAAACGCCTGCGGGTCCCACCCTGTCTCGCTAGCATTCTTCACCGTTCGGAGAAAAAATACTAGGTGCGTCAGGTTGGGTACCAACCCTTATTCTTTAGCTTCTTGCCTTGATGAATCGATTGGGTTTCAGAATATGAACATACCCCACCAGTGCGCTCATATCTCCTCCTGGAAATTTCTCCGGAGCGTCTGATGTCTCCCCCTCCACGGGAATGAGCTCCACGTCAGGAAGATTCCGTCAGGCCCAACTATTTATTCCGAAATTCGTAGCTGTCCCGACTTGCTCAATTATTTTTAGAGGTAGACGAGACTCCCTCAAGAATTACCCGAATTGTGTTCGGGGTTCTCTTGCTAGGACTTGTTGGAAGCTTGCAGTGAGATCTTTATCGTTGCCTCGGGGAGTTACATACATGCCTGATACTGAAGTCAGCCGCAGTTGAGTTAGTCGAAGTGCCCCTGATATACGACAATAACTTCACCGAAGCAAGCCACGCAAGAGCCTCAGAGAACGATGATTCAGTTTGTCTCAGCTGAACTGTCCACTGCTCTTCAAACTTTGAAACTTAAGCTTCTTCCATGTATATATAGATGTGATTCAAAACACCGAGGCAGTGTGGGGTTTGTCCATGGGCAGCTGTGGCTCCTATCCAGAGCCAATGGAGAGACGGAACCAGCAATAGTTAGCTATACCTCAGCATACTAATAAAGGTTAGTTAGGCAAACAGGTGAAAATAATTAGTACAGTCTGTGTTAATTCAGCCATCATTATTGGACAATGGAGTTAGGGGAAATCTGTGGAAACCAGAAACCACAGTTCGATCGCCCTACATGTCTGATATCCACGGCATCGACTTCAACCGCTAAGCTTCGATAGCGGTGTTCCAACCTGGGAAATGTTGCTCAGTTGACCATACTCCTCAGCTGCCACCAAGAAATCAAAGCAAGAAAAGAAAATAAAAGAAAAGAAAATAAAAGAAAAGAAAAGAGAAAGACAAAGAGAAAGAAAATAGATATCTTCGTCGAGGCGTTGCGATGGCCGTTTCGCCACGCTGAGAGTCGAGGATGGCACTATCCGCAGCATCCCCCTTTTCAGCTCTGCGCCACACACACAAAGCGAGCCGGAGAAGATCTAAGATCTAGTTAACCTTCAGGCCAAGCTGGAAAGCGCTTGACCCTAATTATCGACGAATAAATCTTTCTTCTTGACCATATGCATACGTCTTTTCAGCCAGCCCGCCTCCTGCATCAAAGCTATCACAAGCTGGATCCAAGCATTATCGAGCAGCTATATGATGCCCCGGAAAGTTGAAGATGGATCGCTTGAAGCATACGCAGCATAAGGGTGGCGAATCTATGAAAGGGTTGAGCTGATAGGATATCCTTCCATTTTTTATTCTGTGGAGACGGAGCTACTTCTCCATCACGAACCCCTTTCCAGCCAACCTTTCATCTTCTTTTTTGATATACTGCTGTGGCAAACAACTAGTAGCTAGGATCTACGTCTTCCGTTAATGCCGGGATACATAGGCCTCTCCAACGGTACTCAACTCTTGCTTGAGATATCCAATGCCTAGCTGACGAATCGCGGAGAGACAAGCTGTTCCCAGAGGCTTGCATCTCGACGTGAGAAGAGTGCCAAAGAGCCGAACGGCCTATTGGCTTGGTTTCTTTTCAAGGTGACGTCCTAGCATTTGGGATTGTTGGCGCATGCTCATATTCTCTCCAAATCGTCCTTGAAGAACCTGTTTTGGCTAGAGAATTCCTAGTATCCGTGCGGTTTTCAACAAACCGATTACCAGCCAGCGTGAACCGGCAACTATTTTCATAAGGGCTGGTGGGCATTTTTCTTGCTAGCCCTTACTCCTCAGGAGCTCGAGGGGGTACAAGCAGGATGCCCATGAGGCATCTGTCCCCAGCTCTGTGTTAGCTATCACTTTGTTCCGAGGCCTTCAGCGAGATGAGACCAAACGCACCATGCCATCGTAACGATGATTCACACAGCTTTTACAAATTTCTTTCCACTATCTTGTCTAATGCCCTATTTCCCCCAATAAGATTGGATGAGATTCCCGTGGTGAACAGCAATACAATGGTGAATTTTCTGCCAACTTCAAGTGCAATGGGCTATGGATATGATCGCAGCTTAAACAGACAACTATGAACTTCTCTCTCTATGACCCCGTTTTCTCCAACATGTCGATACCTAGGAGCACGATTAATTCCCTAATCTCCACTATGGAGTTCGCCCAGGGTGCTTGCTGCCCCGTCTCCACCCGTTGACTTTTCTAAAATAATTATTCTGGAATATCAGAAGTCAGGCGCAATGCGCGCACGGTATTCTTAGGTCTATGAGCGGATGGGATGGGTATAAATGCATCGGCTGCCGCTGACATGGCAGACAGCATTCTCAAATTCAGCCTCACAGGAGGCCCTTTCCACCCCCTTGAGGGCAGAAGGCAGAATGGGTAATTGTCAGAAGCCTTTTTTTTTTTTTTTTTTTTCCGATGCCCTATATTTGATGAGACGAGCATTCTTCATTTACCCTCCTCCTCGATGTTCAATGCTTTGCACCCCAAGCCCTGCTCTCGTCGGCTTGAAAGGAATCATGCTTATTAGCAGAGGGACAGATGAAATGCAGAAACTGAAACAACAGGGAGAGAGAATGGCACTTCCGAAAGTGGCCTCTCGGGACAGCTCAAACAAACCTTTCCCTCTCGAAACAATACTCTGCAAGTTGCGAATTAGCGGGAGGTTGGAATCAAAGCGGAAAAATGTGGGAGCAAATCGTGAAGCAGCTTCGGACTTTTGACCAGGTTAGGCTGCTCAGGGATGTCGAAACTCCCCAGCTAAAGCTTCATATCATCATCATCATCCATGCCTCCCCAAAGAAAGTTTCCCGGAATAAGCATTTCAGCGCCATTTGATATTCCCAACTGGGCAACCTGTGGCTATTAATATTATAAGTTTGTGAAATCTCGCTTACTACATCACCGTCCTCTCAAGTTTCAACTTACCTGTCTCAAGCGCCTCGTAAGTCTTAAGGCTTATGTGTTCAATTTCGCTCTGCCGAGTATCCATGCTGTTTCAGATGTCATACGGGGGACTCGTGCTGCGATGATAAGAACACCCCTGCCTTGAAAATGGATCGTTCGCGAGAATGTATTCTGACAAAGCCTTAGACCTTGTTAACCCTGTTATTTTCTAACCGAGAAGCCCGCGCGCGGGTGGAATGTCTTGATTGTCCGACAACCGGGAAAAAAAAGAGCTTTGGTTCTCACCAGCTACACCTTGAATTTAACAAACAAGGGTAGTTTATCCGGGAGTTTGGCTCAGCTTCTATACCTCTGACATGAAATGAGGCTTTCTATTATTATTCAAACCGCGCTTCCTTTTCAAATCGTACCGGAAAGGTTTACAATATGCACGGTGTGAATGGGTACTAGTTAGCTACCCACTGAGTCGCTGGCCTCGGTGTTTGCCCACAACGGGAAAAGAAGCTTGGAGCAGGTCAATAGTGCTCGTTGGACCAAAAGGCTCATTCTGCGATAAAAATTAGAAATTACAAGGAAACTCGATGAGAAGAGCTCAGTTGTAACTCATGCAGTTGAGCATACGGAATTTACAGCAAGAGCAAAGAGAGCTAACTTAAGAAGCAAACTTGTCTACAGCAGTGGGTGTATATATATATCTATATATCTATATATCTAGGATTCCATGTATCTGAAAGCTGCCCGTCTTATCTTGCTGATATTACGATGTCCAAAACCCCTACTGCAACTAAACACTGCTCAAATCTTTCCAATTGGCAATTTAGATGTCATTCTCGCCATCCAGCCTTGCCATAATTGGTTTTAATGTCCGCATCTGTCATGATTTGTCGAGAAATATGAGGTTTCCATAGTGTTGATCATCCTCGCGGCCCCCTTGTTACATTATTTAGATATTATCAAGGAATAGTCAAGAGGATTCTTGACAAGAAGCCTCAGCTGTTATATTTTGAACAAGCGAAGTGCATACAGTTCTCCCTCATGACTACTATTGGTATTTCCTAGCAACGATTGGGATGGGATGGGGCCTACTGTTCAACGGGTTTGAAAACGCATCAGAATCAGAACTAGCAAGATGGTGGACGGAGCCCCACGGAAATATCATTGCGCAGTTATTTGGCCACTGATGTTCTCACTGTGTAGATTGGCAGCGTTCCGATTCCTTTGACGTGGGCATCTTGTGCGTGCCATCCGGCGTGTGTCTGTAGTCGAAGAAATCGGCTACGGATGGCAATAACATGCATTTACATGCTAGCTCTGAAGTGAGATCGTTCCATCCGACACGATGACGATATTCCATTGCGTCGCATGGGAAGGATTAGAGATTCGCTTATGTCCCCAAGAACCTGTCCAACAACCAATGCATTTGCGGAAATGATTTGTAACTGAAGAAATAGGAGCTATAATGTGACAAGATCCAGCATCCTCTACCAGAAGCCACACAAGCCAGTATCTCTCCTCGAAGCGGCGAATTGTATTTGGGGAAGCTATATTAAAGAAGATTAGCTACAAACTTGGCTGTACTCTAAGATGTATCTGCATCTTCTGCTTGTCTCTGCTCGTAGACTTTTTAAGGTCACCGCGACGGCCAGTCGGCGCATTTTCGAGCCGTACATACGGTCGGCGGAGGATAGAATAGCTCGGAACATACAAACACTGCTGCACCAAAATACCACTGTTTAATCGTGATGTGGGCGAGCATCACCATCACTCGAGGCGCAAATGTGGATAGAGAAGATATATCACGAGCTCAATGATAAACGGATAGTCTCAGGTCTTGTCAAGCCCAAAATAGGTTTCCAAAACTTCAAACCGAGGAATGAAATTGAAAAGCAGGACATCAAATCGTCGGTTTTGAAAGCCATCAAAAACATTCAGAGCATATGAAGTTTGTCCAAAGGGTGTGTTGAAGACTGGAGAAGAGCCCGCGGATTTAGGCACCTTCTGAAGTTCAATATAAATAAATGGTCACAGCAAAGAATTTAAATTATCAATTATGGCTCGAGTTAGTGCCCATTTGGCCTCTAAAATGGCAACAGTATTGTCACTGGGGATATTTGTAGGCGGCGCGGAATAAGCGCTTGAGGTGCAGTCCATACATTTAAAAAAAAAAAAAAAGAAAAGAAAGATGGGTTCATTAGCATTGAAAGTAAATCAAAATATCCATGGCTAAACAATAGGGTGGTGTATTTCATAGGAACAACCACATTCCAACCGTCTTGGCCTTCTCCTGGGAGGACTGGTCTCTAAATCGCTTCCTCTTCCGCAGTTCCGCAGCAGCCTCTCCTTCAACACCACCATCGTATCGGTCAGTGAGTAGGTCCATCTCATCCAGCGGAACAAACTTGGTCCGCTTAATCAATTTCCATGCCGCAATCATTACGATCATGACAGGTATCTGGATGTATAAGCTAACAAAATCAACTGCTTTGAATCGGGGGCTGAACGAAGACCAGCCCTGCACAAGAATGATGAAGGCGTTAAGAATTACCGATGCGTACGGCCCAAATGGGTATGTCCAATTTTTGAAGGGGAGGAAATGCTCCAGGTTTTGCCGCTTGATGGCGGCGCGGAATCGGATAGAGGCAATGCCAATCGACATCCAGGAGATTTGATTGGAAACACCAACGATGCTGAAGAAACGGAATTAGTAACGGTGTCCGTGTTTCAGCCCTTGAAACTTTTGTAAACAGTGTTGCTCTTGACTTACTTTTGTAGCCAGGTCCATAGCTGCCCAGCGCCTATATAACTAGATCCAAAGCAGAGCCCGCTGATAACGGAGGTGGCAAGCACTGCAACCCACGGAACGCGATGTCGATTTAATTTGCCCAAAAAGGCCGGAGCATGGCGATCCACAGCCAGGGAGTACATAAGTCGAGAGCCAGCGAACAAAGCATGATTACCAGCAGAGATAACGGACGTCATAATTACCGCATTTATGAAGCTGCCGGCTACCCTGCTTCCGGCCTGTTGGAAAACAATGGTAAAGGGGCTGGTTTGCGTATCCCTGTTTGCGAGATTGGGATATGTGTATGGGACGTTTAGGCCGATAATTAGCACGCCCAGGATGTAGAATATTAATATACGCCAGAAAACGTTGCGGACCACTCTCGGAAGGGTGACGGCGGGGTTTCGGGTCTCCCCTGCAGTGACTGCGATAGATTCGGTTCCCCCGCTATCGGAATGTAGTGTTAGTCAATGACTATAGAACAATCTTAAGGGTATAGAGATCACATACTAGGCGAATGCAGCCGTGACGAAAACGGAGGCAAAGCCGCCTATTCCACCGACGAAGGGGGCATCGCCGATACGCCAATTCCTCCCTCCTATGTACTGCCTATCAACATTGCCGCCGCAGTTAACTGCAACTCCAAGTATAATGAATATCTGTGGATGGCTTGTTAGGAGAGAACCGAAAATGCAATATATGACGCATTAGTACTTACGACAATAGTGACAACTTTCAGGAGACTGAGCCAATATTCGATCTGCAGGAAATTTCACCATGTTAGTATAAGACTTAGCAAAAACAGGTAATATAGCTTATTTCAATTACCTCTCCGTACGCTCGAACAGTGACGATATTGAGCCCGATGAGGACAAAGAGAAAAATCAAACTGAATGCCCAGCCAGGAAAGTTATCGGACCAGTACTTCAGTAGAATCTGAAGCGCGACGAGGTCCGCTGCCGTAGCCACAGCGTCGTTAAGCCAGTAGTTCCACGTAAGAGCAAACCCGAAGGCGTCATCAACAAATCGACTTGTAAGGTTCATTTCTTGTCAGCATTATTACGTCCCCAAGTGTAAACATGCTATAATCGGAAAGGAACTCTTTCGGAAAACTCACCCAGCATATGTGCAAAATGATCCAGCGATGGGCACAAAAGCTGCCATCTCACCAAGCGACAGCATGGTTATAAATACGATGGCACCCACAAGCGCATATGAAATGAGCATAGATGCAGGCCCAGCCGTGGACAGCGACCTTCCCGTCCCCAGGAACAATCCCGTGCCAATCGTACCTCCGATTGCAATCATTTGCACTTGACGGGCCGATAGCTTGCGCGCAAGCTTATCCGCGACGATGACGGGTCCATCTGGGGGTGCATTTTGCGTCTCGACACCGATCGCTTTTTGGGCATCCCCACTACTGTTGGATTTCAGGTCGGAAGTTGCCATTATTGCCTACAACCTATGCCCTGGGAGAACGGGATTGAAGATTCTAAACTTCTCCGGGCGCAAGAATGAATGTCTCCCGCCCTGCCTTGTGAGGTTGGTTCTCTTCTTCCCCTAGCTTCAGTATGTATAGCTTCACTAGAGACAGGAATGCCTCCGCAGCAACCGAGACCGAATACTATTCAAGCGACAGTATCGGGAATGCCAGCGATTACTCCCCAAAATCAAAAGCGAAAGAGAAAAGAACAAAATCCCAGAGGCCGTTTTTCCCCATAGATATGCGACGCTCGCGCAATATAAATAAACTCTTGCACCACAAGGCCTAAATCTGGGTTAGTTCATTTCGTTCCAGGGAAACGCCATCGCCCCCCGCAAAATAGGACAGCGCTCCAAATTTTTGCGTGATCGATGAAAATCAAGTCCCTGAGCCGTCAGGTTTGGATGAAGGAGATATAATTTGCCGCGAAGAAACACTTGTTAAAATCCAAGGATGGCGGCTAAACCCTCCGAAAAGAGTTTTAGCTTTGGAATCACAGCCCTAAAGAGCTTAAGCAGACCTGTGAGGCTGTGAGGCTGTGACTTAGGAGAGCTTGGCTGTGTGAGGTCGATGCAACATCCCGACGTAGCGGGAAAGATCTGCGTGCCAGAGTTGTGCTAAAATTTGGCGCTGGATTCCTGAGCTTGTGAAAACGTGTTTAGTTAGCCAGAGTTTTGACGAGCCAGTAAACGCATCTGCCAGTTATATCGAACAAATAAAATAAAATAAAATAAAATAAAATAAAATAAAATAAACTGGATGAACAGGTATTTACATATACGCATATCGCTTAATTAACTAGACGCAAATCACACGCTATTTAACCTAGCAGTCCCGCAGCAAGAGTCTCCAGGTCCTCCAAAGTTTGAACCTCAACAGGGCCGGTTGCCTCAGCCTTTCCGCGCTTAGAACGGCTGCCGCCATTCCTATCTTGCTCATCACCAGACGAGTCCTGGAACCATTTCTTTTGCTTCTTACTCGGACGGGCCTCCTCGGAGATATGCTCGTCGCCGGAAGACTGGCTAAGGTGGTCTCCTTCAAAGTCTTCATCAGGTGGAGCAAGCACTGCAACGGCCCCAGCATCTGCTGCTTCTCTCTCGGCTCTCGCCCTTTCTTTTCTTTTCTCCTTTTTCTCTCGTTTCTTTTGTTTCGCAATTTCTTTGTCGCGGATATCTGCAAGTCTAGTCCTCTCGGCCTCGAGCTCGAGGAACTTCGCCCGTTGCGCGTCTGCAGAGCCTCGCTGTTTGAAGTCATCTTCATCCTCCATTTCATACACTTCGTGCGGGTTCCCATCTTCATCGAAGACCAATTTCGATCCTTTACCCTTGTATTTGAGGAGCTTCTTTTTCGATTTTAGAAGTTTCTCTCGCCGGTGCGAATCTATAATAAGTGGCTCGCTGCCAGGTAATTGTACTGCTCTGATCTTAGGTTCCGATGTATCGGAGTCGTTACCAGACGCTTCGCCGAGGTTGTCGTCGCCTGCATCAAACCGCCGCTTCACAGAGAGGAAGTCATTATCTTCATCCGCGTCTGCTTTGGAATCATCAGACGCGTCCCCAGTAATCGCGGTGCCGTCCTCATTAATCAATTTCGTATAATGCTCGGTCAATATGTCCTGGTTTCGTCGTTCAAACATGCGATCATATTTTGTTCTGACAGTTTCTTCCTTCTTTTTCTTGGCGCCTTCACCGTCCGTATCTGTATCATCCCCGCTTGACAGCGCTGCTAATCCTCTCGGAGCGTTCTTCAGTTTCTTCGAGTCCTCACCCTTAATAAACTTGATGCGTGGGGCACCAGGCAGACCCAAGCTTGCAGCGTATGCTTCCAGGGGCAAGCCCTTTACAACAAACACTTCCTTATCCTTCTGCACATGAATGGATTTGACGTAAGATATAAAAGCTTTCTGTCCGAGGTATTTCAATGCTGGATCCTTGAAACACATGTTCTGTAACTGGTTTTTAATGCTCTGTTGTTTCTTGGAACGGATATTGATTTTTTCGATGGGTATTTTCTTCTGCTCCAACCGCTTCAGCATTCCTGCCTCCTCGCTGGGCTCTAGAAATAGAACAGCTCGCCCGTTCCGTTCATAGCGTGCAGTTCGACCCGCTCGGTGGATATATGTATCTGCATCCTCTGGGCAATCAACTTGAATAACCCAGTCGACAGCTGGGAAATCCAAGCCCCTCGCCGCAATATCTGTGGAAAACAGGCACGCATGCTTAGCCGCAGAAAATTTCTTAGTGATGTCTACCCTAGCACCTTGCTTCTGGCGTCCGTGTAAATGAAGAAGGGAGATGCCAGGTTGCATATGTCTAAAGGACTCATACACAAAGCGAACTTGTTTCCCTGACGAGAAAAACACCATGATTTTAGACTTCAAACTGCTCCGTATAAAGCTCCATAGGGTATCCAACTTCTCAGGAAGCGGGGTGACGATGTAATTCTGTTGTAATTTGGCCGGGGTTGCGCTGGCGGCTGTTTCATGGACTGATATGTATTCAGGATTCCGCAGACTCAAGCGAGCAAGGTCCGAAACTTTCTTTGTCTGCGTTGCACTGAATAGCATCGTTTGCCGTTCTTTTGGTAGATGGTCGATGATGGCGTCTACAGTACTCTGGAATCCCATATCCATTATCCGGTCCGCCTCATCAAGCACAAGCAATTGAATATGGTTCGTATCAAAAGCCGCCGTCTGATCCATATGTTGTAGCATGCGTCCCGGTGTGCACACCAAGATATTCATCCTCCCCAACCGTTCTTGTTCCTCCTGTAGGCTTTTCCCGCCAATTACCAGGCCAGCAGAGAAGGTATGATGACGACCAATTTTCCTTAACACTTCAAATATCTGAATCGCCAGTTCGCGAGTAGGTGACAGCACCAACGCTCCCAGTCCATCATATTCTGTCCATTGTTTGCGATATAGCAGCTCCAAGAGCGGAACGAGAAACGCAAGTGTTTTCCCGCTGCCAGTCTTCGCAGCGCCTAGAATATCTCGTCCTTTGAGAGCATGGGGTATCGCCTTGGCCTGGATGTCAGTCAAGGATTTGAAGTGGGACGCAGATAGGCCGTTCAGGGTAGGTTCTGACAGAGGTAGGTCGGAAAATGCTTCGGGTGAAGCCTTCACATCGAGCTCGTCAACTCGTTGCGCGAGGGTTGCAAGGTCAACCTCGTCCCGCTTTCGTTTGAGACTTCTGGCATTGTTACGTGGAGGTTTGGAATGCTTGTTATTCCGCGCATGATGTGCGGATGCCATGACTGCGTCGTCGTTGCTTGGGAGCCTGGTTGACCTGTCAGGCTTTGGGTTGTAAGATACCCTCGGAATTTTGTATTATCGCATCGGAAGTTTATCGACGGGCCGCTAAACCAGGAAGCAGAAAACTTGACCTCGCTAAGTGCGCCACTTGACCTCGTTACATAATCATGACCCCGACCTCGCACAATACAGTAATAATCAGTTGATAATTGACTTTCAATCTTTCAATCCACTCATAGTCTCATTCATTCAGCTCATCAACCAATCAAAGCATGTATAGCTGATTCATAATCAATTAAATGAATAGATAAATTCATATAGAATATAAAGAGATATTTTACAGAATTTTAAAATATATCAAAATAAAAATATTTAATAATTGATTTTAAATTAATTTTAAATTGATTCTGAATTGATTCTGAATTAATTATAGTAATAAAAATAGATTTAATCTATATATTTAAGTAATTAATAATTGATTGAAAATCAGTTGATAATCAATTCAGTATTATTATTAAATTCAAGAATAATTTCAGTATTAAATTAATTTTGAATTGATTTTAAATTGATTCTGAATTAATTATTAATTAATTATAGTAATAAAATAAATTTAATCTGTATATTTGTAAGAAATCCCGCTTCTCGCGAATTCTTTACCTCTATTCCTATCTCTCATGTAATCAATAGGGCTAGCAGCCCTTGACTACATACAACTATATAGACTGAAGTTCATGAATACTATTTATAACTCAGCTTGAATACTATTATATATTTAATCTCTACATTTATCTTTCTATTACAAACACTTCTAGTAGTTAACAGTATATATTATGTTAAGCTGCAAACACCTGAATAATCATCTGTGAGCACTTATTCTTACATTTCAAGCTCAGTCAGTCAGCAACTGTCTGTTATAACTGAAAGAACTAGAAACTTATATGTTTCAATCTCTGCAAACTCTACTGCAGACACTCAGAAGCAGTTATCTGAATCATGAATAATCTCTATAAAAGAAGTTTCAGAGAACTTATCAATCACTCACAGAACATCATTCTCTATATCTGTGACAGAGAAACTCTTTAAACTCATGAATAAATTAATCTCAGTGAAGAACATTCTTGAGTATCTTCTGCAGAATCAAGCTATTTTTCTATAAGAAATGCTTACTATCTATAAACATTCTTAAACTGAGTCTTTAGACATGATCTTCAGAGATATCTGTAAACTGAAAAGAAACTTTCTCAAGCTGTGATCACTTAAGATTATCTATTGAATCATAATCTATAAAAGCTTTTACAAGTTTGTATTTGAAATTGACTTACAAGCTCAGCTGTGTGACATGAAAGATGAAGAAGCTGTCATCTATATAATAACAGATCTCTATTACACTGAAGTTAAGAACTGACTGAATTATCTAGAGAATGATTATAAGAGATTCTGATAATCTGTTCTTAAGATCTATCTAGAGAATAAGTTAAGAGACTCTATAAACTGAACAGAGAACATCTGAACTGTAATTATTAATATTAGAAAAAGAGATGAGAAATCTGATAAAGACTACTTATGATACTTCATGAAATTATGATATGAATTGAGATCTGTGAAAACAGAGCTCTGAAATAAGATCTGAATAATGATGTTTGTAAAGAGACTGAATAAAAACATGCAGAACAAGCTTATTGAGTAAGACTCTAAGCTCTTAACTCTGAAGAAACTGATGACTCTTATTCATCACTTATAAATCACTGTGAGAGTCACAGACCTGCAGAGAGCAGATCATTGATCAGCTCTGTAAAAGCTAGAATAACAGAGAACAGATTTGTCAGAAAAAGATGATAAGATACAGAGAGATTCATGTCTGACTGCTGAGCAGAGAGAGAGAGCTTTATAAGCTCTTATAAACAGAGTATATAATAGAGAGATTAAGAAAAAGAGACTCTACTTTATCTATTCTAAATCAGAATATCTTCACACAAACTGTTCAGATAAATCAAAATAGAAATTTGAGAAGTTACAGACAGAGTCAGTAACAGTCTTCTTAAGAGTCTTGAAGCTGACATCTGAATCTGTTACTCTTTTAATGAAAATACTTACTTATGAGAAGAGACTGTGCTGCAGTGCTGCTGCTCTGCAAGTATGAAAAGCATTAATAAACTCAGAATTCCAGGTCACTGTAATATTTCTAAAGCTTATGAAGTGAATAAGCTGAAAGATGAAGACTGAGAACCTGCTCTTGTAATAAGCAGAATGTGAGAACTCAGACCTGAGAGCTGAGAAACTCATGAGAGTTATCTTTGAATTATAAGATCTCTCTGAAATCTGAAGAAGATTTGTAGAAACTGTGATTATTATAAACATCACAGATGACATGTATTTAAGACTTGTATGACTTCAAAGACATAATTCACACATAGCTGTTTACAAGTCAGGTTTATACTTTCAATCAGTATTGACAGACTCACTCACAGAGATAGAAGCAGTTAATGCTGCAGAGTTAATTAGAGAAGACAAACTCATTTATATAATAACTTTACAAGTGTCTGAGAATCTCACAGTTATGAAAACTGAGCTTCAGATATCAGAGAAATATTGAGATCTTGCAGAGATATTTAACTCAGTTAAGACAGCTGAGCTTTCTTCTCACTGTGAGAAGAATCTGATAATAGATTTAATAGAAGAGCAGAAACTCTTCTGAAAATCAATCTATAAGCTCTCTTATTACAAGACAGAGGTCTTACAGACCTATGTAAAGAAGAATCTGAAAAATGACTTCATCTGATCTTCACAGGCCTCTGTGAAAGCCTCTGTGATATTTATGAAGAAGAAGAATGAAGATCTCAGATTATATATAGACTACTGCAATCTGAACTTCAAGATAATAAAGAGCTGCTACTCTCTATCTCTGATTGAGAATGTGATTAATCATCTCACAGAAGCTGTCATATTCACACAACTGAATGTGATCAATGTATATACACAGCTGTGAATACAGTCTGAAAATGAATGAAAGACTGTCTTTAGAACTGCACTGAAATTATTTGAATATCTAGTGATGTCTTTTGATCTGATTAATATTTCTGTGATATTTCAGTCTTTTATCAACAAAACACTTTATACATATCTGAATGTCTTTGTAATAATATATCTGAATGATGTGATAATGTACTTCATGAAGAAGAAAGAACACACTGAGTATATGCAAAGTGTGTTGAAGGTCTTAGATGAGACAGAACTGTATATTAAGCTTATGAAGTACAACTTCAGTGTCTGTTAGATTAATTTCCTAGAATATATAATCACTGTGAATGATATTCAGATAAAATCTTCACAGATTGAGACTATTCTATCATGACTGAAGTTAACTAATATTCATAAGATTCAGATCTTTCTAAGCTTTATGAATTTCTATAGATGATTTATCTTTGCATTTATAAGAATCTTCTTAGCTCTTACAGATATGCTGAAGAGTGAAAATAAGAAGAAGTCATCTTATAAACAGAGAATGAAAAGATTGTTAAGAAGAGAGAACTGTAAGAACTTTCTTATTTCAGAAGCTTATAGAGTTTTTATAAGATTAAAACAGACATTTGCAGACACAGTAATACTGTTTCACTTTAATTTCTTACTCTTAATCAGATTGAAGACAGATATCTCTTTCTTTACAATTTCAGAAATAGTCTTGTAACTACAGTTAAATAAGAACTGAGTTTCAGTGATCTTTTTCTCATGAAAGATGTAATCTGTGAAGATCAACTATGACATTCATAATCAGAAGCTTCTTATGATAGTGAAATTCTTTCATCACTGATGTTACTACTTTAAGAGTCTTATAACAGTGATTACTGTTAGAACTGATCATGACAGCTTGTAACAGTTTACTTCAATCAAGAAACTCTTATAACAGTAGGTTTACTGAGCTCAGAGACTGAGTGAGTTCTGATTCAAGATAGAATATATCAAGAGAACTAAGAACTCAGCAGATGAACTCTCTCACAGATCAGACTATATTAAGAAGATCAGGACAACAGATACAGAGAGACTAGAGAAGACAGAAAAGCTTCACAGAATACTCAGACTGAGTATTGTAAAGAGATTAACTGAAGAGTCTCTTAATCTTCTGTAAGAGAAGAGAAGAAAGAGAGAAAAGAAGCCTGTATAACTACTTTCTATAACACTGAGAGTCAACACTCTGAAGATCTCTGTGAGAATTCTTGAAGAGAGTATCTATAATCTGAAGAATTTATAAGCTTTGAGAAGCACTGTGAAAGATCTGATATAAGAAGAAACAGAGTATAAGTCTTTATAAGATCTTCTATTCAGATTATCTGAACTACAACTGAAGAATGAATATGCTCAGCATATTTGAAAACTGCTTATAACAGAAATTAATCCTGCAGAAATAAAGAATTGAAGAGACTTAAATAATCTCTTGTAAAGAGAGAGCTGAATTTATATACCTGTGAATAAGTTTTTATATGTAGAACTTATTAAAAGGTATCATGACTCTTCTCTAGCAGGTCATTTTACAGACACTAGAACTCATGAGCTACTTATAAGAAAATACTTCTGACTGAAGATGCAGAGACTTGTGAAGAAGATAGTGAATTCTTATACTATTTATCAGAATTCACAGATAGTATGATTCAGATTATATGAAGAACTTACTTCTCTACTCATCTCATGAGAATCTTGAGAACAGCTAGAAATGAATGCTCTTGTGAGTCTCTCTGAAAACAAGAATATATATAATACCTGCTTTGACAGTGTACTGATGATAGTGAATCACTTTATCAAGATAACACACTTTATACTCACTTGTAAGAACTTGAAGTCAAAGAATTTGACTCATATCTTTGTTTATAATGTAATTCAGTTGCATGAATTGTCTGTGAATATTGTCTTAGATAGAGAATTAATCTTCATAGAAGAGTTCTGATCTGATCTGATAACTATACTAAAGATCTCATGAGATCTAAGCACAGCTTTTCATCAACAGACAGATGATCAGACAGAATGTCTGATAAGTATATTAAAACAGTATCTGCAGTGCTTTGTCAATTATAATTAGAATGACTGAGTACATTAATTATCATTTATAAAGTTCATATACAATAACTCAAAGTATGTCAGTACAGATAAAACTCTCTTTGAGATACTCACTGAGACTTATCTGTGAATAATCTTGATGAACCTGCAAGAGTATACTATAGAGTGTGATGATATCTGTGAATAAGCTGAGAGAATTCAGAAGATCTGAGAGAAAGCTTATAAATTCTTGAGAAAGATCTAAGAGTATTAGAAGAGATACTATGACTTTAAGTATATTATAAAGAGTTTTAAGAAAGATGATAGAGTCTGACTAAGTCTAGAAAATATTATTATATGAAGATCTAGTAAGAAGCTGAATCTCTTGCAGACAGAGTCTTATAAGATTATGAAGAAAGTTAGCTCACAGTTCTACAGATTAAAACTGTTATCTGAATTACAGATATACAATGTTTTTTATATTTCTTTACTCTGTGAATATAAGGAATTCTTAGAAAAGAACTCTGTGACTCATCACTCTGTTCATGAAGTACTAGAGAGTGAAAGAGAATATCAGATTAAAGAAATTATTAACTCAGAGAAGTGAGATTGTAAGCTCTGATTTAAGATTCAGTGATAAGAGTATTCTAACAAGATAAATGAGTTCACTTGAGAATCATTTGAGTAGATAAGACATCTGCAGAAGCTGAGATATGACTTTTATACTGTGAATTCTGATAAGTCAGAATGATATGATCTTCACTAAGAATCTGATTATGATAAAGATATTAACACTGTCATTTACAAATTCTAGTCTATAAGATGATGAGTTTCTACTGAGATGAACAGTCTGCAGTGTATGCAAGAGAAGAAGAAAACATGTTCTTATTAAAGTTAAAAAAAAAATAAGAAAATAAACAGAGCTGTGAATACAATTTAGAGATTAATAAAGAAAAAATAAAGAAAACTCATACTTATATTATCAACACTTATAACACTCAATTCTCTCATAACTATCAATTTTCTTCTTCAAAGAAGCAGAGAGTATCATGCCTGCAGTACAGATAATTGTTGTATTTAGTATGAAGACTGTCAGAAATGTACAGACTTTAGAAGAGCTGAATATCAGAGCACATGCAGTTGCAGCAGAGTCTTAAAGACTGATTATCTGTGTGTGTGATCAGATACTTCTCACAAAGTTATATCTGCTCTCTCAGTTGTACTGAAGTATTCAGCCTGAAAATAATGAAGATACAGAGAGAGAGCTCATCTGCTCAGATTAACTTCTGTCACAAATTCATAGCATTCATATTGCCTTGATTACTCAGATTTTACAGGTACTCAGAGACTCATCTCTCATTGATAATGAGATTACAGAAATGCGCTGTGATGTGAGGATCATTGATAGAGAACCTAGACATATTCACATATACCTGGTCAGAGATTGTGCAGGTAGAAGAGAAGTAATTATAGGCCTGCAGAGCTGCAGAAGACACTGATAACACTGAGAGCTTTGTAAGAACTGTCAGCTAGAGTCTGTAAGAAATTACTTATGAGAAGACTTACAGCAAAAAGAGAGACTACACTGCTTAAAGTCAGGAACTGATTTGAAAGAGAAATGAAATGAGCTGCTGATCTGAAGATCAGGTGCAGTGACAGAGCTGAGAAGAGTGAAGATGTAATTATAAGCAGTGACATTCCTGCTTCATCAGCTGATAAAAAGTGATCAGAGAAGTCACAGAGACACTCATAAGAAGCTCAGTAATAGTCAGACATTGTTTACAAAGATATTGAAATTGAAAAAATTTTTATTCTTGAGAAGTTCTTAAATTAATACACAGATATTGTCAGAAACACTCTCTCTCTATCATCTAAGTGAAAACACTTCACAGATGAATGAGAATACTCACAGTTTATAAGAATGAAAGCTGTTACAGAAAAAGAGAAAAGAAGATGAAATTTCATAAACAGATCTGAAATATTTATACTACTCTAGAGAGATTTACTTACACTGTGAGTAATTCTATAAAACAGCTAGATCACTCTAGTAAACAAGAGTGATTGTGAATTACAGATCTGAATCTTTCTATATAACTACAAAGAGTGATTGCAGACTGCAGATATCTTGATTCTACAATTCTACAGAGTTAATGAAAGAATGAAAAATTTCTCATAATTCTACAGTATCAAAGAGCAATGATTTGTAAGAATGAATAAAAGATTAACTCATAAATATTTCTTTTTAATAAGAGTAATCTTACAGAGAGTGATTCATCTGTGAGATGAATCTGTGTAATGATTACACAAGAATCTTATGAAAATAATTAAGAGTTAACTGAAACTCTTCTGTATGAAAGATATAAGATAAATCTGTGTGATAGTCAGAGAAGAATCTGTAGATTATAAAGAATCTCATAAAATAAGAAACTGAGTGACAGACTCTTTTCTCTTTATGATAATAAGAAATTTTTCCTCACTGAGATTTTTTTATAGATATGAAGAGTTTTTAGTGAGTATCACTGCAGTGCTGAGCTGACTATGAAGTCACTCAGTGAAAGACTTCACAGACAAAGTCTTAGAGAGAAAGAAATATATAAGAAATCTCACTTCTTGTGAATTCTTTATCTCTATTTCTATCTCTTATGTAATCAATAGAGCTAGCAGCCCTTGACTACATACAACTATATAGACTGAAGTTCATGAATACTATTCATAACTCAGCTTGAATGCTATTATATATTTAATCTCTACATTTATCTTTCTATTATAAACACTTCTAGTAGTTAACAGTATATATCATGCCAAGCTGCAAACACCTGAATAATTGCCTGCGAGCACTTATTCTTACAATATTTAAGTAATTAATAATTGATTGAAAATCAATTAATAATCAATTCAGTGTAAATTATATAAATACTTACTTTATTATTAAATTCAAGAATAATTTTAGTATTAAATTGATTTTGAATTAATTTTAAATTGATTTTAAATTGATTCTGAATTGATTATAGTAATAAAAATAGATTTAATCTATATATTTAAGTAATTAATAATTGATTGAAAATCAGTTGATAATCAATTCAGTATTATTATTAAATTCAAGAATAATTTCAGTATTAAATTAATTTTGAATTGATTTTGAATTGATTCTGAATTAATTATTAATTAATTATAGTAATAAAATAAATTCAATCTGTATATTTAAGTAATTAACAATTGATTGAAAATCAATTAATAATCAATTCAGTGTAAATTATATAAATACTTACTTTATTATTAAATTCAAGAATAATTTCAGTATTAAATTGATTTTAAATTGATTTTAAATTGATTTTGAATTGATTGTAGAATTGATGATAAATAATTGAGTGGTTTCAAATTACAAGAAAAGATGTATTGAGCGAGGTCAGGTAGTGGCACGGGCCACATTTGCGAGGTCAGCTTACATAACGAGGTCAAGTGGCGCACTTAGCGAGGTCAAGTTTTCTGTATACACCCGCTAAACTTTTTCTCGACTGGCCATGAAAGCTTAGTCATCAATTTGGCATTTTACGTGGGATGGAGAAAGCTAGCTAGAGGCGAGTGAATTACTGTTGGAACCTCTAAACACCTTGGCTAGCTGAACTGCAGAGAGCTTTCAAAATGGCTGATGATGAATTGGAAGCACTCGACGCCCTCGAGAGAGAGGCGTCTGAATTTACAAAGGTATGAAAAATCCACTCCCTCGCTCTCCTGCGACTCGCAGAGCCTTCGCATTTAGCTAACGGAATGCTTATAGGACGCGGAAATCGATCGCATCAGAAAGGCTTTCCAACTGGACGCGTAGGTTTTATCCTATATAAAATTCCACTTCCGATTAGGACATGACTAAATCACAAACAGCTATGCGGTTCTCGACCTCCAGCCTGGCGTCCCCGACTCCGACATAAAAATGCAATACCGCAAGAAATCCCTCCTCATACATCCAGATAAATCCTCAAACCCCGCAGCGCCCGACGCCTTTGACCGCTTAAAAAAAGCCCAGACAACGCTGTTAGATGAAAAAGCACGAGCCCACCTCGACGAGTGCATAGCCGATGCGCGACGACTATTAATCAGAGAACATAAATATACGCTCGATTCACCCGAATTAAAGACTGAAGAATTCAAGAAGGAATGGCGTCAGAAGACTATAGAGGTTCTTGTTGAGGAAGAGGCGAGGCGGAGACGACGGTTAAAGGCGCAGATGCAGGAGGAAGGCAGGGAAAAGAGGAAAGAGGAGGAAGAGATAGAGGCGCGGAAACGGAAGAGGGAAGACGAGAAGGCTTGGGAAGAATCGCGCGATGAGCGGATTGGGAGCTGGAGGAATTGGCAGAAGGGGAAATCGGAGAAAGGGGAGGGAAAGAAGAAGAAAAAGATGAAGGTGTTGGGATGAATTTGACGAATCGTATGTCGTGTGAGTAGATCTCGTAGAGGTTTCAACATGTGGGAGGTACTTTCTTTTTTCTTAGGGGGGGACAACTTTCGTGAGCTGGTTCAGAAGGCGCTTTTCTTTCACAGGTGGTCGGAGTTTGTCACGGAATTATTCATATTCTAATACCCATGTAAGGATCGATACAATCACAGAATTTTTTTTTACCCTTTCAAGGCATCAACGGATGGCCGCTAAAACGCTTATAAAAAACCAAAGAAAGCGTGATGTCTTCACTCATCAACTTCAACTATAGTGGACAAGATGCATATCTAAGAAAATTCTATATACTGGCTTGTCTATACATGGCATGAATAAGAGCTTGATCGGGGATATATGGAAGGAAAATATCAACCTTTATAATAACTCAACATCATGAACAAGCCAAGGGATATCATATCACTGCACGAATGAGCGGGGAATACATTTCGTGTCCTAAAACTAAGAATAAATTTCTGCATCAACTTCATAGGGCTCGTGATCATGATCTTATCATCATCTTCGAAAGAAAGTGACAAATGCGCTGCAGAGCAAAAACTCGAATAGCATATATCAACCCAAAATGTGGCAAAACCGGTAAACAGAGCGAGAAGATAGGTTTTTGATAATCCAGAAATTCAGGGATAACACAAACATAGGGATGGCATCAATCATCCCATCGCGTTCCTCTTCCGAGCATCGGAGACGGAAATCTCCCAATCCGTGCGGGTCAGGAACACGCCTTCGATAATTGCAACCAGGAGTAATGCAACAGCAACACCAGCCCACAGGCCCCAGAGAGTCCAGCCAAACCCAAAGGCCGTGCCCATACTGATGGGCATAGCCACGGCGTAGTAGCAGAATAGCTGCACATACCCACCGAAGGACTGGCGTCCGAGACCACGGAGGATGCCGTTGCAGTTGGTTGCGAGCGCGTCGAAGAGCTGGAATGAGGCACAGAGGGGAAGTATCTGGGCGACCATATCCGCAACTTCTTCGTCAGAGGTGAACAGGTTAGGGATATAGTTTCGTAGCGACGAGAGGATCGTGATATTTAGCAGCCCGATGATAACGGCGCCCACCATCCCAACCTTAGCGGATGTGCGAGCCGCGCCAGTCAGACTGGCGCCGATAAAGTTGGCAATTCGAGTGCTGAGTGCAATGGAGAGAGGGAAAGGGATTTGGAAGGAGATACTCGATATTGTGGAGAGGACAGATTGAGCGGCGAGTGCCGTGGTACCGAAGTAACTTGAGGCGAGTGTTAATAGTTCGAAAGCGAGGACCTCAGCTTCAACCATTAGGAAGCCCGGAAGCGCAAGGCGGACCATGGGACCCCAGTTCTCTAATCCCCTCTTTGTAAAGCCATTCCAACACTCTTTACCCGCGATGAAATAAACGTACAAGAAGAGGAGGACAGGGAGGAGATTATCACTTATGGCAACAGCCATGGGTGCACCTACGAAACCAAAGCCAAGTTTCTAATATAACATGTTAGGATGTAGGAACGTTTTTGTACAACCATAATGTGAAACAGTGGACGATTTGGGGGTGGGAAGGAACATACCCAAACGAAAAGCCAATTCAAAAACGCATTTAGCGGAGCACATATTAGCAGGACAGCGAGCCCTGCGGAAAACAGTCCTTGCGCCTGAACAAAACGTTTCCCGCTTTCGAAGCATGCATAACCTGGGGCACCCAACAGGACAACCTTCAGGTACAGTCCTGCAAGAACTGCAACCTCCTTCTCCGGAACAATGACCATCAAAATCCTATCGGCGAAATACCATACAAAGCCAATGGGGATGGTCATCACCCAAAGAAAGTAAACCATCCTCTGCATGTGCAATCCAACGAGGTGTTTTTTCCCCGAACCATAAGCCTGAGCGCATAGAGTATCCAAACTTGTTGCAAGGCCCTGATATATGGAAAAGCCGGTAATGTTGGCAGTCATGCTGGCGAGGGATACGGCTCCCAGCTCTACTTTTCCAATATGTCCAACTGTGAAGATACTGGCTACCGTCAACGAGTATTGAAGCAGGAACGTGATCATCAATGGGGCTGTGTATTTCGATAAGACTTGAGCTTCCCGACTCCATGTTGTATGGATTTGTCCGGCCTCAACGGCTTCCTCCCACTTTCTCCCAACATCAACAGCGTTAACATGGTCACCTAGAGAGCTAGATGGTGCCAAAAGGGCTGTAGTCTCAGTAGCAGAGGAGCCGGGGCTAAATGAAGGTTCAAGCGGTTGTGCGGATTCTTCATCTTCCGCCCTGGGAATTGTCTCAGATTCCTTCAGCATTTTGGAGAGTAGGCCAGCGATCTGGCTCCGTCCCCCGGCTAGTTTCCCTTGTCGACGTTCCGTGGGAATGACATTATTATCTGCCAATAGATTCCGTTCTTCTTCTAATACCTGCTCCCGTTCCCAATCCGCCAGCGCTTCATGGTCCTGGTCCTGAGGATGTGGAACGACAGTTCCCCGTGGGCCGGCTGTGAAGAAGCTAGGCCTTCTATAAGATTCAGCCAAGGAGTGAGAATTCGCAGGGCTGGTCGCAGAGGGAATTGAGCGGGCTTCGGATAAACCTCTGTCTATTTGGTCGTGGTCTCCATTATTGCTAGCGGAGTTAACATTTGCTGGATCGGTTGGTATATCCATGAAAATGAGGGGTGGTCAAGACGATAACAGGAGGTCTCTTTGTTTTCTATATATACAAGTATATTCTGTAATTTTAATAATTGTTAGCAAACACATGTATAAAGGCATACTTTCGCCGGCGCCTAGATGAAGAATCAACGCACAACCTGCAAAACACTGGGTTCGATAAAAAGCTTAAAAGAGAAGTATATCCGTAGTTGCTCAGAAACCAAGACCTTACTATTAAGCCGCTCCCTTAGTAGCCGCAAAATTGGAAAAAGAGAGACAAGCCGTCGCGAAAGAATAAGAATAACAGTTGAATGACTCCCCATCCCCCCCGTTTATCCACAATGCCCATCGTCGCTTACTCACCAGCCACCAGCAAGAGCCGCCGGCCATCGGGGAGCCGAAGAGCGCAGCCCCGGCTGCCTGGCCAATCAGAAGCTGACATGCCGGTGTGACATATGGCCCGAGCTTGAAAACTTTATTTTGAGTCCGCCTGTGCCCCACTATAACTTCTTTGGGTTAAGCGCGAGAAATCTGTACCGTGTATTTGATATACATCCACGAGACGCTAGATTTCCACATTGCATGCGTAATTTATACAAAAACGGTCTCATTAATATACTGTTGTACCTCTTACAATATTACTCATTTACCAATATTAGAGGCTTCATATTTTACAGAGCTGTTCAACATGTAAAAATTACCCATTATCATATACTCTTACATTGTAGTTGTTGAAGATATTAATATTTCATCCGGTGCAATATGTATGGGATGTAGCTGCACTTGGTCCCCGTGCCGAAAGGGCGGTTAAATTCCGTAACCTGAAAACTCCGCCACCTCATAACCACATCGACGGCAGACGTTATCAGCGTGGATTCTGATGTGAAATGGTAGTTTTCGCGATCTCTCTCCCTTTCTGGATCCTAAAAAGCACACTCCAGTGTTGTTACTCTCTCTACGATGCCCCGCGGTAACACCCCGGAACTCGAAGATGCCCCTTCAAGAACTAATATCGTACCCAACGCACTGAAACGAAATCCAGTGCACGTCACAGCGTAAGCGCTTATTCCCAACTCCCCTCTCCATTGAATCCAGGGCCGCATCAGATCATTTAACCAAGGAGCACACAGCGACCTCATCGCACAAGGCCCAATATTTCTCTCCAAACCCTTCTTCGGCCCCCTCCTCTTCGATAATAATGCATCAGACGCCCGTGATCACTGCGCCAACGAGCGAACGTTCCTCTCATGGCTGCGGCTGTCCATGTACCTCTCCGTCGTTGCCTGCGCAATCATAATGTCCTTCCACCTGCGGTACAAGCCGACGGAGCTAGAGCTACGCATGGCACTCCCGCTGGGTATCATCTTTTGGGTGCTATCGTTCGTCTGCCTGTGCAGCGGGTTTGCGACTTATATACGGACGATGGCCAAATATAGTCGGCATGCGGCGCTGGTGCAGAGTGGCTGGAAAACGCAGGTAGTTTTCACAATTGTTGCCATATCGATCATTGGGACGTGTATCGTACTTTTAAGCACGGGCTCTCCGGCAAGCTTGTAGTGGGTTTTCTGCATGGATGCGATCTAGCTAAGGTTGGACTTGTGTGTGAATACTAGCCATGTTTTGCTATAGCTCGGGAAGTGTGCTGTTTTATGCCATCATTTATTTCTGGGATCTGGATACCACAGGCGTCTAGTTTTCTGTGTTTACTTCGGGGTTGATCAAGCTCGGTTCCCTGTTCTTGTCTATATCGGCCATATATCTAATGTGTGACAGCTATTAATTTCCCATGAGGGGTGGAATTTACGTGGGATTTGTGCACAGACATCTGGTACGCGGTTACGCCCTACCAACGAGGAATTATAAAATACGATCTGGTCAGGAATTACAGTTACTCGATTGATGATGGGGTGCGTACTACCAAAAACGTGGGGGATATGTGTTCTGGACTGTTGCAACTATTTTCTGAGGAACACAGGAATAGGTATAATGCCCAGGCATCACAATAAAATCCATCAATTATAATTATTATTATGCCCGAAATGAATACCGATAAACGACTACCTATCTAAGCTGTTCAGCCTGCAATGGTTTGAGGACACGTTGGCGCCCACAGTCATTAATTTGGACAATTCCCCGTGAGCAGCAGCTCGCTCCAAATCAATTTTCTTCTCTCAATATATATAGCCACGGAAGCAGTATTGACAATAAAGGGTATGGTAATTTCTTAAGGAATATTTTTGCTTATCGTGAATGAATTTAAAGCATGCGGTGAAGGGTCCTGTCTCCTTTGAACTTCTCGAACTCTTCGGTGCCGAACTTCTCCCACCAATTGAAGAGCATAGAGTCGCAGATGAGCTTGAACCAGGGGGTGAATTTCAATTCCGAGTCCTTGAACATCTGCTTGAGTTCATCTGCCGTAACATACTTGGTATCGCGGACTTCGTTGGGGCTCACGTCTAGGTCGACATCCGCGTGGATGAAAAGGATGTAATCGACTGTTCGTGGAAGTTGTACGCTATTAGCATTGCAATCATGCAAAATGAACAATTAAGGTAAACAGAGATATTATTTTTCTTACTTTCATGTTCTGCCCACTTGCCATCGCTGGGAGCCTTGTAGTGTATCCTGGTCAGAAAATCGAACTTCTCGAGAGGAACTTGCTCCGCCTTGATGCCTAGCTCGTGATTCAGCTTTCTCTGAGCAGCCCGGCGAACCCCTTGCACAGCATCCTCGAACTCTACTCCTGTTTCGCCGGGAATGCCAAGTGGGTGTGAGCAGCAGGTATTCGTCCACATGTCGGGGAAGGTGATTTTCTCCGATGCACGCTGTTGGAGTAACAGTCTCTTCTGAGAATCGAAGAGGAAGACGGAGAACGCGCGGTGAAGAAGGCCGCGGTCAATGTTGGTCATCAAATGGCCTAAGATATTCAAAAAACAAAAAGTTTCAAAAGAGTCAGCTCACATCACTTGGATACGAAACAAAAATGTGACAGAACAGCGGACAGCAAGTGGTCTAGCGGAAGTTCCAAATATAGGGTTGCACAAGGCAAGCAATATCATGAGAGGAATCACAGACATGTCTTCTTGCTAGCACTCCCAATAGGCTTGTCATTCTCATCTAGCACAATGCACACTTCATCCATCAGACGAATCTGCTCCTCATCGTACCCCTCCAGCTCACCACCCTCACGCGCAGAGTTCTGTGTTTGGGCAGTGGTCCGCGCAAGGCTGGGATCGACATCCGGGAAGAGAGTAGTGACATTTTCCGCAGTTATGGCCGTAGCGGCCGTCGTTGTCGTGGTGCTTGACATGATCGCGTGCAGGTATCGGGGTAAAAAGTTCAAGGGGGAAACAGGGGAGCTTGATGGACTAGTTATTTATTTCCTAAGTGAATCAAGCAATTGGGAAATGAATTCAAGACTACGTTGAGAAATTTCTCTCGACGGGTTTGATCAGGGGTTATATAGAGCAGCGTAGGGGTGGATTCGATGAGAATTGAGGATGTTAAATATGTCAATGTCAACTCGTGCAACTCCGAGAAAGTTGTGTCGCCAACTGACTGACTTCGGTGTTTTCCCCTCCAACGGGCCAAGACCAATCACATCGCAAAGATACCGCCGAGATTTCACTGTTTATCAAGTTCATCACGATCACCGCCAAACACCAAAAACATGGATATACATGTTCAAGCTCAGCTCTCGTAACACCTCCTCAGCAATCGGTTCCGTCCTTTTAAATCATCGGTCGTTAGATCACAACTTACCCAGAGTCTTCGTGATACTTGCCGTCAGACTTCCGGGATCTATCAACCCTGGGGGCTATTGAAATATCCCTGATTGCCAGTGGAAATGGAGGGCCATTCATAAAGGAATTGAGTTTTATCAAAGGCTATTATCCCAAAGGGCAATTCGGATGGAGGTATTACATCCTGGTCCCGGGTCGTGTCTTGCGTACTGTTATGTCCCAAACAGGCCATTTCTGTGGCTCCTCAACATCAGAGTATCACGACTGTCTGTCGACCTCTGAATGCCCTCCCATCCGACTCCCTAGCCTACGCCAATGGCTAGTCATGCAAGCCTTGACTTTGCTATTTGTGTTTTCCCCTCTATTCTCTTATTTGCCTAGCGGGGGAACCCACCCAGGACGAACCACACCATTCGTTTTCACATAGGGAAGGTTGAAAACAATCAACCTATTGGCTGTCCATTAACTTTGCTGATAAAAACTTTGGGTAGATTGGGGGTTTTCAACATCAAAGCATCGAAATCGCAAAAAGTCATTCACCTCAAAACCACCCACCAAATGGTTTTCAGGGTAAGTTCTTACGGCCGATTGGTGTGACGGGTACGCGGTTCCAACGAATGGCAGGCCTCGTTGATTTGGCCTTGGTTGTGGACTGGACTTGTCTGCTGGCCATTACCCTCCCCATACGGCAGAGGAGGGATTGGTGTCCAAATAATGACGATTCTTTTGTTGTTCATGTATCAGCGAAATGCTGGTCAGTGGTTAAGTCAGTTGAACTCCATTGGCCATCCAGGTGCTAGCTGGGTCAGTGAGACATATCCAAAGGGAAGCGCGGTTGGTGCTACACAGCGTGCCCCCAGGGTGCGCTCACCCGCTTGGAATACAGCTCACGCAGAGAAGCAGTGTTCTATTAGAGATAAAAGGGGTAAATGGGAGCAGAGTGAAAGATAATGATAGGAGCCCACCGAAGCCATATTGCCAACAACTCATACCGGGACCCTGGTATTCTTAACAAAGAAATTTACCATGATAACCTAAACGTGAGGCATATTTGCTCGACTTTCCAACGGCCATAATCCATGATCGACATTCTATAGCAAACTACCCATTCTATCTGTCGCACACGATAGTTGGAAGAAATATTTCACACTCCATGGCAGTGGGCACCCTTTTTTCCTTTTGCAAACCAGACCGAATATGGTGTAATCGAGATTCTTTGGCTCCTTGCATATCGTGATCATGCAGGAACCGCGCGGGTCTTTCCTCGAACTGGGCTACCAAATCGCTCTGAACACCTAAAATAACAATGCATGTTGGGTGTTTCTAGGCATTGTAGAAATGCAATGGAAGGTCTCAGTTCTTCCAGGTTGAGGTGCTTGCAAATATGAAACCTTTGCCTTTACTTCCAGCTCGCTAGCCTCTTTCAAATCCTAATACAGGAGTTTTCTACATACACACGAATGACATGTCGCATGCATGGAACAATCAAAGAACGATATTCGAACAATGAGGCTCTAGGTCTCGATTCGGGCCGGCTCAACCCTAGTCATGAAGCGCATCTGGGTATGTGGTGAAAACCTAGGTTCTCACAGTTTTTGGGCCTTCCTTTCAGTCAAGACCTAAATATCGACATGCATTAAAAAAAAAAAAAAAAAAAAAAAAAAAAAAAAAAAAAAAAAAAAATCGAACCGATTAAGGACGACCTAGAGTTTCTGATCGAAGATGGTAATCTAATTTGCAACAATCTATTCTTTATGTTTTTTTGATATTTACTACTAATGGATTAAGCACATCTATTTAGCTTGGGCACATCAATAATGCCCCACCCACGTCATTGTGAGAAGAACCGTCGAAGGAAGACGGGAGTCCCCCAGGAAATGTAAGGTCCTCAGTCGATATGCCAGGTGACTTGAAGAACGCATACTCATTCATCTATGAGATGTACTCCCCCAACAGAGCGATCTTCAATGTGCATAATGGTCATGCCGGGTCACTTGTCTCTGCTGCGAATCCTTCCCAGCCATTACCAGCCACTCTTTCGTGGAAAATGCAATTTGACGGGAACCTCGGTGTTCTCATGCATGGAATCGATAATCAAGCATTTTCGAAGCCCTCAAAATGGGACATATTGTTCTTTTTGGTGTTCCACTCAACGTGATGGTGCGCATCCTTATTTTCCTTCTATACATTGCATATATTGTCTACTGCCCATGATTAATTCGATTCCCTATCTCATTCGTGCAAGCACTTAGCCCTGACCAGGTGGTCCGCACCTATTTCTGTCGAACACTTGCATCAATCATATGACATTTATGCAGGTCCCGTCTTGTTCTGTTGGCATGAACCTGACAGCGAAGCCAATGATGGAATGGATTCTGGCAGTCAAGTGTGCCTGTGGAATGTAAGGAGCAGGAGTCACGAGTTTGAACGCTTGAGTTTCTTCGGCATTAGATGGCTAGATATGCGAATTGTCTGCGGGTGACACTCCCTTGATCCAACAAAAATAGCAACAAACCCCTTACATCGCTCACACTGGCAAGTTGGTTACACATGTAAGTAAATATAAACATACATCATTTCATAAGCCCATGGTTAACACCACCTGAGAAAAATATAGCCTCTTTGGATATATTGGTTGGTGACCGTGGATGGGTACTTCTATGCATCCCGGTTCCCCTTTGTTCTTCAAAGAAATAATTGGTGTCTGAGACGTGGAATATTGACCACTAGTAATACGATAGGTTTTCTTTTCTTTTTATTTTAGCTTTAATTATTTTTTATTATTATTTTATTATTTTATTTTTTTTCGAAGTTAGTCGTCCAGGTTTTGGCCCCCAAGTTGATGTGCCTGTTAGCTACAACAACAATCCTCATTGTAACTGTCAATACTTTTCGGCCCCCAACATTCAATCTATTGATCTCCCCCCCTTTTCTTCAACTCCCGTTCTTCTGAAGTTGGTTGGGGGCCGATTGTGGGTTATGGCTGGCCGCAGAATGGCCTTGATGGTTTAAACATTTGAACCCATCGTTGAGCCATGGCCGAACAAAATGACCGATCAGGCCCCGCTTAGAAACGCAGATCTCCCGGCCGTAAAAATCGATTGGCTTGAAATGAAAGTTTTCATAGAAACAGTATGAGATCAACACATGAAACATGGTCTATTTTGCATATCCATCGGTATCTAGATTCGAATCCGATCCGTATTAACCTGACAAGGCTCGGCCCCCCCCCTTATTTTGCTACTCTATTTTATATAAAAAGAATATAAAAATAAAAATAAAATAAAAATAAAATAAAAAATACAAAGATATCTTACTTGGCATTCGGACCCCAAGATGATCGCGTTCTTTTTAGTCACGCAGACTAATGTTTGAATATCTTGCTGGAGTTTTCCTTGCTTTTCGCTTGTGGATATTGAACATGACATATGCTGTAAAAACTCATCTATATTGTGGCACGCATTGGGGTTGGCCCTCTGCAATCAATGGCGGCGAGAAGTTCCCCGCCCCCTTTTTATTTAAAGTTGTTGACTAGCAATGCACAGGGATGCCTGGAACTTTAAGCCGTGCGGATTAGAGGGAAGTACGCGATCTATTAGAAAGTTGGTACAATTTCAAGAAAAACAACGATGAAGAGTGATTCTCATTTCCATGGCCAGCATGGACCAAAAAAGATTTGCATAGACAGAAAACCACATTCTAGAGACAGATGGAGCGCTGGACAGACAAAAGAGTAACTAAACATGAACAGAGATGAGAAGAGCAAGGCAATGCAAACAAAATGTGGCTAAGGAACAAAATGCAAGGTACAAAAAGGATGAACAACTAACCTTGCACCGCGTGTGACATTTAAATTTATTCAAAAGGGAAAATAAAATAAAATAAAATAAAATGACTGAAAAGAAGGCAACCAAAGTAGAGAAATGAAAGTGCGAGATGGATGTCAGCAAAATGAATAGTTAGTTACAAAGAAGCAAAATGCCGCCCCAGTGTCCTCGGTCTATTAAAATGTCACTTCACTAATGTCATCCATGGAATGACACATTTTTATCATCTTCTCCTGATAAACATATGTAAAGCACAGAAGCAAAAAAGAACATAAATGGTGGAGGGATTGGTACATGGAAACATAAGTCATGTGGGAGTAAGGAGAGGGCATGTCAAACAAAGGAAAGACCCAGCTATTTTTATCAAAGAAGTTTTTGGAGGCCGCGATATATGTGTTCCTGCAGTAGCCGCTGAGGAATGCTCCGATGAGCAAGGTCAAAGAATTAGGGTCCAAATATGCACTCAGAGATATGTCGAATAAATATACCATGTACCGTAAAGCCATGAGGACCGTAAAAATGTAATGAGGAAACCAAAAAAAGCAAGCATTAACAACCGAAGTGGCTGTCCATGGTACTCACTAAGCCATGCGAAAATCATATCTGTGGGCGCTTTCTTGGTTGGATGCATGTCAAATGGGGGTTTCCAAGGGACAATTGGTGAATTAAATGGTTTATTCTTCGCAAAAACGCAGAGAGAGAAAGAAAGAAAGAAAGAAAGAAGGAAGGAAGGAAGGAAGGAAGGAAGGAAAAACCGGGAAGTTTGTGCGTGTTTTCATAGGTATTGCTGGAATTCATTCGCAGTATTATCGAGGTATGGAGAAATAAATGACTCATGCAGATTTTGCTGGTCGTCGGCCTCAGAATACGTATTTGTTTGGTCGGGATATAGGATGGATGACGTTTGATATGATTGAACCGGCTCAGGTACTGTGGGAGGATTTTTGAGTGCACGTTGGGCTTGACGATTCTGTCTTCTGCATCCATCTTCGCGATGCCTATTTCGTTGCCTGTTAGTGCTGGAGGACGAACGATTTAAATTTTTGAGCACAAGTTAACCAACCTTCGCAAAGTGTCCTGTCGTGCGAAACGGTGGCCACATTGATCACAGCCATATTGCCGTAGTTTCTTATGCACCTGGAAACAGATGTCAATTTTATAGGTAAACACTAGAAGCTCGGTTAGTTAGGAAACACGTACACTATCCACATGTCTAGTGAGGTCAGTTTTCCGGCCGAATTTTTTGGTGCACTCAGGATCAGTGCATTTAAAAGGCAATTTGCGATTCGGATCATGGGTTTTCATATGGGATTTGCAATTCGAGTTCCTGGTGAAATGCCGTCCGCATTTCTCACACATAAACTTCCCTTCGGGTCCATTGGTCTTCCTCCTCGACTGTTTCCTGATACCACCCGATTGAACCTTTACTTGGTCGTCTTGAGACGCTGCCGCATGTGAGCGCGATGACCGTAGAGGGACTCGAGGAATCCTGTTATTTATCGCTGGTCTTTCAGTGTTATTATTCTCCACGCTTTGATTCTCCACGTTATTATCCAGGTCGAAAAGGAGAACACTATTATTTTGATCCAAGTCTTGAGGCATCGAGCAATCAACCTGTCTCTGCCGTTGTTGATTTATAGCGGAGTGTCGTTCTTGCGTCGTAGTGGGGACTAGATGATAGTGAAAGTCGTTATTGTAAGAGGTCGCATATCGCTGGATTATAGAATTACTAGCCATCTCGCGGTGTGTCGGACTAGAATAAACCATCGAAACGCCCGAATGCTGGGGGGCGCCTTGTAGAACTAAATGACTCTCTTCGAATGAAGTTAGGCCCGACATCACTCCCATAGGAGAGAAGGCGTTGTTTGGGCCGCATCCCCGTTCCCACGCTTGGGATGATTGGAGAAGCGATTGGGAGGGCGAACACATTGATACATGTGTGGTACCGAAAATACCAAGTCCAGTAGCAACAGGTGAGTGTGCCGGGAGGATTTCAGTATGTGCGCGGCTTTGGGGGGGAGTAGGATATGGGGAGGAGGCATTCACGACCATAGCTTGCCCAGTAGTGGAACAGAATTGTGGGGAGAGTCTCGCAGGAGACCTAGAGGCCAGGTCCATAACTGAGATCAACAAAACTCAATCACCACAGATGATCTTGAGTACAATGTATACGATATCAGTTGAAGGACTATCGCAGAAAGAGTAAACAGTATATTGATAATCAGGCGTGAATAAGTTAAATAAGAATTGGAGAGGGGCAATGGGGTATATATTTCAGAAAATGGGTTGGCGATCAACAAGCCTCATAAATAATGTTGTTGGACCCGAAAACCATTCTTATACATGTACATGCCGCTACTGGAATGAAAGGCCATGGTGTATTGCAGGGTTCGAGTGTGTCGAAAATTGGATTGAAGAACGGTTGAGTAAATTCCATACCGAGCGGAACCAGAAACGTGAAAAATACCAACCACAGAATGAGAGCAAGGCAGAATTTGGGAAAGGAAACGGAAAAGGAAAAAAAAGAAAAACTAGGCCAGGGCATCGAATCCAGAGGCCAGATAGACGCGGTCGTTGCATCAAGATTATGGTTAGGTACCAAGTGCATGTGGAGGGAGAGTGCACGATCGAAGTCGGGGGAGGGGTGAGGATAATCCTGCATAAAACGAAAAAAAAAGTAAAAATAACAAAAAAAAAAAAAAAAAAAAAAAAAAGAAAAGAAAAGAAAAGAAAAGAAAAGAAAAATGTCCTGCCACAGCTCCAGAAATGCACTGTACCCTCCATTCAACATGAAGCGGCCCCATAGAGCGTTCGAAGAGCGATGGTGGAGCCCAAATTGGTATAGACAAACCCGACAGAGTGGTTGCGCATGCATCTGGTCATACAAGTCCGAGCACTTGCAACGGTTTAGTTGGGTGCAAGTCTGGGCACTAAGAGAACTGAGCAAAAACGGGAGGTTTAAACGAACAAAACAGGTACATGTGTAGTTCTGGTTGCATCGGTTCGGGCGTCAATGATCCCCTACACATCCTGCCTAAACAGAGTATGCTGCGCTTTTTGCGTGTGGTCATTTTTAGCAAGAGCGTAAAATAGTAGGTGGGGTATTTGCGGGTGATCTACTGGGGGAGGGGCGAAGCGCGAGGCGTGTACAAGCGGATAAATTTGCCAATGTGCTATGAAATCGAGTGGATCAGATGTGCGTGGAAAATTCCGGAACCAACAGCCACAAAGGTGCACTTTCATACAAAATACCAGCCGACGTACCTTACCTACCAACAACATTGAAAATACAGTACATACCCTCCTGCGTCTCTGAACGGATAATTTGGCCAGAAACTGCATAGTGCACTGGCGTAAAAAACCGGAGTTTCAATGATTCTTGTTGGAAGAAATTGTTGCAGCTAACTGTTCGACCTGTCTGCGAAGGCCATCCACAGTTTGGACCACATCTGCCAGGTGAACTGGGTCCGCGGTCGGCCCTGGGTCTACTCCACTTGGGCCACGGTGGGGCACCGGGGCCACTATATCTCTCCCCGGCAAAGGCACAGGCCTGGAAAAGCCTCGACGATGACGGAGCGACAGTTTGTGAACCGGGACCCTCACTTGACTTACGGGAGGGGGACGAGATGACGAGGTTGCCATTGGTGAATGGTTCTGTCGAGTAACATAGCGTCTACTACTCTCATACGCAAGAATAATGCCCACAAATGGTGAATGAGTTACCTTCAACAGGACTATACGGACCCGGCGGATCGATTCACCAGGTAAGAATAGCCGGAGAGGGCGAATGCAGAGCAATGGTATCAGGTTCTTGCAATGAAGAATATCAGTTAGTAAATAAGCCTTAGTTACTGCCACACATATCGGCAGTTAATACAAGGGTATTGTCAATTTATTACTGACAAGTGGGGGCAGAAAGTAAGTCAGACGCCGGGAGTTAACACTGTCAAGGACATAAACGGAAAGTCTAGGTAGGATTAATGTTAGTAGAAGAGTTGTGTAGGGTGGGAAGGGGGCGGTGCGCAGTGAGGCAATAATGGATCATGTAGGGCAACTTGCTGGAAGAGATACTCCTCTCGAGCATGGGCCATAATCTGTATAGGTTAGCGAGTTCGATCTACATGGGTCCAGCCAAAGAGAGATTCACGTACTTCCGTTAGGCTCAAGCTCATTAAACTAGTAACTGAAGATATCAAGAGAATGTTCGTCATGCAGACGAATACCAACCTAGATGCAAGTTTGCGAGTTAGAAAATCACCCACAAACGGAAATCCCCGACGAGGCGCTATCCCTGTACAGGTTGGTTAAGGAAAGGTGCAGCCGCAAATATGGGGAAAATGATGAATTGATATGACAAAGAAGAAACTGATAGGCCAACATAGCACCGCAGAGGAAGAACGAAACTGCCAGGACTAATGTTGGTGCTGCTGAAGGGTAGGGTAGGGAATGGAATGCAACTTGACATGGAACGTGATCCGGTCCAGATGCGTGATGAATTGAAAAGACGGCTTACATAAGAGGATAGCCGAAAAGGGGCGAAATCTAGTAAAATTAGCGCCAAAATCATCTAAACGCGACAGCCAATCGATATTGGGAATATCCCTGTCATTTCAATTCAGGCTGCTGCAACAACCGCGGAGTGCATGGACCTTACATCTTGAGCGATGTCCTAATATCCAATCATTTCAGCCACTTGCTGTTCTGCATGTAGTAGTCGAGGCTTGGCAAAGACGTGCAGAGAACGGGTTGTATGATCGAACTTACGAATCCGAGCGAGTTCAACCTATTCAATCATGCCACATTTAATATGATTTTCCATTAGGATTGCCATAGCAAGCCCCACCAACTCGTCAGGTTTAGGAAATATTTAGCAGGCTTACCCAAAGAAGGCCTTGACTAAAATCCACGACATTTGCCGCAGGGTCAATCGATCCCGTGCTAACATCGTGAAAGTGGTGAGAAAGCCTGGATATTGTATTAGCTTGTTATTTGCCGCCTTGACTGGGGATTTCCGCCCCATTCTAGACGAAATAGGTCTAGAATGACGGAATGATGTCCATACCAATATACAGGATCACGACCACGGGCAGAAACTTTAGGAAGGCTTTTGTCTAAGCCCCGCTCATGGCATTAGCACCGGATATGACCTAATTGATAGTTACGTGTTGAAAATTATGTACCATCTCCTTGAGTACGGGTATCTATGCATAACCAGTAATCAGTAACAGCGTATATGCATTTGTGGCACAAACTTGCGTGGCGGAGGAGTCACCAACCAGGCTACCGAAGTAGGAATTCAAGCTCATCAGAGAGCAGACCCTGTTGTTCTCTGTCAGATTCAGGCGGTATGTGGCGGTGCATTCAAATGAAATATTACACTTGCCTTGGAACTAAAAACAATGCTTCTAACGATAGGATATCGAAGGATATGTCCGTGACATATGCACTTCCTTGACTCAAACCGATTATTCCTTCGGAAATCTCCGTTAGCACATGTGGCCTGGCCTTTCCTGATCAACCTCAGTCATGCCAAACACGACTACTAATTTTTACATCATATATTACTACGCCACAACGAGGTTTCATAAGGCAACGCCGCAACGGTGCCCAAAACCTTCGGGAAAATCAATCCATCGGGCTAAACAGGATTGTGGCTGGTAAACTCACTAGCAATAAGAAATGCAAAACCTGTCCCAATGATCCCTAGGTCCCATAGACTCCAGAAGTTCATTTGATAGAACATCATCCCAGTATCTGATAGGCCGCTAATTTCGTCATATGCAAATGCTGCAATCCAAATGTACAGCAATATTTCGATGGGGCTGATTCGCAGAGGGTTCCTGGCCATCAGAACAGCATAGTATAAAGTTAAAAAGGACAAGAAAAACACAGCCTCGAATGCTTTGCGATAAAGGGGAACTTGCAATCGGCAGTAAGGATCAGTCATTCTGGCGCACTCAAATTGTCAGACGATAAGTTTAGTTTGAATTGAGTTCTGCTTGAAGTAACTACTACTATACCTTTTGTGGAACAACTGTGGTTTTTTCTTCGAATGGACACTCAAAGAATCCCATAATACTATTGCTCCAGTCCACACGCCGTTGACCACTTTCTGGACGATAGTTTGTGATAAAAGCTTCTTTGCGTTTGCGATTGCTGCAATTTCCAAGGCGTTAAGACCGCAAAACATGTCATATACGTCAGATTCGAACCCTTCTTCTGAAGAGTTCGTGCCAGTGATATCCTCGCTTCGTTGTGAATACTTGGTGTTTCTAGTTGTCCCATATCCCAAAAGTCGCGAAAGAGGTGAAGCGTGGAGTAAAAGCGGTCGACGTTCATAGTCATTTTGACTTGAACCTATTTGAGGCTTGCTGAATGACCCTTCAGCATAACTTTCGGGATCATTCTCAGACGTTGGCTGAATACATGTCTCTGAAAGTTCATCGAGCAGGTATTCAATGGTATCTCTAGGGGAAAGATATGTTAAGAACTGCCAGGCAACAAATTCACAGGCATATCCTCGACTCTCGTTAAGACCCCAATAATCATCCTCCTGGTTGCAAAACTGCCATTTTAAAATCCTGCAGTCTATCTGTTAGTGCAATCCTATTGACTAAACGAATTCGTGACGGTGTACGTACATTAAAGCTGATATGAGAGAAGGGTTGTGCACATTGTCCGACAAAGATGTTGCTAGCCCTTTTAAAGGGTATCCAGCTGTGGTTGCCCGCATCTGGTCAAAACTGTATGGTGTATCTGGAATTGCTTGAATAATATACCTTAAATACTATTAGCATACTCATACATCTTCCAATATCAAAATTTTGGGAGTTGTCACCTACTTCGAGAGCTTCCGGATAATTGACCCCACAGGTTCATTTTCGGAAATAGATGGCATCGCAAATTCATCGTTAGTCGGTGGGGTTATTGACAAAATCCTTGGGCCCGGCATTGTTTCGCTATGTCTTGATAGACAATAACGCGGACGCGGTAACACACCCGAATGAATCTCATAAAAGTTTAACCCTGAAAATCTAGCTAGTCTATGACAGAGTACTCCATAGTGAGGCATGTGATCTTAGGGAGGTCGCCCAGCAGCGGCTGCAAGCAACTTCAACTTAAACATCATGTGATTCATCTGCTTAGCTAATCACATCATGGGGCCTGGAGCAAGAACATCATACAAACGGCAAAACCATCCATCGCCTAACGTCGCTGGCTTGAAGCAGACGACACACCAGTGCGTCGTGACAAGTTGTTGCCACAGTCTAGGCGTTGAAACGCCGTGTTAAACAATCCCGAAAGGATCAGCAAGGAGCCCTGATATGAACAAGTCTTTGCAATCGGGATTCACCAAGTAAAGAATAGCTAGCACCATGACATCAGTTTGCGACACACGGTCATATAGCAGTTGAGCTCCAAAAGACATCATGGGGCAGGGCTATTCCCTTACCACGCTTTCCGCTGGCTCTGCGGGCATCGATGTGCCAGAGCTCGCGGACCTTGTGTACGAAAAGTCCTTAGGCACTGCAAGGTTCATGAAGAGCATACGCGCTAGGCACAGAAATGGCCTCGTTTTTGTTAAAGTGATAATGAAGCCGTATCCGAGCATGGAACTAGATCCATATGTCAAGGCCATTCTCCGTATGTTTTAATCCTTCTATTATATTTGTTAGTGCGATCTAACCATGTTCCCATAGGCGAACGAGATATACTAGAAGATATCCCCAATGCCCTTGGGTATCAGCGGATACTTGAGACTGGGACTGGCGGCTACCTAGTCCGTCAATATATCCACAGTTCGCTCTATGATCGTATGAGGTACGATTTGTCCCTCATTCTTTTGAATCATATGCTCCCGGTTTAACTCTATGCAGCACTCGCCCCTTCCTCGAGGATATCGAGAAAAAATGGATAGCTTACCAGTTACTTTCTGCCCTCCGGGATTGCCATTCTCATGACATTTACCATGGCGATATAAAAACCGAAAATTTGTTGGTGACATCCTGGAACTGGCTATACTTATCGGATTTCTCGTCGTCGTTTAAACCAACATTTCTTCCAGAAGATAATCCAGCCGATTTTTCATTCTATTTCGATACTTCCGGCCGGCGGACATGCTACTTGGCTCCCGAACGGTTTCTCATGGCTGGTGAAGAACCTGATAGTAGAGGCGTAAACTGGGCAATGGACATATTTAGCGCTGGTTGTGTGATCGCTGAGTTATTTCTTGAGTCCCCGATTTTCACGCTCAGTCAACTTTATAAGTACCGGAAAGGGGAATACGATCCGGAACAGAGCCACCTGTCAAAGATTGAAGATCCCGACGTAAGAGATCTGGTCGTTCACATGATCCGTGTCGACCCAGAATCCAGGTACTCGGCTGAGGAATGCCTCAACTTCTGGCGCCACAGAGCATTTCCTGAATATTTTTACAGTTTCCTTCACCAATACATGGGACACATTACTGATCCTTCGTCTGGTCGTGCCCGGCCTGAGCTTAGGCCTGGTGATCTACGAGAGGCTGATGAACGAATTAATAAAACGTATTTGGATTTTGACAAGATATCCTATTTCCTTGGCGTTAATGCTAAACCTGCTATTGATGGATCAAATCTCACTCTTCCAACGCTTAACTACCCTATTTTCCCCCTTCAGCTCGATTTACCGAACTATGGCAACCAACCCTCAAAGCCTCAGTCTGATACTGATGATGGAACACTAATATTTCTTACACTTGTTGTTTCGAGCCTCCGAAATACCGCAAAGGCTTCTGCTAGAGTAAAAGCTTGCGATATCCTGCTGGCTTTCGCTGAAAGGGTTCCCGATGAAGCGAAGCTTGATAGGATTTTGCCCTTTGTGATGTTTCTACTTACCGATCGCTCAGATGTGGTCAAAGTAGCTGCCATTCGAACCTTAACCCAGCTTCTCGCTATGGTCCGGGTCGTTTCACCAGTCAATGCTTACATCTTCCCGGAGTATATATTTCCCCGCTTACAGCCATTTATCCCAGGCCCCAATTCAAATCCTAGCCCAATTGTCCGGGCAGCGTATGCCTCCTGCATTGCGTCTCTTGCGCAATCCTCGCTTCACGTGCTGGATATGGTTCAGGCCTTGCGCTCAGATATACGGCTGGGGTCGCTCGTTCCTGAAAGCACAGAAGTAGGTTGGACAGAAGATGTGTCTTACCATAATCTCTATGACGTGGCTCGAATTGATCTTCTCGACTTCTTCGAATCACATACAAAATCTTTACTTACGGACAGTGATGTTTCTGTTCGTCGTGCCTTCCTCGGATCAGTCGCCAGTCTTTGCGTCTTCTTCGGCAACCCAAAGGCAAATGAGGTGATTCTCAGCCACCTTAATACTTATTTGAATGATAAAGATTGGATACTCAAGTGTGCTTTCTTTGAAGCAGTGGTTGGAGTCGCCACATATGTAGGAAGTACAAGTTTGGAAGAGTTCATTTTGCCTCTCATGGTCCAATCTATGACTGATCCAGAAGAGTTTGTTGTCGAGAGAGTTCTTCGCTCTCTTGCTCGTATGGCCAAACTGGGGCTTTTCCAGCGAGCAACCACGTGGGACCTCCTCCATATCGCCGTACGATTTTTCATCCACCCTAGCATATGGATACGCGAGGCGGCCATCCATTTTGTTGTTGCTTCAACCACATTCCTGTCCCCGGCCGATACGTATTCTATCATAACACCTCTCGTTCGTCCCTTTCTCAAAACTAACACAACGGACATCTCGGAAGCCCAACTGTTGGACGCTCTGAAAAAACCACTTTCCAAAAGTGTATATGATATGTTAGTGATATGGGCAACTAAAGCCGAGAAAGGTGTCTTTTGGAAATACGCTGCGCGTGACGGAGTGTTTGATCTGGGTGGTCCACCTACGTCGAGCTTCGGGAAGATTCGGCAGCGTGGCAGCAATTACTCATCGAACACGATCACAAAAAATGACGAAGACGAGCAGTGGCTCTCTCGCATAAAAAATATCGGAATGGCCCAGGAGGATGAGTTCAAATTACTAGCTCTCAAAGAGTACATATGGCGAGTTGCCACCAGACGACCTAAAGAAGGGGATACCAGCTCAACTGCACCCTTGTCAAATATTGTATCCTTAAGCCAGCACGGTGTCACTCCGCAAACGGTCTTTTTTGATAAAAAACAAAATGTAGAGCAACGACGATCATCACTCAGCAAGTTGAAAGCGCCAGCTGGCGAGAGGAAAGTTCATACAATTGCTGATGCGCTCCTTGATGCCTCGACGACAATTGATACTGTGCCCGGGTCCCGCCGCACAAATCTGCCACCAGGTGACGGTGGGCGGATAGAAAGTGGAATCTCTCATGCTGTGCCACGAATGACCCGGGACCCTGCTTCGCCTGAATCGTCGTCGCCGACCCGTGCAGTTGGATCACAGGATTCTTCAGGGTCTCCATCAGATGTAGAACGTAGGGATGATAGTCATCGAACCCGACCAGAAGATGCATCAACCCGTGATCGTTCGTTGAGGCGTAAGGATTCCGACAACCTTTCTGCAACGCTTCCGGGTGGCGGAGTCCATCGCCGGCCTTCAGCCATAAACCTTCTCAACCGTACTGAAACCGCAAAAGCATATGCCGAAACTTCCACCACATCGACGAACGCCTTCGGAAAAGTAGACGCCCCAGTTCAAAGGGACCAACGCCGCCGCCCATCACCGCTTTCCATGGTGCAGGACTCAAAACTTCCAGCGGAAGCACCACGACATTATCGCGCAAACCACACTTATCGTGGCAACGACCCCACGATCCTAAAACTTCTAGATGCAGTATTTGCTGAGAACTATCCGATTGATTTATATGACTTTGGGCCAACCGTTTCTCCGGTCACCACTCATCATCCTATCAAGAAGTCAAGCTTTCAGACGCCAGAGAAGCCCTGGAGGCCCCAAGGAAACTTGGTTGCAATGTTCGGTGAACATAGCGGGCCTATAAACCGCGTTGTCGTAGCCCCTGACCATGCATTTTTCGTCACGGCGTCGGATGATGGCACGCTTAAAGTATGGGATACCACGAGATTGGAAAAAAATGTAACCCCACGCTCCCGACAAACCCACCGTCACGATAGTGGTGCAAAAGTGAAATGCGTTACCTTCATCGAAAACACTCATACCTTTGTCAGTGCGGCGACGGACGGGAGTATTCATGCGGTTAGGATCGATTATCGCAATATTAACGATGCCCCCCGATACGGGAAACCACAAGTTGTCCGCGAATATAACCTTTCCTATCTGCCAAATAGCTTGGGTGAATACGCCATTTGGATGGAACATTATCGATCTGAGGCCCATTCCATGCTTCTGATTGCTACAAACAAATCTCGAGTTTACGCCTTAGACCTAAAAACGATGAGTGTAATATACACGCTGGAAAATGCTATTCATCACGGAACTCCCACAACATTTTGTTTGGACAGGAAGCACAACTGGCTCCTTCTTGGCACATCGCATGGTATCCTTGACTTATGGGATCTTCGGTTCCGCATACGAGTGAAATCATGGGGCCTTCCCGGTGGAGCCCCTATTCATCGGTTGCTAATACATCCACTTAAAGGGCGAGGAAGATGGATATGCGTAGTAGGAGGCAGCAACAACGGCTCCGAAATTATGGTATGGGATATTGATAAAGTTCAATGCAGAGAGGTATACTGCACGTCTTCGGCGCCCACTGATGCATCTAATGAGGGCGACGACGGGCGAAACCCCAGCACACGGAAAAACATCAACCTAGCAGCAGACACTAGCTGGAAGAACTATGAGCCATGGCGTGTTGACGAAGACCGACCCGAAGGTATGCTGGGGCGCTTTGCGGGCAAACCTCAGTCGTCTGCTGGTGTTGAGCCGAGTGTCAGAAACGGGACTGGCCTCTCTTCATCCAGTAGCAGTGACCGGAGTGGCATCCGGGCCATCGCGGTTGGACTTGATGTGCCTGAGAATAGCCAGGAAGGGTCAAAATGCGGATTCTTAATATCTGGTGGATCGGATCGGAAAGTCCGCTTCTGGGATGTCACCCACCCGGATGCCTCGATGATAATCAGTGGCTTGGAGGTGGTGCCTGACGGAATCGCGCAGAAACCACGATACGACGTAACACACCCTACCCCTTCATTAACCGTCACCACTGAGTGGGTGCCTACTACCGGGGCTTCTCCTAATGGCAGCGGCAAGGGGCGAGGTTCTACAAAGAAGCGTGGAGACAAGGGCTCGGCTACCGGACCTACCGCAGCCAGCCGTCCTCCCAGAAGCACAGTAATCAGCCTACAACAGCAACAACTTTTGAAAAGTCATCTTGACTCCATTCTTGACGTTGCGCTCCTAGAATCCCCGTATGGGATGACTGTCAGTGTCGATCGCGGGGGGATGGTATACGTATTTCAATAAAAATTTTCGAGGTTAAGTATTGGGTGTTTAGTTTTGAAAGCAAGCTTTCTACTACTACTTTGTACTTATCATAAATATGTTACTATGCCAGTTACTTTTTAAAAAATCTATACCCAGAACTTGCCAGAGACTATGTGCCTAGTTGGATATCTAACCACTTCTTTAGCAAGAATTTGCAAACCTCAATCCATTGGCATCACAAACACCAAAATCAATTGCGTAGATACATAAGCTTCCCGGTTCTGAGAGACAGTTATTAACCCCGTATTCGGGTCGATCTAGCATCAGCAGTCGGGACAGAGATCAGGAGCAAATGATGTCACGTTGCAAAATCTCCCAGATATGTACAGTACTGTACATCATGTACATCTACTGTACAAGAGTCGATCTCGCAATCCTCCGCACGGAGTATTTTATTCCCTTCCATTCTTCGAGCGGCTAATTATCCCAACAACGGTAACTGGGCTTGTGTGGTTGTCGCGATGTTCTAGCGCCGCTTGGACATCCAGACCCTTCCACCACACACAGCGAACCACTAACAAGCAAAAGTGCCACTTTTCAAGGTTTCTTTGCTTTGTGGGACGCTATGTTACAGCGTAGTTAGTTCAGCAAGCGAGGTGTCATCATCCTGACATCCTCAACGCTTGATCCCATTGTTTTGCAGGGCAAAAAAGCCCCCTAGCGCCTTTTGTGATGGATTTCAGGCTGCAGGGAGAGCTTGATACGCCATGGCGCTGCCCGCCAAAAGCCCTATTGCAGCGTACACAGGAATATTGAAAAGGCGCTGCCTGAATGGGAATAAAGGAGAAATGCTTGATTTAAGCCTTTTAATTTTCTTACGAAGCAATTTTACCGCCCGGACTAGCTTGAATCCACTTGGCCGGAGCCCGAAAAGTTATCTCAAATCTCGCCTTTTGATCTTTTTATCTCCGCTCCGGGTGAGCTCCCTTTCGTGAATATTTTTGCTCTTCGTTCTGGAAGGCGATTTTTGCAGCCACTCTCACAATCATGGATATCGATCCTAACTTAACACGCCCAGATCTATTAGTCCTCAAAGAGCTATTTGCCGATGTTTCCGAGCTCAGGAGCCAGGCTGTTGAAGCACCAGCAAGCCAATCAAGCTCTACCAGTGGGACGGAAAATTCAGGAATCCACCAAGCTGAAATTAGGCAAAGGTCCAACAGTAAGGCCCTTTGGCTGAACTGTATCTCAGTATATTGCTAATAAATTTTTTAAAAAAGAAAATGGGTACGCTGAATCCAACGGCCTCCAAGCCAACAACGCCACGGTCGAAACTTTGGCTTCTCTCAACAATCCTCAGCACAAAGATTTCGAACCAACCATCTTTCTGACGTGGGATTTCAATGATATCAAGCTTCCCCGCCTTCTAAATGACTATTTATTAGAGCCGTATGTCAATTTTGGCCGCAGTGTAGTCCGTGTCGAGACAGATGTGGTAATGCTCACGCATCTCCTACTCTACTTTGCTACATCCGTCCCAAGTGCACTTTTCCTGTTCTACCGCTTCAACTGGATCCATGGAGTCCTGCACTGGATCATGCAATCCTACTACGTGGGAACATATACTCTCATGATGCATCAACATATTCACATGGGAGGCATTCTTGCTCGAAAATACTCATGGTTTGACAAGTTGTTCCCCTACATTACAAACCCGCTGATGGGCCACACTTGGAATTCTTATTATTACCATCACGTCAAGCACCATCACGTCGAGGGCAACGGGCCTAACGACCTCTCTTCCACCATTCGATACCAGCGGGACGACTTGGGTGATTTCCTCTGCTACGTTGGTCGATTTATGTTCTTCATCTGGCTGGAGCTACCTCTGTACTTCCTCCGCACATCAAAGACACAATTAGCCATAAAGGCTGCATTCTGGGAAATTTCAAATTACCTTGCTATTTTGCTCCTCCTCACAGTTAATTGGAAAGCTACGTTGTTCGTATTTGCGCTGCCACTCTTACAATTACGAGTGGGATTGATGATTGGCAACTGGGGCCAGCATGCCTTTGTTGATGAAGTCGATCCAGATTCCGACTTTCGCTCAAGTATCACACTGATAGATGTTGCTGTAAGAAATCCTTACCTACTCTACTGCTGCTTCGACTCAAAATCCATGCTAAAGTTTAAAATGTGCGCAGAGCAACCGTTTCTGTTACAATGACGGCTATCACACATCTCACCACCTCAACCCTCTGAGGCACTGGCGGGAACATCCCGTCGCTTTTCTCAAGCAGAAAAAGCGCTACTCTGAGGAACATGCGCTGGTATTCCACAACATTGATTATATCATGTTAACCGTCAAGTTGATGCAGAAGGACTATGGGCACTTGGCAAAATGCCTTGTTCCCATTGGTGAGCAAGTCCATATGAGCTTGGACGAAATTGCCTCGATGCTTCGAAGAAAAACGCGTCGATTCACTGAAGAGGATATTAAAAACAAGTTCAAGGTGAATAAATAGCGAATGTGTGGCATACATTTAAGCGTGTGCATGTATATGTGCTGGTTGGGCATTTTCCTGGTTGTATAGTTGTGTTTTCTGTGTGCACCGAGCCCCCTTGTCATATATTCCCCTACCCATCCATGTTGCCTTCACCAAAACTAGATCTCCTTGAGCACTTGGCATTGTTGCAAATCTCTCACTATTCTCGTTGTCTCTTTGATCCCAATTTGGTTATGGGGTGTGAATCTTTTATATCTATTATTTAATACATCTTTTTCACATAACTAAGCTTTCACATACTGCCTGCAGAGTACGGAGTATGGCATATCCTGGTTTTGTACACATACCGCAGATCCATATACTCCGAAATAAACTAGCATATGGCAACAACAGTGTCCGATTAATTGTCGAACCAATCCTCGAATAATTGAAGTTCCAGTTCGATAAACTTGATAGAATCGACGATCGCAGGCCGAGGAGCGATGAAGGGGAAGAAACACTCTCCGGAGTTTCGAATTTGATGATGGCATTTTGCCACAAGCATGCGCCTATATCTCGCGTGAACTGGTGGCTAACGTGGAATAGGAATAGGGGACGGAGAAAGTCGAACTCCACGTTTTGGTCTTCGCGATTTGAGAGTGTCATAAGAGGATATCCGTGGAAATCGTTTTGAGTGCCCCCTTTGGGTGTACATCTGCGTCGTAAATATCAGGGCCTTTGTAAACCTACAGGCTATAAACAGGGTGGCATGCCCAAATCGATCAGCGCGGCTGAAGAAGGGGCGTCTTCCATTTCCACTGTAGTATCGTCCTGCTCCTCTTCTTCTCTCTCGCCGTTGCGAACATCATCATCATAATATCATCATCATCATCATGATCCTCCCCATCACTCGTACTAACCTCACTCATTTCATCAATTGGCAGACTTGTATCAAATTGTGACGTCATACAAAGCTGCTTTCCACGCTGCATTTGGGCATCATCAGCAACCCCTTCCCGAATTGCTTTATACAGTTCAAAAATATCTTCCATCCCTTCGGGGACGTCTCCGTTTGGTTCCTGCGTTGAGTGTGTAAAATCGGGTCTGGATAGCGAGAGGAGCAATTATAAGACGCATCCAACACCCTAAACCGGACAACGTTTGCCCCGTCATTTCGGCCAAATCTTCATAGCAGCTGCACAATAGAGGCTGGATGAGGAGACCAAAGATCCTATAGCGGAGCTCTAGTGGTAGTCTCATCAAAGGGGACGCTGATTGCCTGGCGAATGTGAACAACTTTGCCAAAACCAACGTCGCGGAGAAATAGGGAACCTACGTTGTTTTGGCCATCACTCGTCTTCTGCTTGGATATTCTTCGACTTTTATGCTTCCCGACGCCATCACTTTCCATTTCCAGGGGCGAGAATAAAAGATGCCCATAGCCTTGAGTATAGTCAACAGATTGGTCACGACCAAACAGCGCCTCAATATCACCCCTCTCCATATGTCCCATTTTGCAATGTCTCCAGGTGCTCCAGGTGTCCGCCTGCCAGCTATTCTTGTGAATAAATAGCCTTGCTGCTCGCTACATGGGGGGGAAATTTGGGCAACAGGTGTTTTCATACTCCAGTTCGCTGCTCCTAAGCCCGTAGCCACAACAGTGAAAAAATTGGACATGGACACAAGATTGAAGGTTTTTCAGCGCCACCTTTTGTCCTCGTGCGCTGGCACCTTAAAGGCGAACAGGACAGGCAGCAATGTGCTGTTATTTTCATCCTCATATGAAGCATAATCATTGAGGTAGCCGAGCCTCACTTCGCCTGCCAGATATCAACATGGTCTTCTCTCGACACATCACAAGCTCAACGGTTCCGTTGAGATATATCGCTTTGGCCACACAATGGGAGGGTAAAGGAGCTGCGGCCTCCGGTGCTATAAAATCCACATGATTCAGATGGCTTCTTCGTTTTTCTTTTTTCTTTTTACGGGCGTTCTCCAACCCAGATGACACAAGCAATGTCTCAACCACCAGGAGACTCGACACACGAACCTCCTTTTGGTCAGCCTGAGACGAGACACGGATAAATTAACATGGGGATTGCTACCGATTCTAATCATTTTGGTTCAATGATAACTGTATCATCAAACTCTAAAGCGATGTTGCAGCCAATTGCTCCCTCCCCTCTTGTATCACCTTGTTTCGGGGAATCGCTCGGGCATCGTTCCTACGGAGTCGATATAGCCAATAGCTTCTTCTACTGAATATTTCCAAATTTCTCACTGGTTTTGGCTGACTGGCCGACTTTCGTCCTGGAGACTGTCGCCGTTCGACTTCTCCTTCTATTTTCTTTTACTACTTCGTTCTTCTTTTCTCTCTACGTTGTCTTAGTTCTACTTGTTTTTGAGGAATATAATCCCCATTCAATCAATGTGGAATACGAGCGTTGCCAGAACACCCTCTATGCGGTCCCTATCCGCCCGGTCGATGCCCGCAGGTTCTCCAGGCTCGAGAGGTTACGATTCTGATCGGAGCAGCGATACCATCGGAAATGAAGAAGCACAAGCCGGACTATGGCAACGGCAGGGCAGTTTGTCGCCGAAGCTTGACAGTTCTAGCATCCAGCTAGCAGAAATACCAGAACCGCGGAGTCTTATTGTGCAAAACGCGCAGTACCACCCACAACCTCTCAAGCAGATTCTCTCTGAAGATCTGAAGCAATCAGACGACGCCGACTTTCCTAAAACAACGCCCACGCTACGAGATTATAGAACAGATGCAGGCAGTGCTTCCGGCTCCTCAGAGGGTGAAGAGGAGCCTGAACGAATTCCCGGGCCCCTCGAAAAGCAGCTTTCCTCTCTAATGTCCAAAATTATTTATATCGAGCAAGCAAATCCCACCATATCCATTGCGCAGGAAGAATATGAGGCATTGCAGGAAAGAGTCAAAGTTCTCGAAGCCGAGAAAGCTGCAACAGCTCAACGACACGAGGCTATTTTTACACTTCGAGACGAAGACGTCGCCAACCTCAGGAGAGTCCGCATCTTGCTAGCCGCAGAACGCCGTGAACATGCTGCATTTAGAAAGCTGCGGGACGATGACCTCAAAAACGTTATTGTCCTGCGCGGCAAACTGTGCGATGCAATCCGTAAGGTCGAGCGATTAGAAAGAGCCGGTGGCCATGGGCAACATACACCCCCCCGACAACCCAAGAGCAACATCTCCTTTGAACGACGAGATATATCAGATCTATTCCAAGCCGCGAAGAACGCAGCGCTGGAACAGCGGGTGCTCGAGCTCGAGAAAGCCAACGAGGCTCTCATGGGCCAGCTTGCCGCTGCAACCCAGAACAACGCCTTTCGTGCCACGACAGACAAAGCATGGCGCACTGCAGTCGACGAGGTAGAAAGCAAACTACGGCAGAGGGAGGAGGAATTGGCTGAAATGCGCCGCTCGTCCGTAGCACCAGCCGGTATGGACTGGAATAGGATGGAGGCATTACTTGATGAGCATGGAACGTTCCGCGAAAAGACAGCGCAGAGATTGCAGCAGCTTCGGTCAGAGAATGAGGCGCTGCGTCGGGAATTGCATAGGAAGGAGGACGAAAATTTAAGCCTAGAGGCGAGATTGAAAAGTCTACAACGTACATCACAGGCAGGAATGTTTCTGGGGGTGCTGAAATAGCCGACGATACTGCAATCAACATCTCTCCAATTTTGGTCTGGTCCACGCTATCTACTCCCATGTTTTACTGTGGTTCTGTTTTTGTCTGCTCTGTACACACTGTCCAACTTTCACGTCATTTCTCTGCACTCTCGGATATGGTTATCTCATTACCATTATCATATCATCCTATCATGCAGCGAACCTCACATCGTGTACTAATTTCCCTTGGATCAATAATATCACCAACTGAGCAATTTTCTTCGAATTCTTCCGCATTATATACATATATATGCAAAAGTTTTCCGAAATTTTACCCATCGAGAAACAGGGGGACAAAAAAGAGTCAAAATCAAAATCAAAAAAGAATCCAATCAAATCCAATTAAATATATATAAACCCCCCCCCCCCCCCAAAAGGTCGCTCATTTAACACATTTAGAGCATAACGCAACCTCGCAAACTGGGCATCGAAAGGATCGCTTGGCCACATTTCCGCAAGATCCACATTCAGTCTTCCTCTTCATCCTGAACATTCCGCCGGCTTGATGCACGCAGGAGAAAGGTGTCGGTAATTCTTGACCCCTTTTGGCCTCCAGTTCCCTTTGTGAAGCCTCAGCACGCATCTTGGCCCAAGCAGTTTGCCTTCTGGCGGTAGCATTTGCGGTGTTATCATTGAGGTTGACCAGTCGTACCGGCGTGATCGAATCCTGCTCTGTTACACCTATTCCAACTACTTCTTTAACCTCACCTTTACCCTTAGTATCTCCCTCCGCCACTTCCAGCTGCTGATTTCGCCTCTTCTTCTTGTCCTTCTTCGTTCTTCTGTGAGGCCGTTTGGATTTCGATCCCACCACAGGCCCCGGGGCCATGGAAGTACTCGTGTCATTCTTATCTAGTCCATTACCCACTTCAGCATCAAGTATGCCCCTTTTCTCCACCACCCCCCTCTCCTTCAACGGGGAATCTCCTCGAAACCGCCTCCCCTCCAAACTCGCCTCATGCAAGCTAACCTTCGCCCCCTTCCCCCCCAACAACATCATCCGCACGTACGGGTCTCGACACCTCTTCGCCAACAACCTAGGCGACTTCCCAGCCTTGGTCACAGCGTCCGGATCAGCACCATAGTCCAACAACAACCGTACGCGAGCCGCCGCCACCCTCTTCCTATTGTCTGACACAGAGTCAGCACGAAGAAGAAGCGGCCGCACAGCACAATACAACGGCGTCCACCCTTTCGAATTCCGCACGTCGACCTCAACACCCTGCTCCAGCAGCAGTCTCAAGAGCCCAGCGGGCCCGCTGCAGCAGGCGACATGGAGCAGGCAGCCTCCGTGGTGGGCTGGAAATGGCGTATGGGGATCTGCGCCGTGCTGGATGAGGAAGCGAACCATGCTCTCGTGGCCGTAGCAAGTTGCGATTTGGAGAGGCGTGAAGTAGAGGGTTGGTGGACATGAGTCTTGGCGCCGGGAGGGCGATTGGATGGGGAAGGGGTCTGGGAATGGGGAGGGCGAGGGATCCCCCGCGTGTATGTCTACGCCATGGGATAGTGCTTTGCGGGCGGTGGATTTGCGGCCCTTGTATGCAGCCCAGAAGAGGGCTTGGGGGTCCTCTGATTTGGCGTCGTGGCGGTAGAGGTAATTGTTTAGGATGGAGTGGAGGTCGCGACAGGTTTGGGAAAAGTTGTTAAGGTCTCGCTTGTTTGGGATTTGGTCTGCAATGTTTATGATCAACTCTGGGGGAAGATTGAGGAAGGTCATGAGGGCGCGAATATGGAGTTTGATATTTCTTAACAGGGTAAATATGCGTTTGCGATGCTCAAGGCAAAACGATAGGGAACTGAAACTTAACCAGAAAATTGGTTAAAACACTAAGTATGAGATAAAAAGAAGAATATGAGGTATTTTTAATCGTGGGAGCCGGAACACATGAGATTGAATGAGCGTGAAGCTGCGCAGGAGGTCACTTAGAAGCCGCATGATGATAGGAGTGGCGTAGTGATATGGGTGATTCACTGCGCACATAAAATATATATTACCTCCAGCAGCTTTCATAGGGACTGTGAAAGGGTTAGAATAGGATAGAAGGAAAGCAAACAAGATGTTGCTGGCAAAAGAGGCATGTAATAAGGATAGAACAGTACGTGCGTGATGTTCTCGTTTCAATCTCATCTCCAACTTCTTCAAGACACGGGCTAATATATCAGATAAACTCAGCTTCTGAGGGCGTACGGTACACAAAAACTTGATCATTCCCTTAGATTTTCTTGACAAACTTGTACATACATAATGGTTCAGGCTTCAGCTGGAAAAACAACTCAGTTTCTTCCAAGCAGTTGCATTGGTAGAGCTTAGGTGGACATCAAACTTCGATTTCTTGCAGTTTGTAACGCAACTAAATCAATTAATTATCTAGGTAATACTTTGGTTTAGCTACTGCGGGTAACTGAGATATCATCTTTTCCTTCTCAGGTTACATACTCCAAAAAAGAGGGGGGGGGGGGGGGGAATGAAGTTCCACCGTGTTCAGTTACTCCCTTTCTCAACTACCCCTGAAGCAGAATCTCTTCATTTAAAGTCGCCTAGACAATAGTGAATCCTATCAAGGTGGAAAGAGTGCAGGAAAGGAGGGGGGGTGGATATGACGATCTAGAAAAACCTAATATCGCCAATCCAATTCATGATAATTTATATCAGACGGAAAGAAATAGCAATAATAGTAAAATAATAAAATGAACATGAAAATAAAGTGGAATGACAGAATGATAAAATTGAGAGATAAGGAGAGGAAACGAGATCTAGGGCAGAAAATTCAATATTTAGAAAACTAGGAAAATGTTATGATAAAGGAGTGGGTATCTCAACGCTATGATAGATAGAAAGAAACAAAGAAAAGTGAAAGAGAGAGGGACGAGATAACAGAGAGAAAAAGGGAAAGGAGCATTGTATCCATGTGTTCTAGTATTGAGGAGCAAGTGATAAAGAGGAGACGTTGAAGAAAATGTCGCGCAAATCGCATGCCATAGGCTATGCGATGCTATTCTCCGCCTCCCATATATCTGGCGTGAAATAATAAGCTCTTCTGTCTTCCATACGGTGGTCTCGTCGTACCCACGAAAAGAAATATTAAAAACAAAATAAGCAAATGGAAAGGGAAAAAAAAGGAAAAAAAGGTTATGTAGAAGTTCTGTGCTACTTCTGGGAATCAGCGGCTCCAATCGAAACGTCGGTTTTTACGCTCCCGGCATATCCACCACCACTCATATCCGCCTTCATATCTCTCAAGGCAACAAGACGCCTCGCACACACGTCTTCATGCTTAATCACATTTCTCAACGCTTCACTAGCTTGGATGAGTCCGTCGATGCTAATTGCGTGGTTAGTCATCTGATGATTGATGTACGTATACACAGCCGCGGGCGTTGGGCACGTTGTAAGAAGCTGCTGTTCATTAAGTTTGAGTAGTGCCACAGCAACCTGGAAGAAGAAAGTGCTCCCACCACCGCCACTGGTGGCTAATGGGTCACCATCCGAATTTGGCGCAGATCCTGTTAGAGAGTTGATAGTATGGGAAATTAAGCCGGTCGAAACGGTGCCTCCCTCGGCATTGTCTCTCTGCGATTGAGCGTTGGACTGGGCCTGGGGAGTCAAGGCTGCAGTAGTAGCCGATGCGGTAGGGGTATTGAGACAGAAAACGACATCCCAAACCCGGAATAAAGCTTCCGCCGAGAGGCAGTCAGTGAAAGCAGACAAAAACCATTGGAAGGTCAGAGCTTCAAGTTCGATGCCTAGCTCGTCAAGGTGTGCCGATAATTTAGGCAAGATCTCAGCTACGTATTGTCGGAGAATTTGCTGATCAGCGCGCGACGCGAGTAGACCATGATCGTAGTAGTGGGCGGGAAGGATATTTTCGATGAGTGATGCAAGAATCCAAAAAGCATCCTCAGCGGTAGGCATAATCAAAAGTAGCGATCCGGTAATTAAATTCATACCCTGACAATAGCCAACGTCGGGGTTGCGGCGAGAATAAGCCAAAAGGACTTCGTTCAGTTTCTCGACACCAGGACCCTTGCGAAAGAAGACGTTATCAGTCAGTGTTCGATGAATATCCATTTCTATCTGGGAAACGACGGATGGATCTGTGTCTAAGCTCGTGCTGCCCTTCACAAGGTCATCATAATACCCGGGTACTCGCATTGCAGAGGCGCCACTGCATTCGGACCAAATTTTCGCTCGGTACGCGACAGGAATGCCTCCAATAACAAGACCTCTAAACTCGCGCCATTTGGCACGCCCGACTTTACCCTTGGTACCAAGGCCTGTAATTCCTACAACCTCTCCGACTGCAAGCGACACTTCAGGCATAGCAAGGGATACGCTGGGTCGATCAGAGGCTTCGCCCTCTTTTCGGCGCTCTGCACGAACTTTCCGCAAAAATTCATTCCACTTTACCGTACGGTCCCGTTGCAAGGAATCGTGAAGCTCAGTTAGCCGTTCCAAAAGGAGCTTAACGGGTTCCTGTTCCGACGCTGGAACGAGAGAGTCAAATGCCTCCGTTCCGGACCCTGCAAACTCTGCATTGCTTGACACGACCTGCGACGTAAGTGCGGCTGCGTGTGGTGTGGAATTGACAACAGATATTGATCCTCCTTTTTGAACAGCAACAGATGGTGAGCGTGGCTTCTGTTCGGCAGCATTGGATACTGCGACAATAGCACCTGCTTCTGGAGTGTCGGAGAGAAGCTCAGTTGGCTTAGTAGCAATTTTCAAATAATCTTGCCATCTTCGTGTGGAAATGTTTCCGTTTTCAGTATCAATTGGTGTTGCATCCGAGGGAGACCCTGCGTCGCCCGCGTTAAGACCTGTGTTCAGATCTGGATCGCTCCGGATCCTACTGATTGTTTCCGTGGTACTTATTCTGGATGGATCACTATCTGCTCCCCTCTGCCGCTTCTTCCTCCTTTGGTCATGGATGAAACCAAATCGGTCTGTGAGTAGCTCCCCCGGTTGGTAATTTCTATATATGTGTGTGAGTGTTGGTGGGCGAGATTCCATAGGTAATATAGGATCCATCTCCACAGGACCCAGGGTAGTCGGATTCTCATCCGTTGGCCTAGACTCAGGTGTTCCGACTTGTCTAGAGCTAGAAAAGCCATCCCGGCGAGCTCCAGAGAGGCTGGTTCTAGAGCCTCGAACACTAGATGTGGTGGAGGGCTTTGTAGATCCTGTCTGCCCACTGACCGTGCCATTTAGACGCTTCAGGGCAGGAACTGCAGATGCACTAGGTTTTGTCGACTCGTTAGCCGATGTTTGTCTGACCCTCGAGTTCGGCGTAGTGGAAGAATGACGGCTTTTGACACTTGGGGAGTTAGTATCTTCCTTCCCAGCCTGGGGATTCCCAGCAAACAATTTGACGGTCCATGATGCGAAGGATCTCGAAGAACGACGAGAATTGACACTCGCAGCATCTCCGTTTTTTATTTTTGTCGAGCCCTTGCCGTCCGCGCCGAATGTAGGTGGAATCGCCTCCAGGGGTTGAAATAGATGCTCGTCTAAGGGCTTCCGACGATTTCCAGATGGGTCCGACATTTGCAGGAAATCATCACCACTATCCTGCTCATTCAAGTCACTCATCATGCTACTCGCCTTGCTCGTCTTCCGACTAACCGTAGCACTTCCCCAGATATACCCCTGCCAGGCGCGACCTAAAGTAGTAGAAGATCTTTTTTTAGTTGTGGACCCTGCACTAGAGCTTCTGGATCGAGGATTGCTGTATTTTCGAGTAGGACGGATTGTGTCGCGCAAATCCCCGTCCCCTTTGTCGTACTCTTCGGGTAACGAGTTCATCACCTGAGCTCCTACATCATCACTCATAGCCTGGCTCATCATATCATCGATTGTGGGAGACACCTTTCTCACTCCACTTAACGGGCCGAGATTCTCTGTACTGTCATCTATCGATTTAACAACGGGGTTTTCCAGAATGTAGAGTCTGTGTTCGATTGCCTGGTTCGATATTTGCGCTTCTCGAAGCATTTTCTTCAATTCCTTCTCTCTCTCGTCTGCGCGTAGCCGGATTGATGAAATTTCAGCATCGCGAAGTGCCAGATCCCTGGCGAACTGCCGGACCAATTTTACCGCTCCAGTCCTTGCAATTATGCGCTCGATATGGTCGTCATTGGCAAGATGGAGTGAGCCCGGAACATCCCGAGATGCGACTGAGTCACTAAACAGGGCAGTACGGCCAGATATCTGCGGTAACGATGTTGTTAAGCCTTCAAGTGTTGCTTTACGACCTCTCTCGCCGTTTTGGCGAGTGTTATCCTCTTCCAATAACGCCTGACTCAAAGCATGATTTAAAGCAGGCTCACCCCGGAAACCCTCTGGTGAGATGTCAGGAGAGAGGGAAGGAAACGACGTCAGGTCGGTGGGAGTATTGGTGGAGGAGGAGGTAGAGAGTCGCTTGACGGCTTTTGCTCGGGTTTGCTTGTTTCTATGGCTTCGTCTAGAAGACACGGATGTCTGGGAAGAGGAGCGTCGTTTGGAATTGGCATGGGGATCAAGAGCGTCAGCCATGGCTAAGGTGCTGTCAGAGCAACTGGCGACAGAAGACTGGCGTACGTCTTCATCAAGATCAACTCCGTCGGCTTAGTGTTGACAATGTATGGTATGGTCCGAATCGTTGGGATAAGTGCACCTGCTGTTTTGGCGTCTCCAATTATGTCTTCTAACTACATTGACCATTTCTCTTCCCGTATTCCCACTTTAATACAAAACCCGGCTCGTAGTTTACGGGCAGCGAAGGACAACGCACAGGCGGCCAGGCCAGCCACTTGGAGTCAACGTGAATCTTTCCAGCAGCGGGACACGCCAAACGAGAGGGGGGGGGGGGACAAATGGAGAAGAAGGGGAGAAGGAGGAGAAGGGGAAGAAAGGGAGGAAAGGGAGGAAGGAAGAAAGAAAGGAAGAAAGGGTAGGGAAGAGATAAATGTCTTATTATAGAGTGAATCAGACAGGAATGTTGACAAGAAACCTGGGATTGGCGTCTAGCAGACAGGGTGAATCACGAACAACAAATCTCAGCCAGATGTTGGTGATGATGAAATAATCTAAGAAGAAGCAAGTAGTGTAGTGTAGTTGTAGTGTAGTGTAAGTGTAGTGTAAGTGTAGGTGTTAGTGTACGGAGTAGTCTAAGTCGGCGATGATGCAAGTCCGGTGACTTGCTTGTTGCCAAAAAAAGGTTCAGCCGCCTTCCTTGTTTGGTCTAGACTCTGGATTATCTATTTCCCGTGTCCAAATAGTTACGGCATTATTTTCATTATTTTCACCCTTGATGGATGGATGCGTTGGCAGGTCATGTGATGTTACGCATTAGACTCCGCTACCAGAAGAATTCTTGGGGGAAAAACTCTGACCTTTTTTGGTGCTGCATCATCAAGCCTCTTTGTCAAATACACATCAGACAATCGCATACAAATCTAGGTCCTTCACATGGCCATCCATGACATTTGTTGACACAGGAAGCTTCACGCATCATATCGCCACCCCAGCCGCGAAACCCTAGTGGCCAGTTTCCAGGCTCCAACCCAACCTGTCCGCAGATTGAAGGTGCCCGAAGGACCATGATAGGCAAAGTGGCTCTGGCTTGAAACAACTCCCCTTGTTGCTACGAAAACCGTGGCCTCCCTCATCCAATTTGCTCAGAAGTGGCGGGGTGCTGAGTGCTGCCCCTTACTTGACACACTCGTCCAACGAACCAGGAAGTGGTGTATAATCTGTCTGTCCAGAGCGCGTTGACTGCATGCTATTGCTATACCTATCTATCCCAATATTGTAAGAGAAGCACAGGAAAACTCACTGGGGCGTTGGGCGCATTGTTTGGGACTTCAAATCCCTGCACTTGAATGCAGTAATGAGAGTGGTAACACCAGGGTATCACGGCTGGACCGAGCGATCCCATTCTTCTGGATCTGTGTATAGACCATTACGTAGCCAGCTGATTCCAACAGCTTGTCGTGCATTTGTGATAACTGGATAAACCTCGTCTGACTTCAATCATATCCAATTAGAGAATTAGAGGGAGCATTGGGCATCGGATGAGACAAAGTCTGGTTAACAACTGGCAGACCGTCGACAAATCAAGAAGAGGATAAACTAATCGAGTTCAACATCCATCCCATCCCATAATAAAAATAAATTAAATAATAATAAACTCTCTCGTATTTATTGCCGGAGACTTTAGAGTTAAAAGCGGCGAGGGAACACTGCCCGAAACAGGCACCAAATTTCTCGTTCTGCCCGGCTAAATTAAAACTCCCGTGGCTTTGGACCTCGGGACTTTGGTGGCTGCAACAACCTGCACAAGCCGCGAATGTGGGGAAGAACATGTCTGCGAATGCTTCAAAAACGAGCGCGTTGGCGGAGGAATAATAATAATGGACCAGAGCTGGTATCTTGATCCTTCATAATACCCATACTGACCTACAGTTGACAATACGTTCCCTGCATTGCCTTCCCTGGCCATATTTACTCCGTACTCCCTCCATCCTCCGTCATCCACGATGTCTTCCGCCGCTAAACGCCGCCTTCAAGCCGTCAGCCAGCAACTGACTCAAGGTGTCCCAGATGTCGGCACCTTTGAGAACATCCCTCGAATTCGTGAAGTTGCTCCAGACTCCGTAGGACCGTAAGTCTCCTGTGCAACTCAATGTCCATTGGAGGCTTGGATGTTGCTGCGGCGCACGCATAGCGCGGGCATCCAACCTGGCGAAAACCCCGGCTCACCCATATGTTGAATTTAGGAGAGTCCAGGGAAAGGTTGTCATTGTAACGGGTAGGTAGCCCAGGCCCTCTCTCCACCAAAAGGTATCGAAAATGACAGAAAGGCCACAACGAAAGACTAACATCTACTTTCACGCCCGCAGGAGCAAACTCCCCCATCGGCATCGGTCGAGCCAGCTCCCATCAATTCGCCCGTAATGGCGCAAAGGCAGTCTTCCTTTGCGACTTCTCCGATTCATTCCTTGCCGTGCACAAACGGGAGCTCGAATCGCTCTACCCAGGCGTGGACATCCATACCCGGCAATTTGATGCCGGAAACGAGGAGAAAGTCAAAGCCGTTGTCGACGAGGCCCTCGAGAAATACGGCCGGTTGGACGTCATGTTCGCGAACGCAGGAATAGTTGGACAGCCCAAGATATTCACGGAAATTACAGGAGAGGAATTCATGCAGGTCATGGACACGAATGCGAAAGGGTAAGATTAAACTTAGAGAAGAGGAAGAAAGATAAGGAAAAAAAAAAAAAAAAAAAAAAAAAAAAAAAAAAAAAAAAAAACCCGTTAAACCCTCTGGGACAAATAACAAATAGAATCTACATAAACTAACACAAAACCCCCCCCTCCTCAAAACCACAGTCCCTTCCTCGCCGCCAAATACGCCGCACCAGCCATGCAAAAAACCTCCGCCTCCAAACCCTACCCATCCGGAAGCATAATCATGACCGCGTCCGTCGCCGGCCTCCGCTCCAACGCCGGCTCAACCGACTACTCCGCCAGCAAAGCCGCCGTAGTCTCACTAGCGCAGACCTGCGCCTACCAGCTAACCGGCACGGGGGTGCGCATCAACGCCATCTGCCCCGGTCTGATTGCCACGGGCATGACGAAGCAGGTATATGACATGGCAGAGGCGCGCGGCACGCAGCATAAGATTGGCCAGCTGAATCCGCTGCAGAGGGGCGCGATCCCGGATGAGGTGGCGCGGGTTGCGCTGTTTTTGGGCAGTGATGAGAGTAGCTATGTGAATGGGCAGGCATGGGCGGTTTGTGGTGGGTTGAGTGCTGGGCATCCGTACGTGCCGAATAAGATGAGCTGAAGGGGGTGAAAGAGGGACTGTTTTCCTGTTTGGGATTTTTTTTTTCTTTTTTTTTTTTTCCCGGATTAGGTTCTCAGTCTGGGGCGGTTTGGGATTTTTCTTTTGCGAGGGAATTGATAGATACATACTGTTTTGTTTCTTACGTACTGTCAAATGTGCTATAGAGTGATGCATGGATACCTAATGATGAATATCCTATTACATCCCGTACTTGCTCTAAATTTCCAACCTTGATAAGGTCTCTGTATCTACTTGACTACTGATGGAGAGATATCTTATCCGCGGGAGCATTTTTTACTATACTCCTACACACACCTTTCTCCTTCCACCATGACGAGGTAACCACGTACCCATTGATATTCACAACTCGGCACCATAATCCGGACTAAAAATGTTTATTATGGCGGTAAATCGTATGATTGTATATAGGATGCACATACACCGTATGTCACCGAATTAAATAAACTACACCTATAGATCTGGAAGGGGTGGCACTTGACACCTCCCATCCCCAAACAACCCTTACCCTCCTCCCACCTCCAAATCCTTGCACAAAACCTCCAACACCTTCTTCTCATCAACACCCTGAAAAACATCAGCCCCATCTCCTCCCTCTACCCCTTCCTCCTCCTCCTCCTCCTCCTCGACCCCTTCCAACCCATCTCCACTACTACCATCCCCATTCTCTCTCAAATACACCTCCTCCAGCATGAACCTGTCCGCTGGCAACCCACTAGCTGCCCACGGGAGGACGTAGAAAGTGGGAAATTCCAGCACGCTACGATTCCGTAGAGCGTCTGTGATTGTGGCTGATCCCGTAAGCGGGATGAGCACAGGTAGCTTTGAGCGGGATTGAGGGCGGTGGAGATAGAAGTGATGTTGCTGTTTGTGTTGTTGGGATAGGGGTTCATTGGATGGTGGATTAGTGCGTGGATTGGTAGTGCCATCACCATTGGCTACGGAGGCAGTGGTAGCATGGATTTCGTTTCCAGGCTTCGTGCGCTCCTCTGCGTTGCTGGTGGAATTCTGAGTCGGGTTGGGGGTTGATTTTGTCTCTGGGCATACTGTGCGGGATAGGGGTGTTTGGCTGCAGGATGTGGTGGCATGGGTTTCTGACGAAAGGGAGTTTATGTTTATGTTCATGTTTGTGTTTTGGGTCGCAGATGGCGAGGGCCGTGGAATGGCTTCGGAATCCAGTTTCCGTTTCTTCGCTGGTGGGGAGGTTGTGTTTTTCTCTGCACCAATCTGTTTTGAGAGGGACGTTCTAGAGAAGGCTGTAGCGACGGCTGTTGACTCGAGACACTTGCTGATGGCCTTTTGGCTCTGGCTGTCGTCGGCTAGTATCCATTCAATCGTCCAGTTTAGGCATTTATGTCTGATTCCAGTCAGTAGTTGCCACGATATCCCCCTTTGTACAAATAAAATTACGCCTCGAAAGAGGTCAACACGCACAAAGAACAAGGAATAGGAACATACTTCTTATGCCAATGGGACATATTCTGTTTCTCTCTCGACATTCCCCTCGGTGCCCTAACCACCTTTACTCCGGCAATCTCAACCCCCCTCATCAAACCCACCTCCCCTTTCTTTACAGGCTCTGTCTGCTTCTTCCCTCGCTGCCTCTTCCAGCTATCACCATCATTATCATCATTACCATCACCATCACCATCCACCCTAGCCAACGCAATCCCCCTATTCTCCGCATCCCTCTCCGCTCGCTCAACATATCTCTCAATCCCGCTAAGAAAGTTGAAATCCTTATCAAAGGCCACGGGCGTCGCAAGCTCCTTACGTTTTAGATAGGCTGCTGGGTCGCGCACCCCAGAGCACTGAGACCATAGTTTATGGCGCTTACTGCATGCGAGTGAGCAGGTTGGGGTCGAGCAGCGGGGACATTTGTATTTGGGTTCATTGATGCGGCTTCGGGCGCATGAACAATGTGTTAGCAAAGATGTTTCTGTTGATTTGCTCTAGATACACAGGCTTACCAGATAGTACATAGATCGCTAAGCGATAATTCCTTGGATTTAGACATATTGTGGAAGGTCAGTACATAGCCCCGAGCTCTAGATATGGTTTCTGATACTCCAGTTAAGGAAACATCCCAACACAACAATTTTTGTCGGAATAAATATTTCCCCGGCTTATCGATAAGGAAGCTTGGCGCGAGAGCCTCCTTTTACTATTAACTATTAGGGCTAGCGTTGGTTATGAAGGAAGCTTCTCTTCCTTCAGCTCGGCCAAGTGTAGTTACGGAGTAGTGATGACAATTTCCCCCGTTGGCGCCGGCGAGCACTTATCTAACGACAAAACGCGCGTGCAGGGTTTGTTTGGCGATGGTGCCTCTCGGTTCTCTCGCGGGGAACATGCCAATAACGATGCCATCATCCCTACCCTACCCGACCACACAGCCCGTTTAGCATCCAGATGCTTCAAAAGGCGTACTGCAATCAAGCACCTCCTATCTACTGTACATTGTATGTACATGTACATACATACGCTGCTTAGGTACGAAGGGATATAATGAAGGCGGCAAATCCCGATACAAGAGAGCGCAGAAGCGGTTATGAGCGGATGCTCTCCGTTTGCTAGCGACCTCTGCTGCTGCCGCGGATACATCCCAAACATCCAGAGTACAGTCCAAGGACACACTTATCACCCCGAACCAGGGGAATCAATCGAAAAGCTTACAAGGAACGTCACAGCCCCTCGTATCTACTCCCCAGAGGAGCATTGGAGCAGGTCGGTCCGCCGAAGATGAACCTAGAAAAAAAAAAAAAAAAAAAAAAAAAAAAGTAGAAAAACCCACCGCAAGCAAGCAGGGTGGACGAGCCGATCTCCTTCTATCTTGTTGATGGCGCTACTACGCAGTACTACTACTATGCGTAGAGCACGCAGTTATCCGTGCTGTCCTCGGCAATAATAAAGAACGAGGATATGTATGTATGTACGGAATATTAAGTGGATCAATTGAACATCATACTATTTTAAGCCGTGGCAGTCCCATCCATGCAAGAAGCAGCTGTCCATTATTATTCTTCCAGGAGAACAAAAAATACTTCACGTGCATTTTTAGAAGCTGTTTCGGCTTTAAGTTACACATCTACAAAGCAAAGGGGGGAAGATGTGAAGTTGTGCAGTTTATCTATCTATAATTAACAGTGATATGTGAATGTGATACCTCAATGCAATCACTTATACTTTTCCTCCTTTGCATAGAGATGACTTCTCAGCGGAATTTGATCTTATTTTAGACTGCAATATACGCAGTAAATGATTGCTGGTCAAGTTTTGAAGCAGTGAGATACATTATTACAATGACTGCTGCATTGCATTGCATTGCATATCATAATGCATATCATATGCAATCTCCCATAGTTGAATTATTGCACCCAGCAATTCTCTGCTCTCAATCGAGTTACTTCCGTACTCCGTACTTTGTACAGAATATTTTTCTTTCACACCCCGCCCGCCACAGACAACCACACACACACGTATCTTAAGAACCCCTCATTCAAAATTCTACACTCATCAAAGTCTCCAGGCTTCTTACCGCCATTGGAAGTTGAACCATCAACATCACATGCTTTGTTCATACGATATGTATATCCCTAGGTACCAACCAACCACCACCTCCACACACACACACACACACACACACACACACACACACACACACGAGAGATTAGCAACATATGGATTCTCCATCGCCGTTTCTGGATCATCTCCCAAGTTTCTACAGTCTATAATTCATGGATGGAGGATAGGGCAACGCAGCCTATATCCTTGGCTCAGCACCGGTAGAAGCAAACCCAGCTTTCAACAAGCTTTTGTCATGCCACCCATCTACCTTGTTTGAAGGCACAGCGAAAAATAATATAAAAAAAATGAAATGAAAATGAAATAAAAAGAGAGGGAGAGAGAGAGAGAGAGAAAGAGAGAGAGAAAGAGCACACGGTCCCAGAAGGAAGAAAAACGGGTTGTAAACAAATGATGATCAGCGAGTTCCGAACCATACAGCGGTTACAATTTGCTATCCAACGGTGAATGGGGCGTAACTGAAAAGCCACAAGACAAGTACGGAGTAAAATAAAGAAGGGCATCATGAGGACCCTGAGAATGTAAAAAGAAATTCATCAACTAACCATTCTTTTGGAAGAACAGTTGACTACTCCGTAGTTTGGGTCAGGGACCAGACAGCAAATGCACAGACCCGCATAATTGTATAGTTTAAAAAGAAAAAAAAAGGAAAAAAAAAAAGGAAAAATGGCTTGAAAAGGAGAGAAAAAGACAAAGACAAAGTGTTGGGGTCCCGCGGTTGATCGGCCCTTCTACCAGCAGTGCGCTGGTGGTGACTGAGCTCTTTTGCCCCAGTAGCCTACAGGTTATGAGACTGTTAAGCGTGAGCCCCGCTGTGGTCAACATGCATGGGTTTGATCCCAGAATGGACTTAAAAATTCCAAACAAATACCCTGGACATTTTAACAGTGCCAAGAGACATCCCAGGAGTGTGCCCTAGAAGTCCCTTGAGCCCTAGGACTGAGTCCACTGAGAGGAGCCACTATGGGGAGCCACTGAAAGGAGCCACTGAGAGGAGTACTGTACTCTGTGGTAGCTGGTCCGAGGGGGGGTGTTGGGGGTCCCGCGGTTGATCGGCCCTTCTACCAGCAGGCGCTGGTGGTGATTGAGCTCTTTTGCCCCAGTAGCCTACACAAAGTGATTGGACTGAGTTATCAACTGAATAGCCAAGTAAGTGGGCAAGCTCCCGGTGTTGGGCGAATCATACCGTTTGCGGAGGGCTTCTTGAAGAACTGGGCGATTGGTATTTAGAGAGAGGTACTCCGTACGGAGTACGGAGTAAAGAGAGAGGGTTAACAAAAGAAACGCATCAGAGATATTTTAAAAAACGCAGATACATAAATTCATGTTGGTCAGTATGCCAATTTTGTTGCCCACTATTGGTCTGGTATGCGGTGCGCGTTCCTTCTCCTCTTCTTAAGTGTTCCTTGGAGCCGGAGTCATGGAGAACCGGCCTAACATAAACAATAATAATGTATTACTGCGTAACGGCCGTGGCGACCAGTCATTTTGAACGATTCTTAACAGCCATTTTCGCTGATTATCGTAAGTAGCGGTGCGTGGATACCGTTCGAGGGGGCGTGGCGTGGCTGTCAGACGGACCCCCTCACCTGTAGAATCGGGTTGCACGTAACATGCAATAGTTTTGTCACACCTTTGGCCTGGAGTTGAAGAGGTAACAACAGATGGAGGGTTCAATTGCCTGATTTGCACAGAAAGAAACCCTTCAGAAAAATGTAGAAATCATTCAACCCTCTCTTTCACCAGGTTAGAGGGATTGGGTATGTATTGTGTCACCAATATCAATTTGAGGTGGGATCTAGCCATCGATCGTTTCGGCTGGTTTTCTAACGTGGAAGGGGGTAATGTGTTTCAATCTATGGTTTTGCTTTTTCTTTTTTTTTTTTTTTTTCTCCCAAGAAACCTTTTGATGCCGATTTATCAAATAATGAGGGGGAACGGCTCTACCCAATTATTATTTTCGGGATGTCAGATATGATACGATACCCAAGAGCCGTCGTCCGTGGCTCTGATTGAATATGAAGGCCTGGCTTGAGGCTTGAAGGAAGAAGGCTGGAACCGATGAACCTTGTACCATGCGTAAGTTACCGAACTACGCTGTAAGATGTGTTGTGTGGTAACCTTGGCACCGACCATGTGGCGTTGTTTAGTTGTCTACGCTGCTAATAAGGGGGCGGCGAAACCAACCAGTCCAGTCAGGGGCTTGCTCAGCTGTTGGGGTTTGGCCGCCTGCGATAGGCTCAACAGCTGGATGGGATGGGATGGGATGGGATGATTAAAGAAGTTTAGAACGGGAAAACGCTTGCCGCTAGCTTCCTTTGCCAAGCCGATAGAGCCTGATTTTTTTGTTAACCTTCCACGCTTGACATCTTTCATCATGATTATTATTATTATTTTCTGCTCCCTGTTTCTTGAATGTGGTTGTTTGGGTGTTAAGTTGTTATTATTCAACTTCACTGCCTTCTGCGTGAGGAGTGGTGTATGTGAATTCAGAACACCCAGTGATAAAGCAATTGAAAAAGAAATGGCAAGTAGGTGGATGCGAATAACAATAATAAAACAACAATAAATAATGATAATAGGGGGTTTCAGAGGGGGAAGAATAGCTACAGTTAATAATAATAATAACTCCCTTCCACCCGGGCTCGCCCCAACAACGCCCGCAACGCCCACAACGCCCACAACGCCCACAACGCCCACAACGCCCACAACCCCCGCCAGCCCGAACCCTGGAACCCCACTCCGGGCCCCTTTTGCAGGCTTGAAGCTCGCCCTAGCCCCGACCAGCAGGACCAGCAGGCCCAAGCAGCAGGCAAGCCCTCGTTCCCCTTGCCCTGCCCTGCCCGCCCGCTTCCCCCTCAAACCCTCCCCCCCCCCCCTGGCGGCACCCAGTGCCCCTGCGCCAACCAACGCTGCTTGTTGCTTGTGGCGGGTTCCTTTCCTCGCCTCTTCTCCACTCTCTCTCTTTCTTCTCTCTGCTGGCCCCTGACTCTCTCTCTCTCTCTCTCTCTCTCTCTCTCTCTCTCTCTCTCTATCCCTCTCTATCCCTCTCTATCTCCCTCAATTATCTTTCCTTTCGCCACCACTCCTTTTCACTCTGTTCTATCAAACTTCTCTCTGCGTTGGATGCACCCTCTTGGTGCGTCGTGTCGCAGCCTGGAGCTCTTCTTCTTCGCCCGCCAGACCTGACTGCGTACCAGTGGCCCCCCGTGTCACTCCTTTTTATCAGCGTGGAACCCTCCTGTTTCGCCAATTGATCGATTGAATGACCCATTGATCTCTCCTGCGGTTCATCAGGGCAACGGGCACAATAGCTTTTCTCCTGCTCAATTCCCCCTCTGACGGTCCCCCCCAAGCAACTTCGATCATATTATTTCGATTGGGTCTTATTTGATCTATCTGTTCTGTGTCACGGACCGATATTTGTTATTTTTGTTATTTTTGATTTTTATTTTATTTATTTCTTCTCGTAGATCGATAGAAGAGGCTTTGGATTCTGTCTAACTATACCCGTTGTGTGTTTGTTTGCAGCAAGTGGTTTTCTTTGTTTTTTGACTTTTTATTTTATTTTTTTCCCCTTAAACAACTGCTGGCAAACCATTGCTCCTCGCTGTAGCAGAGGGCAACCCATCCATCCGCCAACCCTCTCCAATAAAACCGGAAACGAGTAATATCAAACAAACCCCCTCCAATCGATCGATCGATCGATCGATTGATCCTCTAGAAGGACATCGAAATCAGCAAGCAACATTCTTTTACCATGGCTCCGTCATTGAGAGACCATGCGTCCTTCGTTCGCCCTGCCACCAGGGACCGCCCAATAACCCGAGATCAGGGAGACAACTCCCTTGTTATCCCAAGTCGGACTTCCTCACTTCATTCCCGGATCACCCAACCCATCCCTTCGACGCTGAATATGAAACCAGCTCAACAAACTCCTAAAACTCTCACTCATGCCTACATGGTCTGTGGCGTTGGCCGTGAGCCGTCACAGTGGGTGAAGGCTCCACCTCCCGCTCAGGGAAAGATCGGTCATATGAAGGGAGCTGTTGGTCAATTCTGGTTACCTGAGATCTTGGGCAGCAGTCCCAGACTAGAACAGGATAACGAGATTGCGAGGGCACTACATTCCGCAATGAGAGTAAGTCCCATCAGGAGCTGTCCAACCTACCCATGAAGATGCTATGGAAGGACCCCACCCCATACGCTACACCCTTCTCAAATGCTGGAACTCGAACTTGGGCTGATATCTATTTCTGCAGGCTTGTTTCCCTCATGACGTTGAAATCTGCACGGGCAAGAACCAACCTCATTGTGTACACCATTCATTCGTTCTCCAACAGGATTCCTCTCACACTCTCTATGGCATTGCGCTGCGTGTATGGTCTCGAGCAGATGAGAAACGTGCGGAGACCATTCGCGAGCTGCGCAGGAAAACAGAGCCGGATTTCTATGATACCCCAGACGAAACTTATTGGATTCCATACTGCCTCAGTTTCTTATCCAGATACCCCCTCTACGATCTTCTTGGTGACTACCTCCGTGGCATGTGGATCCACTGGAACAAAGCTACCAATCTTTTCCACGCTGAAGAAGTATCCCGCATTCTCAGCTTCCCAGCGCCACGACTCAATGATTTGGTTCGGATTGACATGAAGGACTATGCACTATGCTACCAATTTCCCTCCTCCCAAACCGGATACCAAAACTTCGCTATGTGGCCCCTGTTCAACTGTTTGTCTATTCCGAATATTGTGGGTGTTATTGAAGCCGCTGTCTCGCCCACCCGCCGTATAATCTTCGTCAGTCATTACCCAGCCATGCTAACAGTGGCCGCCGAAACAATTCGATTCTGTGTGCGAGTCTACGAATGGAGTGGTCTCTACTGCCCAGTTGTCCATGCGCGCCACGCAAAGGAGCTCGTCCAGGAGCCCGGTCCATACATTCTTGGTGTTACTGCGGAATGCAAGACTCTGTTCACCGCTCCATCTGATGCCTTGGTAGTTGATTTGGACCGCAATTTTGTATTGACTTCCAGCCCTCCAAACATTTTGACTCCAGGCCAGAGGACCAAAATGATCAACAGATTGACCCAGGCTCTCAATGGGGATGTTACCCAATCTGGCGTTCCTCAGCACCTCCGATCAGCCTACGGTGGAGGTAAATTGATCCCAGCCGGCCAGATCATTGTTATGCGAGGTGAAGTTGAGAGTGTCCAAGATCCAGCTTGGTGGAATCAGGATGGCGTCATGGCCGTAATGGACCATGTCTGCGAAAAATTAGTGAGTATATGATATGATTTTCTAGAGAATTTGTACAAGGTGAAATACTAAGCCGCTTTGTAGGGCCGAAACACTGGAGTTAAAGCTCTCTTTGGTGGATCTGTCAAGAAACCATTGATGACCAAGGTTTCCATGAGACACTTGAACGAAATCGTTCGTGAGCGTAACCAGTACTCCAGAGATGCCATGGAAGCATGGCAAGACTTCATCAACCTCAAAGGTAGAATGGATACGGAGCTTTCCAAAGTTACCAAGCGCAACAACTTTTTGGTCGAAGAGCTGGAGACATGGAAACAGCAGGTATATTATCATATGGTCTTCCTGAGAGTTAAAGGAAGCTTACTGACTATCATTACAGTTCCTCAAGTTCCAAGCCTTTGCTGAACAACTTACCAAGGAGACTTCTGAGCTGAAAGTCAAAATTGAATCTCACAAACGTGAGAACCGCCGTCTTACTGGTCTTATTGACCAACAGAAAGACGATGCTGCTCGCCTTACCCTCCGACTTTCTGGAACTGAAAAACAGCGCGACGATGCTCTCGAAGCCTTGGTCCTCCAGCAAGAGATTGCTGAGGAACTCGAGCGTGAGAGGAAACGGAACGCTAAAGAGATCGGTGCCTTGCAACATACTAGCGATACTTTGTTGCGTCAACGTGATGAAGCCCAACGTGTGGTACTCCATCTTCGAAGCCTCATCAATGGCCAGGCGCATCACATGGAACATATTGTTCGCTCTCTGGGAACCACTCCAGAACTCTCTGGATATATTCAGGAAGGCTATGACGATATCCGTGAAGATGCTACTGAGACCGAATCAATCAGCGGCCGCGATACCAATGAAACGAGTTCCGTTAAGGGTGTTCATCACATGAAATCTAGCTCTAGACTCGGAACCCGCTCCAGTGCAGGTAATGGGGAAGATGTTACCCCTGAAATGGAACAACACTTGCTGAACCCCAGTAAACGAGCCAAACGCTACTCCGCACTGAGCATGTCTGATGTTGCTGATCGTCACCTGCGCGATAAGACAGATGCAATTGCCAACATAATCCGCAACATTAGCGACCAGTGTGCCGCTGCTGTCGAGGGTCTCCATCTTGCCCAAGATGCAGAATTCGAAGAATCGCTCCAGGCCAGCAAGGAGAGCCGGGAAGGCAGCAGCCTTGGCCCCACTGACGATGGGAACGAACATTCTATCCGCACAGATGGAAGTGAAGTCGGCGACAATGACAGCAGTTACTTGAGCCCAGATGGACGCGCCTCCAGTATTCCACCAACTCCAGATCTTATTCATCATCGATCCAGCACATCGATGTCCATGGTCAGCAGCTCCACAATCCCCGAGCGGTCAAGCCAGCAATATGGACCCGGTGATCTTCCGACTAAAATCGTGGAAGACGAGGATGAACACGCGTACGGCATGGAGTGTGCAGATGGACACATCGACAGCGGCACCGTGTCAAAACAACCTAGTCAACACATTATGAGACCTGACACTGCCCGTGTTATCGCATAAGAGTAGGAACGAAAACCATCTTGATAGAGCGTCGTCCTTTCGCCAGTCAACAACCCACACCACACACATTGATTCAATGAGGAATCTATATCTACGAATACTCTTTCCACGCTCAATGACGGCAGCATCGACAAGTAATGGCGCCCTTTGGGAGTTGCATCCATGATTTTGACTTTTGTTTCGAGCTCTCTTGCTATTATAACTTTATTATTTATCTGTTGGGGGTGGATTATTTTCTTTGTTTTCTTTCCTCTTTTCTCCTCTTTGTTTTATTTTCAAGCTAGATGTTTTATTTATTTTTCAAACTAACTTATTCCCCCTTTCAGCCTATTAACAGTATTACCTTTCTGCCACTGTAAAACAGACGCAGAGCTCGCCTATTTCCGCCCATCCACTCAGCCTATACTAACTAGGCTAGCGTTTCAAAAGTGTCTTTTTCTATCTGTCTGTCTATCAAAACAAATATATTTGGTATATATGTGATGCGAAACCATGTGTACAGCTTATTTTGTTTCTATTTTCCAATTCCCTTGCCCGGTCTGATTTAAACCCAAACTATCTTCTCGACATGTTTTTTGATCCTCTCGCCCGTCATATCCCGCCAAACAAAGAGTGAGACAAAAGAAAGATAGTGCTAGGCACCTATATGTATCATCCCGCAGTTCACACGAGCAGCGGATGGGATTCTACTGAAGAGGAAAATATGCATACGCCGCACCAGACCTTTTTTATCTATGAAACGCTCCTTTTCCCTTGTTTTGAATTTTCTTTCCGTTTTCATATTTTCATATTTTCTGTTCTTTCCCAAATTCTTTGTATTTCTCATCTCTTATATGTGTATATGTATTGTGTTCTCTTTTTCGTGCGCGATCCCTTCCCCTTTTGTTTTTTTTTTTTCCTCTTTTCCTGGCGGTCCCTTCGTGGCACAGGACGTACACCCACACCCTCCTTTAGTTAACTAGTATTATTTATTTTATTTTCGTTTTATTTTTATTTTTATTTTTTGAATCTCCAATCGATTTTTCTTCCTTTTTTTGTTCTTCCCCCTTTTGCTTACTTTCGTAGCTTCCTCATTTCTCATTTCCTTCTTCCTCCCCTATATATATATATATAGCCTTTCGTTGTTTCTTTATTTAATCGCCATTTGTTATATTTACTCTACTATGTTCGCTGATCGTTATATACCCTGAGTTCGTTTTCTCGACCTCTTTTGAGTTCAGTAGTAACATCTTTGGTCATTTTTATCCACGAGGCTTCCTACGAGTGTGCTACATACCTATGTGAGATAAAGCATTTCAGCAAACATGATAATGCCAGAAAACCACACATTGCGCGAAGAGCAAGCAGTGAAGACGACCAAGCAAACAAGGCTAGTGGTCACCACTATACGCCTGTCTGCCTGCCTGCTACGCGGGGAATGTAGCCAACCAACCCAACCGGTGCGAAAGGAGTGAACGCTCGTACTGTGCTGTGTTAGCCGGATAGTAAGTCTTTTTTGCTAGGTAGGGTAACTAGAGGAGAGGAGGATAATATAATCATACCTTACGAACCCTAGTGAGATTTGTTGGAGGAGATTTATATACGGACGTTTGGTTAGTTAACTGTATTTTATTATTGGTCTCGTCTGTCGGGTTTGTAACTTTGTATGGCGACCACGGTGTGGTGTTGCGACACACGCCATTACATGCCATGGTTAAACAAACAAATAGACGGGAGATTTGAATGTAGGAAGGGATGGGACGAGAGAAGGCTGAGTTTTGATCTTATCTTTCTTTCTCTTGTGGTCGATAAAAAATATAACTTCACGGCAGCTATTTTTTTTTTCCTTTTTTTTTTTTTCTTTTCTTTTCATTTGTTGTCCATTCACACATCTACTTTGGGTGTTGGGGGGGGGAATGAGGAGCGGGGAATGTACGTATGCCTGTCTGGCATTTTTGTTAAGATACTTCACTGAGCTCCAAGGGGCTTGCTTTTCCCATTTTCCCAGCCTTACATGATATAACCACGCTGCTTACAAGGCTGCGGACGAGGAGGTGAAAGGGATGGGTGCCAGCTCGCGAGTCAGCAAATTTCTTATCTTTTTTTATTTATTTTTATTTTTTTTTTTTTTTTTAAGGATATGTGATATACTGCTCTTCTACTCCGTACCCTGATATCCAATTATAAGAGCCTCTAACACCAGGGGGCGTTGGAAAGGTTGAGAAAATTGAGTTAGGGCTATATGGTCACGTGAATAAGGGGTTAATCAAAATTGTTCACCACTTTTTCAACTCTACCCTATCTCGCTCTGTAGACTCTTAATGAAAAATGAATACACACAAGGATTTTGTTATAATTTATATTTGTATTTGCATTGTTAGGGGATGGATATATCTGCGCTAAGAATGTAAATAAATAGGAAGCCGAGAATAGAATGCGAGAGCAGAGTAAGACAGAAAGGTGTAGTAAGTAGGCGGGTGTTAAGGGTAGTAGTGTGAAGGATGGGGTGCGTTGGACATGAAGTGGTATGTTGGACATGAAGGTGGGCATGAATAAAAAGCTGAAAAAAAAAAAAATAGATATAAACAGAGCGCCAGATAAATGTTGTAAGAAGGTGACCCCGAAAACACCAGTGAAATGCAGTTATCAAACGTGAAACGGACGATGCTAGTTGACGCGCCCATTGTGCTTGGTTGTCCAAACGCCGTCCTTGCCCAGTTGTTTTACCCTCGTTAACCAAAAGTGCCCGTCGAATCGATAGGGAAACGACACGCGAAGCAGTGGAAACGAAGGAATGGAACCAGATTTGATCACCGTAGTATGGTAGGAATGTATTGATCGGTAGCGGACGTAGAAGAGTAAGAAGCGCTCGTGAATAGGAAGATATGGTTCCTATGGGGAAAAGCAAGCATGCAATATTGATCTGAGAAAATGACTTTGGAGTCCAAGGAAGATATATAGACGCGAGAACCACGCGATGGAGACACCCCTAGGGACTGGGCGTTTCCGACATCTTCCCTGGAATCCAACGTCCATCCTCCCCGGAAGATCGAGGCGAAATGATTTCGGTTGGAATAGTGTTGGCAATAGTAGCCATATCATCGTCATGTGGTGCTGCAAATTCATCGAAGTTGGGCCTGGCACGAATGCTAAGTCTGGAAGAGTTTGTGGGCGATTGTTGGTGACGTTCGAAGGCATTGGGTTTCAGCCGAATCCGGCCGCGTTCCAATGCGTGGAGCAGGATGGTGTTGACTTCATCGGATACGATTCCCTTCAGTTTACTCATCGTGTCATCGGACATCTGTGACGCGTGAACATTCCAACCTAGCTTATCCAGTCCCTCAGAAACGATGGACTTCGCATCGAGGGCGGCACCGGTGTGGATGCGTAAGTTGGTCGGTGAGCTCTCATTAGAGCGACGGGAGAGTTTGGCTGGTTTTTGTCTTGATGAAGAATTGATCGATCCAACTTCGTCCTGCAGACGTTTGTGGGCCGCTGGAACGTGATGTCCCAGAGGACCTTCGCCGACTTCGTTTCGGATCTTGTAATACACCAGACCAAGAGTGGCGGCTAACGCCTGATGGCAAGCTTCTGGATATTCTCGGGCTGCTTCTGCGCGGGTGAGGTCTGATGGCAGGTCGCTCGAATCGCTCGAGTCGCTCATATTGCCATCTGTGGCGAAAGTAGCATCATGGGCATGAGGCATACGACCCCAATACTGGTATCCTTCCAGCTCGTAAAAATCGGCAAGCTCGACGAGTCGATGGACTAGAAATTCATAGATTAGTATGGCGGCAAGCCACAGCACAGTACCCCTTTAACCCTATTCCATGTCTATGCACTCACCCCTGTTTCTTTTCTTCAAACACCAAAATTTCCAAACTGTTGGGGGGAAATATTCGGGCCAGCGAACGGAACCGTCATCTTCGACAAGAGGGACTGGCGTTATAGGGGCATGTATCGTCTGGGCGAGAGAGTTGAACCTGGTGCGTTCCATGTGTTTCATCCGCGATTCCATCGCCGAGAATCGAGAGAAAACCAGCCCGAAGTTTTGGGATGTCTCTCTCCGCAGAGTCATTAAATCGATGCGAAGCTGGCTTACGATAGACTGGATTTGGCTGAGATCGGTACGGGTAGCGCAAACATCGGCATGTAGTTTTTGGACATCGAGTTGAAGTTGGTTGACATCACTTTGGAGTTGGGTGATATCACTCTGGAGAAATGCTTCCTTCGAGCCAAGTTGGGTGACATGAGTTCTTAGCTGTAGCATTTCAGACTTCAACTGCGTTAACCCATCCTTCAGTTGGGTAACGTCACTTTTCGTTCTTCCAACATTCAGCTCAATACGGCTGCAAACCTGGCGTTGCCCGTCGAACTCTCGCCGGATGAACTCATCCTGGCGGTTTCGTCGGTCGACATATTCATCGGGGGTCAAGATAGAGGAACGGAGTTCGATTACTTTGGCATCTAGTTGATGTAAACGATCATGGATATGGAGGAGTGCTGGATCGGAGACGACGGAGGGTGGTGTCGATTCTCGCTTAGTAGATAATCTCGGACTGGTCGTCATACTGGAAGCCCTCATAAGGCCCCTTTCAACCGCGCTCATCATGAAGACAAGAGAAGGGCAAGTAGAATGGGGTGGCACCCTATATAATAATGTACGCTTTGAGGGTCGCCATTTTGAATTTGTATTTTCGTTTATATGAGCATGAGTCGTGTTGGAAACTTGTGATATGGTAACAGAGTGGACGATTGAAAGTGGAGAGAGAGGGAAAGAGGCGACGAACAAAGATGGAAGATGGCGACAAAAGGGGAGAAAGATGGGAATTCTGGGCTCATGGGCAAAGTTGGCATCCCAAGACCGGTTTCAACTCTGGGCCGCAGCAAGAATTATGCATCAGCTTGATCTATGTAAAGACACTAAACTTGAAACGGCAATATCTGCTGATACCAAGACTGCGCCAGCAGTCTTGGTGTCGCCTGAAATATCTTTCGTACCACTAGCGGTATTACGAAAGTCCCATAAGCAGAACAAAGGCAGAAAAGGACAAGTGAGCCGGATTTCACAGCAAAATAAACGTAGAAAAATTAGAAAAAAGAGGAAATTTTAGAATCCGAAATAATTATCTTTTAATAAGATAATTAGAGCACGAAGAAAATTCTTCCAAACAGCGAATGCTTCCGGAAAACTTGGGAAGAAACAATAACCTTCCCATGGCAGAGGAGAGAGAGGAACACGAGGAGGGGCGCAGGCTGAAGTGGATGTGCTCGGCTGCGATGGAAAGGAATGCATTTGTTGGTTTGCATCAGCAGGCGGTGGGCGTCAATCTATGCTCAAACAAGCTAGCCATGTCCAGGATCAAGGGCCTTGCAGCGACTTGCAGCCTAGTGTATTGACTTTATTGGGCAATGTGACATTACAAATGGAACCCAACGCGAAAATGGCTGTATGCGTTGGCGCCTGCATGAGAGCCCCCGAGCCTGTATTAGTGCAATACAACAAACCAGTGTACCGCCACTGTATCACGCTAGCTGATCGGGCTGCTTCGCAATTATCAACATCCCATCAACGGAAAATTGGAGGTTTGAACGCCCGGCCCAGCAGGGATGACCATATCACATGACTCACCTTTTGCAAATAACAGTCAGCAATCTTGTCATGGAGTCCAATCAAAGTCAAGTCAAGTCACTTGATTATGGGACGTTGGGAGAGGCATTATTGATGACCCACTCATAATTACAGAGCTGAGTCTTGCTAAGAGCGCGAGCACTTCGTTGTTGCCTCTCATCATATGCTGAGCGGGAAATTGGAAATAGATAGACAATCGGCCTGTTTGCAGGCAACCGCGGTATTCATTGGATTTTTGGCAAAATAAAATCGGCCATGGGAGTCATAGGGAATGAAAGATCCGCGGTCCATAGGATTATTTTCAAAAGTTGTCCAAGGGGAAGGGGTAATGATACCACTCATCACACTGTTGGGACACAGCCGTTCTTTCCCGTCTGGCACTGGGGTCGTTTTCAACTTGCAGTGCGCCATCCGCCTATCATGCTCGAGAGGGACGTTACATTCGTCATCGAAACGCGGATCCTCGAATTCCAGATGATTGGACTGACCCTTTGGCTCGGGTCGCCTAACGCACTTACGCTTTCACAACACCGCTTGACGCCTCTAAGCAGTCATTGGCAAATGGATTCCTGGACTGGTTAGCCTTAAAACTGTCTGGGGCAGTTTAAAGAGACTGCGATTTGGGCCTCCGGTTTTGAGGGTATGTAACAGAGCCCCTATCACGGAAATGGGGCCCTTCGCATTGATATCAGCAAAGAAGCCCGGGGCCGTGCTAGCAGATATGTCCTGCGGAAACTGAGCATGAGCTCTTCATGTCCAACCCAAAACTAGCATTCGGGCAAGGGAGCGGCTGTGGATCATGCGAACAACATGCATGTACAAATCTCACAAAGCCGATGATGACTCTCAAAATAAAACTGTCTTTTGCTTATAGATATGCTAGTAGAACAATCATATCATCTTTCCAAACATGATGGCGTGAAGGTATGTAAATTGAGCGCTGAATGTAGCTGTCGTGAAAGTTTGGACAACTCTCTTAGCACAGCTCAACAACCCCTATAGTATGAGGAAAAGAAGGAAACACAGACAGGATAGTTTATACAACTGGTCTGGAATGGTTCAGTTCATGAAAGGGGGCGTATATATAAACGGCAATGGATAGTCGAGACGGCTGCAAAGTCATACAGCAGATACGCCCTATGAGTAACGCGCAAAGCTTCTCTCCGATTCTCCGGGTGTCTTTCTGATCCGAAACAGAGTCTTTGAACATGCAGCGCCAGAAGATTCTATATAAAAAATAGTTGCCAACCGCCAAAGGACGAGCGTTGAGATAAAAGGGGAGTCGGCGAAAGACGACGCTTTTCCTAAAATGGACTATGAGGTCTCCAGGCAGCACTCGGATAATTAATGTTCCGATATCTTGGCGTTCCCGTGATATGTCTTGGCTAACTGCCTTCCTCTCCATACAATACGGAGTACCTTAACTGTGATCCCATAATTTCCCATTAGACACTACAGAGTAGAGAGGGAGGGAGATATCTCTTCTAGATCTCATCGCCCAGCTTGTTTGACCTGGGTCAGACCCATTGGCAGGTTTATGGTTACGAAGTGGATAAACCCGTTAACCCTGGTGCTTCATCCAGTTTGGAAGTCGGCTGAGCCAGCTTGTGCTGTTGAGTATGCATTTCTACCGTGGATATATCACAACTCACAACAACATGTTCACCCCTGCTGAGTCCTCCAGGTGACTAATAGCTGGGGAATATTTATTCTCTTGATGTCTGAAAAATGGTGACCTTAGGTGGCAGTTGCCAGAATATCCGGTGTACCTATCTTGGGTTGGCTAATATGAAGGGGAAAGGGGAAAGCATTTGTCTCCTTGGTGGGCATGGACGAGCTCAATGACTTGCTTCATCTCTATTTTCCATTGCGTCTTTCTCTTCAAAATGAAGAGTTTTGAGCGTATGGGAATTTTTAAACTCTAGCGGAAGCCCTATCACCCCTATCACCTAGGAACGGCAGGATGACTTTATGACGCCAGTTTACGTTTTTTATCCGAGCAAATGCTCTTCGGGAGGGACGCTCACCAGAGAAGAGACAGTTAGGTTGATATTACTGCTGTATATTGCTGTCTAACATCTAGTGCCTTCCCCGTTTCGTCTCGTTCTTGCCAGCATCGCACTTTCCTCAGAATCGAGCAGCCATTTATTTACTGAGAAACGATGCGGCTATGTCGAAGATTGCTCCGAGCATGTCGCGTTGGCTGAGGCGGCTCAACGGTGCGTTTCAGTTTTATTCTATCATGCTATCGAGAACTTCTCCTGTACGTCATTATGAAATATTTCCCGTGTTTTGCATTTTTTACCGTTCTATGGTTCAAGGCTGGCGCGAAAAAAGTGGTCCCACGGGAGTCAACCGATGACGGAAGTGATTCTCCTAATAACCCTGCAGACCGGTGTGAATGCTATGTGGTTTCAGGCGCCGAGCCCGGTTATTTTCAGAACTACAAGTTCTACGATTTCCGATCTGTTGTTCCAGAGAAAACCTGGCAGCCGAACTCCACGACAGCTAAGCCAGCCCGAAACAGGACTTCCAATTCAAGAAAGGAATCCCACATGACTCTTGAAGAAACAGGCTTCTTAGACGACTGGGTGATCCAAGACTGGAGTAGAGCTGGGTCCTTTCTTTTCCCGATCCCTATCCGCAACAGTTATGAAAATGTTTTCGTCCTCGAAGATACAACCAATGAAGCGAGCGACACGACATATATAGCCCTTCGCACCCAGAGATTACATGACCATTCATCGACAGCGGAGATCGAAACATACTCTCACGATTACTTTCATTGTTCTTTTCGCGTTCGGCTCCGCCTTCATGCTGGTCAAGATGGACACCTAGAGGATGTTGACGAGCATGAAGATGGAGATAGCTATTGGGGCGGACAGGATCACGAATCTGTGCTTGACGAGGACGGGATATTAAGACAAGGCCGTAACCGTTCAGAACTGAATCCAGCTAATTTCCGTCTACGTCTGCCGCCCACCGGAGCCGTGGCTGGAATTTTCACGTATCACTCTGCCAGTGTTGAATCAGACATCGAAATATTAACAGCTGATCCGCACACGCTCATCCACTATGCCAACCAACCAGATTGGGATCCTTTAACTGACCTGGAGATACCGGGGGCTGCCACGATTGTTGAGTTGCCTGTCCCTTGGACAAGCTGGGCAACTCACCGCCTTGACTGGTTTCCAAACATGTCGCGATGGTATCTCAATAACAAACTTCAAGCTGAGAACGATTACCATGTTCCCGATAAGCCGAGTATGCTTGTCCTCAATCTGTGGAGTGATGGTGGCGAATGGTCTGGGAATATGACAATGGGTTCGACTGCGTTGATGGGGATCGAATGGATCGAAGTTGCTTACAACATCTCGGACATGGATGTTGAAATTTACGATTCGTTCAACCGAACTCGCCCTACCGTCCACTCTGGAATTTCTGGAAATAGCCATCCCAAACGGACTTTGGAAGACATGGCTGGAGATGGGTTAAAGCCACGCCGTGGGGAACTTGAATATGAGTACGATGGCTTCGATGGTGATGACGGAACGACTGAGAACGGTCAGCAATGCCTGGTCGGGTGTCGGATTGATGATGTGGAAACCGTCGGCGTGCCAGAGATCCTGTGGGATTATTATTATTGATCATGTTCGAGCGCGCTTGTTGGAAAGCGGATTACAGTTGTATTCATGGAACCCTTCACAGAATAATAACATAGTTACTTTCTTTTCTTGCTTTCTTTCCCTTATTTTTTTTTTTTATTTTCCTTCCCGGGATGCTCAGTATATTTTTGTCACTTTTTTTTTTTTTTTTTTTTTTTTTTGGCGTCATTTGGGTACTTGAGGATGCCCTAGGTCGGGAGTTTCGGATTTTAATAGTTCCTCTTTTAAAAGGAAAGGAATGGATAAATTCTACTTATTTATTTACTGTGCTCTGGTTCTTTAGATACGGCTGGTTGAGACATACCTGGGTTCACTGCTAATAGCACAGTACATACAGAGAGACCGCCCATCGCCAATCATCATATAGTTATAATATGCATCGTTTGTATGACCATGACTTACACGACGGAGAGACAGAGCCACAATTGGACCTGGAACGCAAACAGGACTCATCTACTCTCCTCTCCCCATGTTCCAGTTGATGCAATACTCAGCGGTGGCTTATGCTTAGCCATTGCTCGCGGATAGCTACCGAGAACGACTGTTGCGGCGAACGAGAACTACACCACCATCCCATATACCGTATATACATATTTATAAAACCAGGCAGATGGAAATTTTTACCGGAGGAGTTGGCGAACGGAATACTCCGTACAACTCCCACTTTTTATTTATTATCAATGTACTGTACATGTACATTGTACATAGAACAGACAGCTGGAAGGATAAGACTTGAGGTTTTCGCGTCAAATACTCCATAGGCACGACACGGTTGGGAGGTTTGTTTAGTCCTGGGATAAGTTATTGATTTTTCATTACGCGGGACAAACGTGTTGCTAATTGAATTTTTTGCCAGTTTGAAAGGTTCTTTTTCCTCTTCCATTTTCGTGCTTCCAATTATTTCGTTTTTCCCTTGACTCCAAGGCACCGCATCGGGGTTGTTATGGTAGCTTCTGCGGGATATTTAAAATAAATATATCCCAGGGCGCCGGATTTGAGAGATGGTTACATCATTGATTTTTATACAAGGTACGCGAATCTCGAATGTCATGACGGCGTTTAACGATCTCACATTGACTATTTGATCTATTTGCAGGATGGTTGATTCTTCATTATTCTCGGAGAAGCTAGCAAGCAGGGTTATATTAGTTACATGTGTGGCTACACTATTTTAGACAAATATTTGTCACGGATATGTATTGTCATTGGTGGGCTAGCAATCTCGCTAACGCCATTAACCTACTCTACTATGCGTACAAACCATTAAGCTAACTGCATATCAGTAGCGATCAGTCAAGAAAACTTCCCGAGTCAACGTCTCGTACTCTGTCTGGTGGCAATCGAACGGCAATAATGTTCCGCGAAGTGTGGCCCTGCACGCTGCGCAGCACAAATGACGCCAGCTCACTCGCAAGAAGTGTGTATAACGGGGGGGCGGGGGGGGGGTGTGTGGTCGGCTCTGACCTCTGTCCTGCCCTCCATTATCTATTCACATCCGTTCTGCTAAAGGATGTTCCTCCAAAGGACGGGACGAAAGAAGATGAAGCCAATGACTCTTGATCTTGATCCCTTTCCCATGACTCCCGTCAGAGCGGATAGAAAGCTCGCTTTACCCCAGACCGTTTCCGGCCCAGCCTGGTTGATCGTGCATGAACCGCTCGCTGCACGAAAGCCAGACTAGTGTGAAGGTGCATTTGCAAGTTTGTTTTCATACAAAAAATAAAATAAAATAAAAAATGCAAGAGATCTATGAGCTCAACAGTTCGGACTTATTATATTGACGCGCTTCAAAACTTCACGTCGCGTCTTGAGCTAGCTATTTATTTATATAGAATAATATAAATAAATAAATACATTCCCCAAAAGAGCTCCCAAACTCTGGAGTTTTACCTTCAAAACTCTTTTATTTTGCCAGTGTGGAATCCCGGAGTACATGTTGTTCAGCTACAGCTACAGCTACAGTTACAGCTACACCGACAACTATGTCGGCTGCGGATGAAAGAATTGATCCAGACGATAGTTCCTCTGTCTACTCGCGGACTCCGTCTGTCGAGAAACCCGACGATAAGGAATCGCATTGCCCTCGGGTTTCTATAGTGTCTATGAATAACGAAGATGGTGTAGACAAGACCCGCCCACCTACCCCGGGCGGCTTATGTTACGAGCCCCTCGTCAGCGAGCCAGGTGTGATTGACGACCCTGGTGAGGAGAAGGCTACCGACAACAGCGAAAAAGGAAAGGGAAAAAGGATATCCTGCTGCAGGAAGGAGAGAACATGTTGCAGGTTCAAAACGCCACCTCCTCGCCGTCTATCCTCGCCGATAACCGAATTTGAGAATGGGTTGGAGTCGTGTTGCTCAGGGCGGGCTACCGTCTGGCCGTCTTATTCAATAAAAGTGCCCCCTCCCTCCATCGCTGAGGAGAATCCGTGCTGCAGAGGAGGTGGAGACTGCGATTCTTTAGGTATATGAAAGCAATTGCTGCTGAAAACATTCTGTCCATGCAAGTAAGATCAAAATCCATGCTAACTTGAGAATGCAGACGAATGTCTTGTCGAGTACGCCACACGTCTATGTTCGATGGACGACCAGCATAGCGAAGACACCGCAAGCCTCCCGCTAGGAGAGAATTGTTGTGTGCGCGAAGAATATCGGGAGGAGAGTCTTACTCTGCCCAGAGAGTGCAGGAGGTACTCCGCGATGCTCCTTCCCGAAAGCGCTGAGCTCCCGCCTCGACGTCTCGGCCACATTCTCAGCCGCCAACGTGCGCGGAAGCCATGTACGAGACACTTGAGAATGGCTTCAGAACATCTTTCAGATAAAGGACCTAGGGGGGAGGAGAGTGTTTTCTCAACCTTCTCTGGATCTGTTAAAGCTGGGGAGGCTTCCTTCGTTTCCCGCATCAGCAACATCGTCCACAGATGCCTCTACAGTGTACCCCGCCGTCTCGTGTTTCCTGACGACAAATCTTGCTGTAGAGTGAGCCGCGAACGCAAGCAAAGTCTTCTTCTTCAAAATGGCTGCAAATCCACCTTGATTTCCTCCAAACCTTCAGCGGACAAAGTCGATGCCGCGACGACGAATACTGCTAAGCCGACTCCCGAAATTGATATCGAGAAGGGCAATGTCGACAAAGTGTATGTTCTTTCACTCGGTGTGTTCGGGATGACATGTACGGGATGCGAATCCAAACTGCGGAATCTGTTGAATTCGTACACTGGTGTCAGCGAAGTGCGTACCAGCTTTATGTTGAACCGCGCAGACCTGGTATACGACTCGTCCATAGTTAGTGATCCAGCAGAGATCACCTCAAGAATCAAGAAAGTCACCGGCTTCACATGCACAATCCTTAGGACAGGGCTTGCCGCCACATATGTCTCCGGAGAGCGCGTCCACATCAGAAATCTCGATTTAAAGGGCCTAGACATCATCCAACAGATAGATGGGGTTAGCCATGTCGTACCCCTTCGCGATGGGACGTATGAAGTTTTCTATAACCCCCAGACTACTGGGATCAGGGATATGCTTGATGCGGCAAATGCCTCCACCAAAACATCCAGCAGAGGCCATGCGGAACTAGCTACCGACAGCTCCTCTGAAGGTATTGCTCACGCTATTGCAAACTCACACTGGTACTGGCTAGTTGGGCGCACTGTGGTGGCCGCAATGTTTACGATCCCAGTGCTCGTGTTTGCATGGGCACCATTTGCTAGATATGCCCCTTTCCCGAAACAAACCTCGTTCATATCCTCGGCCTTTGCACTTGCAACCGTCGTACAACTTCTCGCAATCCCGATATATATGCATGCATTTCGGTCGTTGATATACCGGAGGGAAATAGATATGGATGTTCTGGTTGTCTTGTCCATTACGAGCGCTTATATTTACTCTGTGGTATCATATGCGTTCGAGATGCGATTTTCGACAGACAAGACAGTGCTAGGTCACCCTATTTTCGAGACCAGCTCGTTGCTGATCACTTTGATTCTCTTAGGCAGACTGATGGCTGCATGGGTTAGGAGAAATGCTCAGAATGCTATCAAACTAGGCACATCACAACCAAAATCTGCCTGTCTTGTTAAAAAGGCGTCCCCCAATACCAATAAGAGTTTCCGTGCCAGCACCTTTTTGGACTCGGGCGACTTCCAACCCGATTCTGTCGATAGCTCACTCCTTCATTACGGAGATATCATTCAAGGGAAGGCCTCCGAAATTATTGTCACTGATGGTATCGTTGTTAGCGGCAGCGCGGAAATAGACGAGTCGCACATTACTGGAGAACATGAACCAGTTGTTCGTTCCAGGAAGGCATATGTCTATGCAGGATCGACTATCATCAATGGCCAGATAAATTACCGAGTAACGAGGCTCGTGTCAGAAAATACCCTCAGCATCGTCAGACGGCTCGTCTCTACGGCGGCATCATCAAGAACGAAGGCACTAGAGAGAGCCGATTTAGCTGCCTCATACCTGACCCCCATAATCCTCGCTGTTGCGTGTATTGCATTCCTCATTTGGGTTCTTGTCAACCGCTTCGTCAGGAATTGGGATGATGCAAAATCGTCAGTCAACGCTCTTACGCATGCCATTGCGATCCTAGCTATCAGCTGCCCTTGTGCGTTAGCACTGGCAGTCCCAATGGTTCTAACTGTTGCCAGCACGGTAGGAGCCAGAAAGGGCGTCCTATTCAAGACGGGAGCTGCTCTCGAAGTTGGGTGCAACATCAGCCATGTTGTTTTCGATAAAACAGGAACCTTGACATCGGGCGAGCTGGCTGTCCTTTGCGAAACACTTCTTTGCAAAGAATCAGGTAAAACCTGCCAGGAAATAAGCAGAGTGGCATTGATGATTACAAGGGGGAATCGCCATCCCGTCTCCCTGGCAATCACACAATATCTAGCTGGCAACGGCGCCCAAACAACCAGCACCCTTCCTCCCGAAGTAGACTCCAAGATAGTAATCGGCAAGGGCATCGAAATAACCACCGACAAAGGCACAACAATAAAAGGCGGCAGCCCCTCCTGGCTCGGCGTCGAATCTCACCCCAAAGTCAAAGACCTCCTCGAAGCATCCCTGACCACATTCTGCGTGGTACAAAACGACACCCTCCTCGCCGTCTTTGGCCTCACCAGCACCATTCGCCCCGAAGCCGCGGCCGTCCTCAAACGACTGCATAGCATGAACATAACCACCCACCTACTCTCAGGCGATAACCCCCTCGCCGTCCGCGCCGTCGCCACAGTCCTAAACTTCGACACAGCCAACGTCCGCAGCCTCTGCCAACCCGAAAGCAAAGCAGAATACATTCGCAAGCTGCAGATGGCTCCGATACCTACCCTCTCCCTCTCTGCCTCCACCACCCCCACCACCCCTACCACCTCTCTCTTCCGCCTCCGATCCCTCCCTTCCCCCCCGAAAGAAAAGGTCCTCTTCATCGGTGACGGCACCAATGACGCCCCCGCCCTCTCCCAAGCCGACCTAGGAATCTGCATGACAAACGCAACCGACATCGCCGCCGACGCCGCCGACGTCGGCATCCTCTCCGGCTCCCTAGCCGGCCTGCTGACCTTCCTAGACCTCTCGCGGCAAGCGACACGGCGCATCCGGCTCAACATCGCGTGGGCGGTGGTGTACAATGTGTTTGCGGTGCTATTTGCGGGCGGTGCGTTTGAGGCGGTTGGGTTTCGGATTGAGCCGAGCTATGCGGGTCTAGGGGAAGTTGTTAGTCTATTGCCGGTTGTGGTGGTTAGTTTGAGTTTGGGGGTGGGGGTGGGGGTGTCATGGGCGTGGCCGTGGTCGTGGTCTGGTTTGAGGGCGGACACGTTGATATAGGATGGATGTGGGTGGATGGGGCGAAAGGGAGAAAGAGGGGGTTTGTCGTCACACGTCCCACTCCACCCCCTTTCTACTCTCCTGGTATTCACGCTATTCATTCTCTCTCTCTTTCCTTTTCTTTTTCCTTTGCTACCTGTGGATACGGGGTCTTCCATGTATGGGATCATGGATGGGTTGGTTAATTAATCTAATATTTCGGTTTTGCTGTACTGAAGGATGTTGGCCGCATTGCAAAGCTAGTTCACTTTGATACCTTACCTTAGCTCCCTTTATTATTAACTATATATTAATAATGTCACCAACGACAGTCGTTCTGCTCATCCTCCTATCATTCCTGTAGCGCTCGAATTATCTAACTGACATATTATGAACGGCGATAGTGCGCTGCAAGACTCTTCAGATGAATTCACGTATTGCTAAGAAGCGGAATCAGTAGGCAAAGAGAAGGTATAGAATGTCAATGGGGCCCAACCGCCGGCCCATACTCTTATAAAAGATGAAAGAATATAAATATAATGACAACAAAAAACGGGGTCGTCCAAACATGAAATCTATTTTTGAGAAACAAAAAATTAAACAAAACTTAACGCCCCCGCGAAAAACATTGGGTATCAAAACGAAAAAAAAAAAAAAGAAAGAAAGAAAGAGAGAAAACAAAATAGCAGCTCTAGATACATACCCTTCCAAATTACAAAGTAAAAACGCCAGATAGGACGAGGAATGAAATAAACAGCACCATTTCCTGCCAACATGCAAAACGAGACAAAAAAAGAAAGAAAAAATACTAATAAAAACACACCGAATACACAAACTCCAAGGCATATAAGCACGGGAGTGCTTAAAGCCGGGCTCGAGTACCGGGCTTAACCAAAAGAAAAAAAACAAAAAAAAACCGAAAAGACAAAGAAAAGGTTACAAACCCAGAAGCACGCAGGAGGACGGAGAAAGCCCCGGATCTTGCGAGTCGGACTCGTACCAAAAAAAAAGAAAAAGAAAAAAAACGCGATCCCTCGTCCAAAGAAAAAATAAAAGAAAAAAAGAAAAAACCACCCCCTCCTCTCCCCTCCCTGGCAAGATGCAATCTCCCCAGAAGAAAAAAACGAAGATGAACCCAGAAAGAACCTATGCTGCCATCACAGCATCGACCTAGCGGGAAACATCTCGTCCTTCTTCGGGTCGAAATCACCGAAGAAACCCCCATTCATCAGCTCGGCAACGATCCTTTTACGGATCTCGGGAATATCCCTCGCCCCATATCTCAGAGGCTTGCCCAACGATACCAACTTGGCAGTCGTCAGGAGGAATACCCCGCAGTCACTGCCGTTATTTTGCTGTGGGGAAATCGACGGGAGCACCCGCCACTCCTCTTCCACGAAGAGGTCGCCCAACTCACCTCGGAGCCATTCCTTGGCCGTGGCGATGTGGCCCAAGGAAGGTGACCCCAGGGAGTCGAAATGCTCGATCGTTCGAGCGGCCGGTCTTACGACCATGAGGGTCCAGTGCGAGCGGTCGTGGATGGGGACGAAAATCGTCTCCACCCCCAACAATTTCTCGCCCCCGATCTTGGCACGTGTCGCCCAACGCCTTACGCTCTCGTAACCTTTGTCCCGAAGGTTCGAGAAGAAGTATGTTGAAAAGGCGTGGTACTTGGGCTTGTCGTGCCGCCCAGAATTCCCTGCTTCCTGACGTGCATGGTCGACGATCAACTCGAGATACGCGTTGATTACTTCATCGTTGAGCCACTCGAGCTTCGTGTAACACGTGTTCAGGGCTTTCCGGGTGAGGGGTTCGCCGCGAGGCGTGGTCCCAACCTCACTTTTGTCGGAAAGAGCCATCGCACGGTCTACTTTAGCTTCCCAGTTGGCTGTCAAGTGCTTGACGTAGGGGACTTCTGGAGATCGTAGAAGGGGTTGGTCGTACTGGACCGAGTGGTCTGCCGGTGTTTCCTTATCCGTTAGCTCTAGAGCTAGGCGACCCGATTCCTCTGCTGTGACAGACTCGAGTGGTTGAAATGGCGTGACACGAGAAAGAGGATCGTAGGCTCGCACTGAAGAAATTGGCCGTCCCATTGGAGATTCCGATTCAAGCCAGTGGACTTCTTTGGCTTCGCGTCGTGGTCGAGGTGGGCTGGTCAGAAAACCTTCGTACTCGGGAGAGGAGGGGGACAGTCCCTCTTTGGGTGGCTCAGGCTCTTCAGCTTCAACAGATGCTTCAGGTTGACAAGTGATTTCTTCCGCTGGAGGGGGCAATTCTGTCGGCGGGGGTGAGGAAGGAGGAGTAGTAGTCGGGGGAAGTTGGGGACGAGGGGGCCAATTTTCTGGCTCGGGAATATCAATTCCCGACATCTCTTCAATAGGTCTACTCCTCAATTTCGCAAAAGATTCATGGTATGCCCGTAGAGCAGCTGCACTAGGTGGTATGGCATTTGGCCAAGCTCCTTTAATCAACTCGCCGCGTCTTGGAGCTCGCGGAAGGGCAGCTTTGTTCACATCCTCTTGGCTAAGTTGAGCCAGCTTTCGAGACGTTCTGGTTTTCGATTTGGCTTTGTCACTCAGCTTTTTCTTCTGTACCTTTGCGCCTTTCACAATACCATCCTTTGTGGTGGTGGTGGTGGTGAGTAGTGTTCGGGTAGGAGCTTTTTCCTTAGGAAGACGATAATAGTCTATCATGTCTGAGGCTGGCATATCGCGAGGCGGGCGAGGAGGTGTGACATCTTCATACTCGTCAATTATGACTTGGGGGGATGAGGAGCCTTGTTTCTTCTGGCCCATCCCTAACTTCCGAGCTTTCAATTGGTGGCGCTCGGTAGACGACGCGCGACGAAGATTTCTGGTGTCTTGTTGTTGGCGATTAATTCTGCGCCGGACGAATTTAGAAGTCACTTTATCATAGATCGCCACTGCCCGTCTTTTTGCACTTCCCACGACTTCAACAGCTGCTTGAAGGAATTCTCGATAGGTGTGTCTGACTCTGTTGCCAACTGCTTCTATAGCGAAACGTGATGATCTTAGTATCGGGTAATAGGTGTCAGAAACTTCTTGCAATATATCTTGCAAGTATGAAAGCTGGGTACAACGAATTAGTATACGCTAGTCCCATTCATGGTTTGTTAGCACTCACTCGTTGAAGCTCATATGCATGTTCTGGAGATGTAGGAGGAATGGCATTGCCATCGGACAGTGGGACTACCATCCCGTGGCTTGAAGTTCGTCGGCATCCAGCCAATGCGCCCGACATTAGAGCTACCTGGTCTCGCATATAGCCGGCGTCGGCTTCGCTCAGGTGAAATATTTCAGTGGGTGGAATGGCGATCTGGCGGACAGAAACTGGAGTCGCTGGCCAAGTACCAGGCATGTGTTGAGGAGTCCGTTGGATTTGTGAGATGTCATCTTCAGTACGACCCTAATACAAGACAACAAAAAATCAGATTAGAACAAAACACAGTTTAAAACATAGATGGTAAGGTTAGGGGTTTATTTATTTTTTTTTTCTCGCTTACATGGACTGGAGATGCTTGGAGTAGGGAGCCTTCATAAGGAGGCGCGTCGACCATTGATGTGTCAATAGGTGACTCGGGTATAGCCTGGAGGAAGGATAAAACACAGTTAGCAACAAGCCAAGATACTAAAAATGAAGACGGGGATATATACAGTAACCTGTGCTCCTGCTGGTTGTTTGTGATTGTGCATCCCCCCCTGGCCGTCACGTGAAGCCCTATGCTCATCGCATGCGTAGCCATCAACAGCCTCGATTCGCCGTTTGCGTGAATTTGGGCTAGCCGCCGACTGAGGAGCCGATCGCGAGGGAGTATATGGATATGGGTTGTTGCCTCTTCGGGTAGTGAATTGGTTTCTAAGCTCAACCATCGGTCGTTGCATTGCAATATCTTCAGCCTGGTTTCGCATATACCAGGTTTTTGCTGGTTCCGCAACACTGCGGAAATATGCTTGGCGATTCGAGATTGGCGGTAATAGGTTGCCAGAACGATGTTTTTTAGATGTAAGTTGATCAATAAGACTCTTCCGTGAAACTGGTGGGGCACGGTAAACGTTGACAAGATGTGGTTGAGGCCCGCTTAGAAGGGGTTGAGGTAAAGTTTTTCTTCGAGGCTTCAAGAATTCTGGCTGGGGGTATATTTGAGGTCGCTCCGGAACAGGCTCCGGAACAAACGGAAGAGGATTTGGAGGGCAAATAGGGAGGTGTTGTGGGTAGGTATCTTCCTCCACATCATTGACAGGAAGTGTAGATTGACTGACACTAGGTTGATCTTGCTGGTGGCTAGTCTCGGGTGCGGGATGTGGAAGAAGATCTTCCTGGGGGGTTGGTTCCCAGTCCATCATATTAGTGGGCTCCGCGGCGGAAGCCTGCGCTGCTTGAAAGTTTTGTATTAAAACGTGTCGAAGAATCCGGGACATGGGGCAATCAGTTCGACGGCAGCTTAAAATTGAGAAGTGAAAAAATGGGAGTAGGGCAGTGTGAAGAGAGATATTGGGTCAAGAAAATGCTAGAGCGCGCTGAGGACCAATCAGATAGCTCAAGCAAGATAAAGAGACCTTAGCAGAAGGAAAAGAAAAAGAAAAAAGACTTCGTGTTGAGAGTACAGATGGAATAGGGATGGTGATGTTGATGGTGATGATGATGACCGTGTAGCAACACCAATGTTTATCAACGGTGAGGACGTGGTAGAAGTCCAAGCACGCGGCCTGATCAGAGTAGGACAAGTCTAACTTTCAACAAGCGACGTGAGAAGCAATAGCCCCTTGAAAAGGAGGGACAAGTTCGACTCTTTGGTAGACTTAGGAGCAGTAGGGTTTGGCTTGGTCAGGGGTTGGCTATTTGCAGCGCAACGAAATCGTTCTGGAGATAATCTCGTAGGAGTGGTGGATGGAAAAGAGAAGTTCAACCGTAAGTGGCAGAGGAGAATGTAAAGAGGATGATGGTGATGAGGGATGAGGGATGTTGTTGTTGTTTATATATTTTGTGTTGTTGTTGTTGCTGTTGTTGTTGCTGTTGTTGTTGTGTTGATGGTAAACAACGACGGGGGCAGGAAAGAGCAGGTACGATCAGCTCGCTGTCCCGATTCGGACTCGTGATGTTGCCAGGCAGCTGCGGCTCAATTCACTGCGCAGTGTTGTTGTGTTGTTGTGGTGTTGCTGTGTTGTTGTGTTGAAGTGAATAGAGAGGTCAAGTGTGTATATAGGGGATATCAGATCTGCCAGATGCTCGACTGAACCTCAACACAGACAGGACTCCTAGCCAAAACACCTCGAGGATAGACGAACAAAAAGGTGAGGTGAGAGATATAACACACAGTTAGATATCAGAGCGAAGTAGTAAGATGACCCAGGCAAAGGAGGTAGTAGTAGTAGTAGTGGCGGTCGTAGGGGGGGAGAAATGAAGATGAACAGCGGGATGTATACAGTAGTAACGGGGGGTACAGAGGCAAATAATCGAGGGCCGCGCTGAGATCCAACCACTTCCATGCAAGTTTCTTTACTCTGCAAACATGTAGAAACCAGCGCGTGGAATGCTTTCTTCCAAAGCAAACAGGTAGACGACGATTAGGTCCAAAAGCTGTTCGTTCGTCGTGGTAGATGTTCGTACATACATGTGCATGCATGCACTGTTGTAGTTGGCAGAGGAGATTGGATAAGAAGTAGGAAACAGAACGAAAAAGGCAAAGCCAACGGCTTGTCCCGAATAGATGGGTGGTTTGTTGTAGAAGAGTAGAGTTGGCTTGCACAGGGATCTGGGGAACAAAGAGGATAGATGATGGATGGATTGGGGGGGGAAGCTTGCGGAGAGAAGCTAGAGAGATATGGTACAAGCCGGATATAACAAGGATGTATAGGTAGTGTGTATGGAGCTTTAATCAACGACGCAGCGTAGTAGTAGCAATCGTAGAGGTGGTATAGCATATAGCTGTAGAAAAGATGATAGAAGAAAAGCGACAGGAAGAAGAGAAGAAGAAGAAGAAGAAGAAGAAAAGGGAAAAACAATCTCCCTCAACACGCGCAAGCATGTTCATGTAGTTAAAACAGCAGGAGCAAAATAAAAATGAAAAATGAAAATGAAATAAATACAATAAAAAAAAATAAAAAAAGCAAACAAACAAAAATAAAAACAAAAATAAAAAAAAGGGAACCCCCCCCTCCTTCCTTCCGCTTTTGATAGAACGGGAGGAGCCGTGGAGGAGAAAAGAAGATCCCGGAGTTTTCCCGCCGCCCCTAAATGTACTGTACAAGCACAAGTGCTCCGTAACCATCCGGCGGAGATGGGGAAATGAGGTGGTGTTTGGCGGAAAGTTGAGCAAGCAACACGCGCGATGGGGCGGAATGGAACAACTTAACTTTTGTCTCTTGCGCCGGGCCACAAGCGCGTTTATATATGGCGCAGGAGAGGGCGGCAAACATGTGGCTGGGGGTCACGTGGAGTGGGCAATGTTGCCTGGTTGGGTTTAGTCTATGGCCGTTGACAGTGTGGCCATGGTTTGGGAGTGCGCTATTCCTGATCAGGTGCGGGAGCTCATATAAATTAATTCTACAGAGTTTAAGTAGTTACATAGGAAGTACTGAACTGCAAAGAAGAAATGAAAGAAAACAAACATAGCAATAAATTATGTTGTTCTATTTTTTTTTCACTTGTCTTTCTTGCTTCCAATGCATCTATTTGCGTGTATATGCGTCCCGGCGCTAGGAAGGTTGCTGAACAATGAATATATATATATATATTTGAGCAAGGGAGAAATCAAGAAGCCTAAAGAATACCAAAAATACCTATAAAAAAACCTTTCCAAGAAGAAAAAAAAAAAAAACAATTCTGAATAAAACTACTGTAAACACATGCTCATCAACTCATCAACAATAACATACTGTACAATAAAGATATGTACCCCACCCCAGCTCTAGTCGCATCAGCCCTGCTGATATGAGTGTTCCTATATATATATATATATATATATATGTGTGTGTGTGTGTGTGTGAGAATGTGTATGCCACAGAGAGGGAGAGAGCCAACCACTATGGAATATGAAAAAAAAAAAAAAAAAAAAAATCTCTACGGCCCTAATCCAATGAGCTGAAATATAATCGGGTTAACCTCAACAGACAACCAGCCGATTCCTACCAATTCATATATTATTAGCGAAAAAAAAAAAAAAAAAAGGGGGCGCCACAAAGAAAATAAGGTCCAAAGGATGGTGAGGGGAGAGGGGATGAGAACATACCAAAATACACAACTAACTTCGTCACAACCTCCACATCGTACCGTACCCGCGGCGGCGTGATCTTCGAAAACATCTCCTTCTCCTCCTCAGCTCCAAGCTGATACTCAAGCGCATCCGCAGCCACATTCACATTCACATCCGCGTTCGCGCCAGTACCGCTAGCACCGCTAGCACCGTCAGCACCGCCAGCACCATCCATATTCGGAGTGCTCTCCGCGCTAAACACAGGTGTCCCCGTCCCCATCATATGCTCGTACTCATCAAGTTTGCGCGGGCTCCGTACCGCCGGGTTGTTTTCCCCGCCTCCGAATCTCTGGGAACCACCAGCAGCTGGGGAAGAGGCGGACGACGTGTCACGCATGTTTTGTTTGTCCTCAATGGTGGGTGGAAGTCTGCGTCCGGCACTGACGCTGCGCGATTGGTTGGAGGAGGTACTTTCCCGTCGTCGCTTCTCCCGATAAGCGAGTGTTTCGTAGGCGTCTGCTTCAGATTGCGGGCCTATGGAGATTGCCCGTCGGCGCGGGTGGCGGATTGAGGTGAGGATGGAGGGGATTTCGGAGACGTTGGGGATTATGTCGTCGTCTTTTAGGTGGCCGGGGACTTGTTCGTATTCGCTGTGGGATTAATACGTTTTTAGCTGAGGTTCCTGGTATGGCTAGGTGGGTGTGCGAGGGGGGAGTGGGTAAGGGTGGTTGGCCTGTATGACATACGATGCAAGCGTGAAGAATCTTCTGGGAAGATTAAGGCCCAGTCGTTCTATGACACGGAATATCGGGGGCAGTATCCTATGGAGGGACGGTTTCATTATTTCCCTCCACAAGAAGACAATCACGACCCCAAGAATAATCCGCAGGATAGTCTTGATCCAGCCAACCTTTGCCAAATCATAAGGGACAGTCCCTGGGTAAGGGTCACCCCAAGCAAACGTGGTCTGGGCAAAATGCCAGTTCCCAAATTCTGCGCCCATCAACACTCCAGCGAAAGCAACACTATCATCGAAGCATGGACACGAATCGGCGGGTTCGGGGTGCATTCGAACCAATGCAAGAACAACCACAACCACCGCAAACACCGTATTAATCGAGCCTGAATAGATAATTTCATCATACGTCTCACCATATGAACATCGTAAGAAGCCCAACAAAGCGCCAAGGAAGCTGCCGATGATAACATCAAAGAACCCATGCATCCCGCAGTATAGCCTCCCAATTACAATGGATGTGCCAAATATGTATAGGACAATGCGGAAGATAGTATTCGTGACCGGACTGGCAGTAGAATCAGGCGAGTTTAAAAGATGAAGCGCGTAAACGACGACGGAGATTGCGTTGGTCGAGTGAGTAGAGGGGAATCCGTATTCTAACGCCGCGGAGCCAGACATGGTAATGCGATGGAGGGGTGGGGACAAGGGTCGAGGAAGACATAACATGTCCTTAAACCAGCCGCTGATGAAGACGCCCGACGCTAAGAGGTGTACTAATCTGCATAGATGTATCAGCTCCATCCTCAATTCTCCTCCGCATCTCGATACCCTGTTATACTCGGAGAAGGCGGGGGAGATAGAGGAAATCCAATCTGTCGCGCGACTCACCCTCGACCAACCTCTGTATAGCCGCACCAGAATAGGATAGGTAGCATTACCATGTAGAAGGTATGGGTACCCAAATTGGCGGTGATCGCAAACCAAGAATCAAGGGAAGGGGTGCGCATTCGTGCCTGGAACCAAGCGAGATAGGGCGTTTCCCACCGCACCAGGGGGAGAAGGGCTGTACGTAGCTTGTACCGCCATTTGGGGAGTTTCTGTTGATCTGCGCAAGTTCAAACTATTTTGTTAGCTCTGGGGTGTTTTTATTTATTTATTTATTTATGTATTTATTTATTTATTTATATTCATATTTTTTTTTCTCAAGTATGGGAATGTGTTTCGTAAACATTGGCAGGCGCATTAACGGCAGTAACTCAACGACATGGAATGAATGAACATACAATGGTCCAAGCCTTTTAAGCCCGCATCGGGCTGGTCTGCTTTTCCTTTAGTCATGGGCAAATTTCCGTGTCAGACTGAGAGAACGATTGCGGCGGGGAAGAGTTGACAAGAGAGCCATATAGTTATGTTATAGAGCTTAGCACATCCAAAAACAGAGAATAAGCCAGGGGGTTATTACGGGACAACTCGCAGACAGGGACCTCAATGCATCTAAATGGTAGGCAAATAATGGAATCCAATAGTGTGTAGCAGGATTGAGGCAATAATGAATAGCTGTGGAGGAGAAGTTCTTCGTATGGAAAGTTGAGGCTGTCAAAGCTGCCAGCCCTCGGCTGTTGGAGCTTAGTCAGGGGCGGACCATGGACAACAAATAAGTCGCGGCTATTTTTACAACAAACAAAAAAATGAATGCGGAAGAGCAGCCCCTGCAGAGATCTATTTGTATTGTTTTATCTATTTTTCTGTTGTAGTACTCTCCGTACGCTGTTGAGAAATGCATTGTTATTTCATCTGTACATGTAGGTAACTAGTTTCAAAGACGTCTCAAATTGACGGGAGCTGTTTTTCCATAAGGATTCTCAAATGTATACGCAGTAAGAAAGAATCATTACGCTGTACATCTCGTGCTCTGAGGCGGAAACGTCTGAGGCTAGACCACCAGGACTATCTTTTCCTCTAAATAATAGTTAATTATCCCCGATAGCGCTCCATCGAGCACCACAATACGCAGTACTCTGTAATAAGGGACAAGCTTGGATGCTTTTCAGCCCGCCTCCAATTGTTCACCCAGGATGACGCAAGGAACTATTGCCATCTAGTTGTTTCGGATCCGCCCATGTGGAGAGGGCGACAGGGCAAAAACCAAGGCCAAACAGGGGGTGACAAGACGTCTAGAGCGCCTGAATTCCTTGAAGCAGCCAGCTTGAGCCCGCCTGAGCCTGAGCCAGGGCCCAGGACAGAGTGGGAACAGTGCCCACCAGTGGACATCCAGGAACATCGAGGAACATCCAGCGATATGATATGTATAAATATCCCAGGAGCGTGTTTAGCTGGAAGACAAGTGGCGGCTGCGGAGAGCGCGTTGCCATGGTAGCCAGCAGGTGTAAACATTGGCCGCAGCCATCGTACCCACACCACCCATCTATCGCATCTCACTGCTGCTCCGGCCAACTCAAAAATAAAAATTAAAATTAAAAGAAAAAGAGAAAAAGAGAAAAAGAGAAAAAGAGAAAAAGAATAACTATTGCTCCTCCACCAGCTTCCAGCTCTAACGACTCTTCAGTTGCCTGCCCCCCTGTTCTTGACTCCCCCTCCTCCTGCCCCTTGTCCCTCCTCGCTTCTCCTACTCCCCTCCCTCATCTTCCTCATCTTCCTCATCTTCCTCATCTTCCTCATCTTCCTCGCCTGTTTCTTTCTACACCACCCACAACGATACGCATCATACATACATACATATCCTGTACAGAAATATCTATTTTCTTCCCTTCTCTTCTCTCTTCCTCTCCAAAGTTTTCCACTCACCCCTGCATACCCTTCCACGACATCTGCTACAACTATATACAACATAAAACGACTAGATAACAGCCAAACCGGAGTCCTTATCAGCCATTTTGTTGAGCCAAAGTTCTTGCCCCTGTTGATATCCAAAGGCTTTGAACCCAAACCATGGCAACCCGTGGGTACGAAGAGCACCCGCAGTATGGCGCCGGCCGTGTTCGCCGCCATTCCTCTGTTGTCGATGAAAAGGCCCTTCCCGCACCACTCACTCCCCGTCGAAAACACGCCAGAAGCCAGAGCACTCGAGTGAGCAATGGCACAGTCAGCACAAATATGAGCATGGCCTCGAGTCGAATGTCCCAGGCAACAAATATCACCCAACCCCCCGCATACTCGAAAAAGTTTGTTGTTGTTGGAGATGGTGGCTGCGGGAAGACTTGTTTGTTGATTAGTTATTCTCAGGGTTATTTCCCAGAGGTATGTTATATTTATTTATTGTGCCTAGTACAATTGATATTATCAATTTTATTCACTAACATGCTACTCTCGTAGAAATATGTTCCCACTGTTTTCGAAAATTATATCACTCAGACCATGCACGTACCAACCGGCAAGACAGTCGAACTTGCCCTATGGGATACAGCCGGTCAGGAGGAATACGACAGACTGCGTCCACTTTCATATCCTGAAACAGATCTCCTCTTCGTATGCTTTGCAATTGATTGCCCTGTATCACTCGAGAACGTGATGGATAAGGTAAGAGTCCTTGTAACTTGTACTCTAACCACGGAAAATCAATCTAATCATATCGATCTATATATAGTGGTATCCCGAAGTCCTCCATTTCTGCCCCACAACACCCCTAATTCTTGTCGGCCTCAAATCTGACCTGCGCGACAAACGCACATGTATCGAGCTTCTTAAAACCCAGGGGTTAACTCCTGTTACCCCCGAACAAGGCCAAACAGTAGCTCAACGAATGGGCGCCACATATGTGGAGTGTAGCAGCAAAGAGATGCGCGGTGTTGACGAGGTCTTTGAACTTGCCGTTAACACCGCTGTTGGGATTGAAGAGCAGGGCCACGACTCATCTAATGGGGGCGGAGGAGGTCGCAAGAGAGCTAAAAAACGGACGTGCAAGTTGTTGTAAACATCACCCCCCCCCCCCCCCGGTTCCATTTTATTTCACCCGGGAGGAATGCGAATGAATTCTGCCCCCTGCCCCCTAATCTCATGACTCACCCTTTCCAACCTCCGCTCCCCATATCACCTATCGGATGATCAATATATTTCCCCTTCTTCCCCCCACCCATCTACAGACGATATACTCACGACACTTGTTGGGATGGACCAACCTCCTCTGAACACTCGGACCTTACTTACCACCACCTACCCACCAAACAAAAGAACCCTCACGAGGACGACGAAAATATGAACACAACGTTCCAGTTCCCCGCTGACGAAATGCCCCCCTTTTTGCAATGTATGAATGGCACTACACGGATGCTTTTCATGTCTCGGTATAAATGTTGTTTTGTCCTTTTACCCTTTTCCTTCTTGGCCCCGGCTCTGGCTCCGGCATTGATTCTTTCTGTCATTTTGATGACCTGCTGCTTGTGTCCTGTCCCTGACCACCCGCCCACCGGTGACAGGGGGAATTTTCATTCTACGGCGATAACAAAGGTCACCGTGACCTTGTTGATTATACAAACATTACCTCCATTTTCATGGGCGTTTTTCTTTTTCCCTTATTCCTTTATGCTTTCCATTTTCCTATTTTTTTTCACAGAGTACGATATGGCGCAAATATGTCTTTTTTGTCTTTCACGTCTGTTGTTGTCTATTGGCCAGTTTTAATGTTTCTCGGCTTTTTTTTTTTTAGCCTTTATTACCATAGTATGTTTTTAACTCCAATTTTGAATTTTTCACACCTCTCCTTAATCATTCGCCCTTTTTTTATAACTATATTTTGAGGTTCCTTTGTTTTTTGTTTTATTATTTTTACAAATCAACTCTGAGTGTGTGAACCTTTTCCTCCCCAATGAGCATTTTGAAAGTGAATTGAGATGATGATGAAATACATTCCAAGGCATGACAACAAAAATGCATATAGAAAGTGTTTGTCTTTTTTTTCTTTTTTTTTTTTTTTTTTTACCCAACATATTTCCTCTCTTCTAAGTTGATCAGTTTTCCATATATTCCCTTTTTTCGGGCTGTTTTTTCTTTTTATTTGAGATATGAATTGTACTGTACATGCTTTTTTTTTTTTTTGAGAGAGTGGGTTGGGGAATGGAGAGGGTATGGTTTAGGTTAGGTGTGTGCATGCATGTATGTAAAGTACAGTACACAGTACAATGTCAAGAGATTGATGAGTGAGTTAGTGAAGTGGAAAGAGTGAGAAATTGAGAGAATGTAAGGAGTAGTAGAGGAAGTGAATGTAAGGAGATTGTTGAAGGAAATGAAATATGAGTTTCGTGATAAATAGATGAAAAGAGAATGTAGTGATTCTATGTATGCATGTTATGAACAGCTGAACATCTACTGAAAAATAACATAAAATCAACCCTCTAGTGGTTTATACATCCATATGTGTATTTCTATCTATTTATCAAAAAAAAAAAAAAAAAAAAAAAAAAAAAAAAAAAAAAAAAAAAAAAAAAAAGACCAAAAAAGACCAAAAATCCTATCATGCCATATGGATCATACCAAACTGTCGCCCCTTCAGCTTCTATTCGTGCACACACCTACAAACACATCTATCTATCTATATTATGTATCATCACAACTTATCTCCATCGCCTCCTCATGGTCAACCTATTATTCTCGACCGGGACCCGGATATGGGCCGCTCCATCCTCGTCCTCGTCCTCGTCCTCGTCCTCGTCAGTGTCCACGACCTCTCTCACCATCCTCATGATCATGGTCGTCATGTTGCGCACCTTCACCATGACCCTCATTCTCATTCTCATTCTCATTGTCGTTGTCGTTGTCGTTGTCGTTGTCGATGTCGTTATTGTTATTGTTATTACCAAGCCCCATCACCGTCTCGAATTGCGACCATAGCGCCTCTACGGAGGAAAATTCGTTGCCGACCTGTTTTTATTTTTATTTTTAGGGTTTTCTTGCATTGTATAAATGGATACGTGGGTTGTCGATATATATATATATATATTAAAGAAACTTTGGGGGTTTGAGGGTAGGATAGTCAACTTACGGTGATAACGCTTTCCAGATTCCGGTTCAGCCGGTTGATGTTTTGGAGGACTTGTTCGAGGCTCTGGATGTATGTTTCCTTTGTTAGAGTTGGTAGGCTCATGGTTTATAAGGGAAGCGTGCCGATATTATATTATATAGAGATAACTGGAAGATTGGGTTGTATTTTGTATTTTTGGTGTGAGTGAATGGCTTCCCTCTTCTCCCCATACGGACGATGATGGTTATGGAGATGATGGAGAAGGTTGTGAGCAGAAGAGACTGCTGCTGCTCCCTTCCTCTCCCTATAGAAGGCAAATGGCATTTGACGGAGGGTGGAACACTATCATCTCAACTGGTTTCGCGATGAAGATGAATGTGACAGGGATAGTGTTAGGGATAACGCCATTCCATATGTAAAACAAAACATATGAAGTTTGAGCATGGAGCATGAAGAAATATACTCAGAGCAAAAGCAGAAAGCAGCAAAGGGACATGGAAATAACAAAACTGCCATTCGTCACGGCATGGAAACGCGATAAGATAAAAAACAACCAAACCACACACGCGCTGGGTGAGGGGAAAGGGAAAAAAAAACATCGGGGGGAAGGGGAGGAGATTCAGTAGTTTTATATATGTAACAATGAAAATAATAGTTAAAAGCGGACACAAAAAGTAAAGACAAATAGGAATCCTCACCAATGCAATCTCCCTAACCAATTCCTCCCGCTGCGTCTCAAAGTACGTGGGCGCATTCGCTGACGACTGTGGCCGCGGTGGTTGTTGGCCGGCAGCAGCAGCACCAGCAGCAGACGATGACATCGTTCAACAAGGCGCGTCCTCAGCGTACGGGAACAGTGGAGTTTTGGTCCTTCGTCATTGGACAGGGGGGGGACGGATGGATGAATGAATGAATGTGTTTGAATGAGTGAGTGGGTGAGTGGGTGAGTGAGTGTGGGTAGAGTTTTGGCTTTTTGGCTGTGGTTGTGGTTGTATTTACGTATTTATGTTCTTGATTTGAATTGATGATGGGAAAAAACGTTGTTTGTTGAAGCAAAATCGGATTTGTTCCTTAATATGGACCGACCGCCACGCCACCCTTTCAGCCACGGTGATGATGTTTGTAGAAAACATACACGATTAATCCTGTACTGAGCAAATGGTATAGTGGTGTATTCGGAAATGTCACATATGTTGCAGATTTTTGATGTGCTGTTGAGGAAAATATTTGATATGCCATGATGCTTTCTGGCTTTCTGGACTGCGAAGTTGTCAAGAACCTATCTATATCTATCTATCTATAACTCTATTCTTTATGTATGCATATATAACAAGATAATTCGAAGAACAAAGCAAAAAGAGCCGGAATAATCAACCTCCTTCGGGGCCAGATAACCCCAAGCCATGTAAAATCTATCCAGCACAAACCAGAAATAATAACCAAATCAATGAACCCTTTTAACCAACTATATTCCAAGGTAATCCTTTATCCGATTAAACCACGAACGACCCGCACCAAACGGGTATATATACACCCCGCAATCCCCGTCGACGCAATTGAGATTGCACCGTCCATAGACCTGGCAATAGCATTGCTGTGGATCGGGGCAGTGCCTTGCCGGCTGCCCAAACAAAACTGGAGTTATGTAATATACACATATTAGCAAGAGGAAGAAGGACAGAGAACAAGAGAGGGCGGGGAAGGGGGCGGATCATTTACCATGCCACATATACTCCATAACCCTCCCACTAATCTGATCCGACAGCTGCGTGTCAAGCAACCACTGCCGCAATTCTTCATATCTCTGCAGCGGATTTTCTCGAATGGCGCGGGCCGTAACACCAAACTGCGCACAGCAACCCACCGCAACTTCTCCCGGTAGGCTTGTCGCGCCGGGGAAGAGGGTGGCAGCGTTCTGCAGGATGCCCGCGATCGTTGCTGCTTCGCTGGTGTTTACTACTGTCGGGACTGCGGTCAGATCGAGTCCCGTGGTGCAGCCCGGGTACGGGTGGCAGCGCATGTTTACGTAGCCTTCGCGTACGAGGTGTTGGAGGTTGAAGCGCTCGAGCATGCGCTTACCATCTGGGGAGTCTTGGTTAGAAGGATTTCCGGGTTGGTTCTTTTTTTCGGCGTGGGGGATTTCTCGAACGCACCGTACTTCTCATCGTCGTTGTGCCATTGGTTCTGGTCCGCGTGGAGGAAGAGAACGGCAGTATCATTTGGGTGGTCATCGTAATGATCAATCATGTATCTATGAATAAATTAATAAATTATAAAATGAACAAGAGAGGGAAAAAAAAAAAAAAAAAAAAAAAAAAAAAGGTTTGCTGTGGTATTCACTCTGTACGAACGTCAAATAAACCATAGCCTCCCTCCCCTTATTCCTGGGGATACGCAGTTGGGTAGGCTCGTCGTCCGCAATATAGATATGCATATCCCATTGAGGGAATGCTTTGGGCAGCCATTTGGTGTTTGAGCTCCGCAGGCCAGCAACCACAACGGCGGCTTGTGGATCATGTCCATGGCCATGTGGTAACGGCTTTGCGTCATCTCTATCATTCCGGAGGTAATAGAAAACGAATAGCACGAAGAGAACGGTGCTAGCGAGGAGACGAATCCGGCGGCGGTAAAGGCTCGAGGAGGAGGAAGTCAGGACCCGGGGACGGAGGTGGGACAACATTAGTTTGCTGTCGTTCTTGAGTCAAAGAGCTGCCAAAAGAAACGGGCGGCGGCGATGTTCCCTCCATGAATCGCCATCATCCCGGAGTCGTAAACATGACAATAATATATTATAGTATGATATATATAAATATGCCGGGGGCTGTGGGAATTGATATCAATCAATCCTTGCGATATGATCTGCAATTCTCCGCGCCCGGGTTGTCTCGGGCCAAGACATGCCCAGGCTTGGAATCCGAAGCCAGAGTCTTTGGTCCAGATATTTAGGCTGCCGTAGTGTAGTCTCGGGGATATTATTGCTGTTTTGGATTTATTCGCGGTGCTTTCATTCTCTCTGGTGGGTGCGGTGCTTCGGCCTGCATGGGATGGAATTGTAGGGATATGCGGATTGAGAACGATATCCAGCCTTCATTCATTGAAATAATAATGAGAGAATTGCACCGAGTCCGATGCGATATACATTACTTTATATTCTCATCCCCTCCGGGCTTTCTGAGCACAAGATGTCTCACATTTGATGGCTGAAAGCTACCCCTGCTTATGTGCGAGCTGGATGTAACTAAATAACAATAACCTCTCCTCCTGGTATTCATCTTCTAAAGAATAGGAGCCGTTCCTCTGCTGAATATCTGAAACACTTGAATAAGAAACTAATGGAGATTAATATAAATATATGTAAGGGCCTTTTTTCAATTATTGAAGTTCTAGCGACTTTACTCAACGTCTGATGCCCCTGGTAGCTAGCTAGCTATTTAGCTAACTAGGTAATATTCCTCCGAAACCAGTTGATCTGTGATGACAGGGTGTGGCTGCTGGAAATATAACCGTCAACCAATCATGTCCGCAAGGCAAAGAGAAGAAAGCGTAGAACTCAAACGACTGATCACCTTTTGACCGCAGGGACAATACTGCTGCTGCTGCTGCTCTTGTGGTTATGTATCAGAACTACTAGTAAATAAGCGAGAGAGGCTGCTTGTAAGGTTTGTCGATATACTGCGTAGGATAGCTGTTTGCACAAGGCTTCAAAAATCGGATGACAAGATAACTACTTCGAGATTCTTAGTTCGACTCAAAGCAAATGAGCCAGCTCTTTCTTTTATCATATTCAGTCAGGGCTGCGACGAATTTATCTGGACTCTGCCTCTCATCCTATCAGAAACCCTTGGTTTTGGATACAAGTTCTGTGCATTTCCCTGCTGCAAATAGCGTTCAAAGAGAAAAACTCATATATAAGGGCAACTATACTTCTTGTACTCTTTATTTATTCGAAACTGCTGTGCAAGAGAGAATTAAAAATAAATACTACTAGTTATAATGAGAAATAAATTCTGTCATACAAACATCAAAGTGCATGAAGAAAAAACAATCTTTTCGAACTTTTTTATATTTAGCTAAATACTCTGGAAACTTAAATAACTAACTTAGTTAAATCTTTAGCTCCACGAAACCAATTGCTCCGCGCAGAGATCTAACCAACCCGCTGAGCGATACAAACCCCCAAATTCCACCAGGGAATCAGCCAAAGTTGATTTAAAATGTACTCTCTTGTACTCTCTGCGGAGCTATCAGGGCAAGTATAGTATTCCCCTTTCTAACCTGTTGTCTCCTTTTTATCACTCTAACATCCTGTCGGAGCTTATCCCCCCCCCCCCCCCCTGTACCTACCCCGCCCCGCCACACCTGTCCTGGTTTGGACAACATCAGCATTTAATACTAAATACTCGCATGATTTTACCCATATTAAAATACATTCTACGGACATTCCTAAAATCCAACAGTGGTGGCTCTTTGATACTAATAAAACTACTGTACAACGCAAGGTCACGAATCTCCGGCCCAAAGACACGGAACAGAACCCTTACTTTTACACGTTTAAAGGGCAATGGAACTCCTGCCGGAAAATCCACCCTAAATGGGGGAACTTTAAAATATTTGAGAAGGATGAACATTTTTATTTATATATATATACATAAATAGGGTCCTTCAAATTACGGGGCCCTGCACGAGTCGTAATATTACGTGATTGACCCCCTCCCGGAATTTTCCTCCAGCTTCTTCTACCCTGAAAGCTGATTTGGTAATCTTAAGAGACACCTGAGGTCCACGGGACACCTCGTGGGGGCAATTTTGAACGCCACTCACTCTTCCCCGGGTGAGGTTTGGCCAGCAAAATTTTTTTTTTTTTTTTTTTTTTTTTTTTTTTTTTTTTTTTTTTTTTTTTTTTTTTTTTTTTTTTTTTTTTTTTTTTTTTTTTTGCTTGAATGCCTTTTGTCTCCCTGATGCGATTTTGATTCTTGCAATGCTTGAATGCTTGCTCGCCTGCTTGCATGGTTGGACTCTTTATCCAGAGTTTTATCTACGACGAGAGCTCCACTACTTCCCTTTTTTTTTCTTCTTTTTTTCATTACTTTTTCCTTTTGAGGGGGGAGACTAGACTAGCATCATCCTGTTTATGCTAGATTTGGGCACGCTGAAAAAAAGAAAAAACAAGGTTTAATGCTGATTGATATTCTTATGAATGGAAATGGAAATTAAAAAAAGAGGACACATTCCGCCTCGATCCCCAACGGACCAATCGCATATGATGAATCGAAAAGCGAGGGGCAAAAAATCATCGAGTTCGATTGTCGAGGGCTGGAGTTTACGGAGTTTAAGGCTGATGTGAGTTTTACGCTGCTGGTGAATATATATATAATAATGATGTGCACTTCCCTCGTCCTTTGAGTGTTGTTAACGGTTGTTACGTTCATGGATAACTAGGGAGAGTGGGAAGCGAAGGGAGCAGAATCATCGACGGCATTTTCAAGTGTCGATCTTAGCGATGGGGAGTGGTATGATTATGATGAGAAGGCAGGTGAGGAGGTAAGTATCAAAGACGTGAGCTGGGAGATTCGCAGAGCATGAGGCGGTGTGTATGATATATTGGGTGGAAAAAAATGCGGGAATCTGGAAGGTCTACGAGTCCTCGGGAGGAGGGGAAAAACATGATTTCAGTGATGGGCAGGACGGTGGACTAGGGGCAGGACGGTGGACTAGAAGAGGGCTGAATTCTTCTGTATGCCATTAATTGATGTATGCTGTAAAGATTAATGGAATAAATAATATATAATGTTTGTATTATTGATTCCTCCTCTTCGTCTCGCCGAGAAAGTGATTATGATTGGCCAATGCTTTTCACCGCCTAGCCCGGCAGATCGATCGCAGCCGCCCTTTGGAGATTTCATGAGAGCTTCAACAGTAACCAACCATCAGTGCTTTATCCCGACGAATTGGATTTGGCACGGAGAGCAAAACCTCTTGCTACCTACTACTCGCTTCTATACCGTGCCGGATCTATTTACGTGTCGCTAATTCACCACCACGAGACTCTTACCCTCATATCCCACCTCTCCGATACTCGCAGATGATATTGCACACACACCCCCCTTCCTATTCACAATGAGTGTAAGTGTAACGCGCGACCAGGCGAAACCAGCCAGCATTTCCTTCTTACAGACTCTCCTACAAGAAAAGAAAAATTCTACAATGTTATATAGCTAGCTATTCTAACACATATCCACGTCTTTTAGTTCGTACCTTTAAACCCGCGGCCTATGCTGCAATCTCTGTACGTCTCCCTCCCCTCCTACCTACCAAACGGCCTACCCTACCTACCCTACCTCTCTCCCCTCTCCTCTCCCAATATTTAAAAACAAATCCCCACCCGACAACACCTACCACTTCTTTCCATGCCTAGTGTGCTTACCGAATTTTCTTTTTTTTTCTTTCTTTTTTTCGTTTTGCTATAGTGTCAACGAGGATATCATCGTGCACCTGAAATGGGGCCAGACAGAGTACAAGGGCCAGCTCGTCAGCGTTGATTCATATATGAATATCCAGTTGTCGAATACGGAGGAATTCATTGACGGGAAGAGCACGGGTAGTTTGGGGCAGGTTTTGATACGGTGAGTTTTTGGCTTTTTTTTTTTTTTTTTTTTTTTTTTTTTTTTTTTTTTTCTCAAAGTGATGTTTGAGGCTATGACGGTGTGGAAGGGGTTCTATGCTTTTCCGTACTTCTCTTTTATATATTTTATATATAGATACGAAACTGAACTGAACTGTGCGCGCTAACGCTCAACACGTCTCACCCCTTGTCTAGGTGTAATAATGTCCTCTGGATATCGGCCGCGAAAGGCGTGGAGATGAAAGACGTCCAGATGAGCGAAGGATAAACGACACCTGTACAAGAAGAAAAAAAATATATATATATTTACAAAAACAGCAAAGAAAAGATGAGATTACCGAAAAGGTTTCAAACGAACGATCAGACAAAATCTGGGCGACATTCTGGCGTTTGCGTTGTTTCGGTTTTTTGCTCTTGATTTTTCATTTTTTTCGACTTTTTTTCGACTTTTTTTTTCTTTTTCGATTGTTGATTGTTGTTACGCTCACGAGGGATATACGAATCCGAAAATATTTAAATCGCTTGGACCTTTGCTTTCAGTTTTTACCTACGTTTATTTTTATATATTTTCTAGTTGGAGCCGGGAGGAAGGGAGAAATGGGCCTTAAATGGTTATGGATTTCATATGTTGATTCCATTTATGCTGCGGCATGGTTGAGGGCGCGACACTGCCGCCTGTTTCATGGGGGAAAGGGGAGGGAAAGAGGTTGGCTCTGGCAGCGAGGTTCCGTATGATGATAGTCAACAGTTACGATTTTAGATGGAGGCTAAATAAAGCGAATCAAGACGTCTCTTGAAAGCTTGCGTGTGTGCGTGCGTGCGTGCGTGCTATAGTATAGTAGTGTATAGTTAGTTATATATTCACCAAGTGTCAACAAGTAAAAGTAGTCGGAAGGTAAGAAGAAGGATTTGCCAACTGGTGTTCCGTGTCTCCAAGTCCATGCGCGTTGCGGAGGTAATCCAAGTGTCGTTCGTTGTGTCTATAAAAAATTACTCTGTTTCAAGGGTTCCCTCTGTTAAGGACAGGGTTGGACGGGATATTTTGAAGGATTCTTGTTTTTGATAGCTAGTTACTTTCAACCTCTCCGGCTAATACGTACAATAATGCACTTACTTCTCTCCTTGAGGAGGATGGGAGGATTAAGGATTGAAGAGGAGGAAGAGAAGATACATGTATGTAATGTACATATACATGTACATGTACAATATTTAATACGTATTACGCACTTCCTGATAAGCTGTTTGGGCTTGTTTCATTCAGACTACGAGACAACATTCACCAACCAACCCACGGCGGGGGCAGCGGAGAAGAAGAAGAGGATTTCGGCATGGACTGCATGAAATATTCAATAAATATACACCATCCAACGCTCCGGATAGGTGGCCGGCCGGTGTTGGCCAAGTCCAGTGCTGTTTAGTTAGTTGTTCCCATTTGCTTCTCCGTATGTATGTATGTACATGTACACTGTACATACATAGGGATGTAAATATAATTTACTATCACTCTCCTTCCGGTTACTCGTTGGTTGGGCGCGGGTTGTCCCTCCCGCTCCGTTGAACCATGAACACAAAAGATATGATTCAGCACACCTCTTCTTCATCTGGAAGCTTGTTCGATACAAGTTTTTTTGACTAGTGAGGCCGCATGATCAAGGTCGCCAAGTTTGTTAAGTTGTGGGCGGGGAGGTTGGACTAAATATTATTAATAATAACTACGCATAGTAAATAAAGATCAGGAGTCTTAGCTGTCTGCCTGCTCTCTCCCAGCGTCGAGCGAGGCCTGATAGTTTCTACAGAGTCATGATCAAGATATATGTAAATATTTCCTCGTTAACTAGTTACCACTGACAATGATCAGCGTTGTCATGTAACTAACCAATGCAATAGTTAATAAGTTAATAAATCCATGATTCATCGAAGCGCCAAAACGTGGGCTTTGATCCCTCCCCTCCCCTCCCCCGCAAACAACCACCACCACCACTAGCACCATTAGCACCATCCCGCAACCTATCTAGAGCACGAGACACAGAAAAATTGATTCTCCGCCGCTGAGGAAGGACGAAATTACTTGGGCCACTACTCATATGTACTACTACTACTACTGCGTAATGTAGTTCAATCCTTCCCTTTGGTAAACTGGGCCATCCAATCGGGGGGGGGGGGGGGGGAGAAGAGGGCTTTTCCCGGCCGGCAGGCGAAATCAACACAACCTTATATCCCGCGCCTCCCGAGTCCGAAACATTTCTGTCGCCTTTTTGGCCATTCCGGGACCAAATAGGTAGAGTAGAGTAGGCAATCAGAACAACGGGCACATTCTCGTGTGTGTTGTGTGTTGTGTGTTGTGTGTTGTGTGTGGGGAGGCGGGGAGGGGGAGGGGGGGTGATTGTACAGATTGGCGCAGCGTAACAATTGTTTCTTGGAAGTCTAAAAAACATGGCTTGTTCTATGTCTTTTCTTTTTTTTTTTTTTGTCCGTGATGGTGGTTCGAGCAAGGGACTAACTAACTTACTAAAATAAATATAATAATAAGTTTTCCCAGGTCTGAAGCTAGCACCGGGCTTCAACAGGAGGGGGGAGGGGAATAATAATAATAATAACTCATGCAGGAAATATCCAGGAATCCCCCGTATTGGCCAGGTTGGTCCGAGTCTTTTCGCCTCTTGTTGCTTTTCTTTTTTTGACTCTTCTTCCGTCTTTCTTTTCTTCTGGATGGGAGTTTGGGGAAGAAGTGCAAGAACCCGTTCGGAAAGGTGGTTTCATTTTTACATTATTTGTTCCCCCACATTATCATTATTACCTATCTCTCTTTGTATTTCTCCTCTGTTCGCCCTTTTGGTATTATTATTTCCTATTCCTGCTACTTTCCAACTCTCGCTTAATTTAAATCCCGTTGCTTGCTTGTGCCCCCCGCTGCAAGGGTTTGGACCTTCTATCTAGTTACATGTGTTTTCCATTGATCCAAAAAGACTAACTACTTCCCTCACTCAACGTTAATACCCGCACAGTGGTCTTTATCCCTACAAAGACAAAAGACAAAGCAAAGGGGAGAGAGACGGGAAGAACCAGTATCAACGACGAGGGAATGTCCTGGTGGTTGAGCTTTACATAATAGATATATCGTTACATACCCTCCTCCTCCTCCTCCTCCTCCCCTATCTCGCCGTATCGTATAGCATCATCGCAAACCACAAAATATCGTTGATCGAATTAAACCAATAAACCAACACGTTCACGAGAAAACGAAACACACAGCGGAGGAAAAAAATATATTACTCATCGTCGTCGTCGCTCCTGTTAAAAACTCGTTACGTGCGTGCAAAAAGGGGTCACGTTGAGCAGCGGAGCGGAGCGGGGTGAGCTGCAGACCCCAAAGATATCAAGCAGCGGGATATTTGCAACCAGTGTTCGCTCTCTCCGATTCACTTACTCTCTTCAACCATACTGTACTATCGACACATACATACATATATCCATACAATATCTCGCTGCACAAGTATTACAAACCACCGAACCAAAGCCAAAAAAAGCCAGACCTGAAAACCCGCAAAAAGAAAAAGAAAAAAGAAAGAAAGAAAGAAAGAAAGAAAGAAAGAAAGAAAAAGAAAAAGAAAAAGAAAACCCCAAGATGCCATCCCAACCCTCAAGATTCACCGAGCTCCTCGGCTCAGAACGGCTCAAACGACACACCTTCTCCAGCGCTGACGTGCGACTGGAAGATATCCTCGCCGCGGAAGCTGCCCAAGCCACTACCACTACCACTACCACTGCTGCCGCTGCTGCTGCTGCCTTGCAAAGGTCCACCACGGTCAGCAGATCGCGCTCTACCGCGTCAACATTTTCGACGTCTTCGACATCGTCGGCATCCTCTTCCTCGTCATCGGGTTCGCGGAGGAAGTTGGCTTTTAGGTGGATTCCTTTTCCCGTGGGGGGTCGATAGGGGGAGCGGGGAGTGGGAATGGACTGGGGAATGGACTGGGGAATGGAGGGAATGGAGGGAAGGGGGGGGAGGGGGGATGGATTTCACTGTCGACAGAGAGGGAGACCGCGCATGAGCGGCGGGTTTGCTCATTTTTAAAAACACATGCTTCACGACTGCATTTGGAGAAAAATTCCCTTCCGTTCTGGGTTTTGCATTGTTTGGTTAATTTTATCGAGTTGGGAAAATGGGTGGTTATCTGTTTTCCATCTATATGACTGGATGTTTTTGTGTGTTCCGGATGGAGAGAGGGGGCGTGGCATGAGCTCTGGTGGGTGGTTTTATATCGATGCAACACATTTCCCCCCCTAGTTTCTTATTTTTTTCTTATTTTTTCTTATTTTTTTTTTCTTTTTAAATTTTCTGGTGCTCATTGCTAGTTACCTACGCAGATAGCTGGGGTATCGGTGTTGGCTGGACCTGGAGTTCACGATTTCTCCTCCCGATTTTTCCTTACTTATTTACTGCTTTGGTCACCATTGTTTATTTTTCTTGGTTATAGTTATTATTGTGTTGTAATATCCCTCTCTTCATTATTCCCCCCCTTTTTTTTCGTGGATAACGATTTGACTTTGGCTCCATCTAACTACCCCCCTGATTTTTATCTCTAACGTTATTACTTTTAAACGACATGACCTCACGACTGTCTTTACCCTGCCCTGACGACTGAATGCCCCCCCTTTTTTCGATTATCTTTGCTCCCCAAACTTTATCATGCTATATATACCCCGCGCGGTCCTTTCTCTTTTCCTTTCTCTCTCTCTCTCTCTCTCTCTCTCTCTCTCTCTTTTTTTTTTTTTTGTGATCTCTATTTGTCTATTTGGAGCTTTCGCTGTTTCTTTTTCTTTCTTTTTTCGGCGGGCTGGAGGATGGATTGTTTACTTAGTTTTTCTTCTTCGTTATCCTCCCTAGTTTTGTGTAGTGTTTCATTTCATTTCATTTCCATTTCCATTTCCATTCCCTGTGCTCCTTCTGGGTGGCAGGATGGGGTGGGGAGGGATATCTGGATTATTTCCATTCAGCAAGAGAGAGAGATATAATAATAACCAACCACCAAGCATACATGCTAAATGCTATTTTATACCAACTTCTTTTTTTTACCAACAAAGCCTGTGCGGGTACGGGTACGGAGAGAGTACTTCGTTTTAACTATATATAACTACGGGACCCCCCTGGAATCCCGAGAGGCATGGTTGGCTGGCTGGAGGAAGTAGCAGGGCATGGCGGCGCATCTTAAATCTACGTTATGTATGTATATATGTACATGTACATGATCGACCTCGATCGGGTCAAACGGGGTTATTTTTTTATTTTTTTTATCTATTTTATTAGTTCGTATAATCTCTGAAACTCAACGGAGCCAAATAAATACGATGTATGCACTGCCTTCGGCGCAGAGGAGGTTGGAGTTTAGTTTTCAGATGGTATATTCGATGCTAGAATACGTGGAGGTGGGCTTGGGTTCAAATCGTTGGGGGTTGGTAGATGGGCAATTTTAAGTGAGGGTGTTAGTTGTTAGGTTGGAAGAAGATTATTTGGGATTGGAGATAGATATTGCATGGGCTCTATTTTATTTTATTTTATTTTATTTATTTATTTTTCATTCGGTGAGAGTATTTCAATTTCTTTGGGTTAGCTGAGTGATTATGATTAGGCCCGATTTGGCGCTGTAAGAAGAAGAAGAAGAAGAAGCCAAAAAGAAGATAGTTAAAGGTATGTAATGTACATGTACATGTACATACGAATGCATATAACCAACCATAGGCTCGTTGGGAATATAAAGTATGCGCAGCACATTTGCACCGATATATATATAAAGGCCAGGTATCTATCAATTAACCTAAAGAAAGCCAATCAACTACCAATAGAATGATGCACGATATTACAATTTTGCGTGAGAATGTCCATCTCCAAGCGCCTTGCTTGCAAACGCCCCAAAATACTCATTCAGCGCATCTACCGTGCCGTTCCCCTCGACGAGCTGCAGGGTGCATGCGATATGCCCATCTGGCCTGAGAACAACTACGCCGCCTCTCTCCGTATCGAAGCCAAGTTTCGTGTGGGCCGCTGCTCTTGCGTTCGGTGCCTTAATGTCAGGGACGTTATCGACGTAGATATGATGGCGATACGCCTTTAGCAACTTGGGCAGGTGGTCAATTGCACCCGAGCCCTCGGTGTTTGAGTAAGTCAGGCAGAATGTAAAAAGGTGGGAGTGCGGATTATGTCGTTCAAAATGGGAGACAGTATCGATATCCCTTCGTTGGTAGCTGGAGAGGAATGAGCGCTTTTTCTCCAGGTTTGATGCGAAGTCGTTCACTGCTTGCCTCGTCTTGTCTGGGTTTCCGGCGAAGATATGGATGCGGAAGGAGCCGTTGGCGGGCACTGCTTGCTCCAGCGCAACCTTGTTGGAGTCACTTAGTCGGGTAACGGTGCATGAGGGGAACACTCGACCGGGGACCAATTTTACCCCTGGGGGGTTGAATAGAGGGGACTTGGCGGGGTGATCGGGTCCCCAATTGAAGATATTGGGTTGGTAAACTACGCCGTACCCGCTGGTAAATTCGCAAGCGGATTTGAACATGTCTACAAATTCGTTGATATTGCTTGTTGCGTCATCGTCGTCATCGTTGTTGTTGTTGTTGTTGTTGCTGGCTGCTCCCACTTCAGCAGCGGATGGGGGTCTTGAAGAGAACAAGGCCGCATATTTGGCGTCAAAGTTGAGGAGAGTTTCGGCAATTAGTTTACGCTCTGATTCATATGTGTTCAAAATCGAGGGTTTGGCGAAGCCTTGTTCTACCATGTGAACTTTCCAGGCGAAGTTTAATGCGTCGTGAAATGCGGTATTCATACCCTGACCCGCTTTGGGCTGAACAGGAGGTTAGTTGCGACCTACGGACATAGGTGTGGTTTGGTACCAGCGGATGCAAATCACTCACGCTATGTGTATGACAAGCATCGCCGCCTATAAATATGCGATGGTCCAATGTATACCTCTCAGCAATTCCCTGCCCAATAGGGTACACAGAGTACCACTCCACCCTGTCCCATTCTAAATGGTAAGGCTGGAAAATCCTTTTGGCGGCTTGCTGGACCTCCGAAACCGTTGCCGTTTTCCGCGGGCTCCAGTCTGCATCAGTCGAGGACGAAATTTGAACGTATAACCGCACCATATTGTTTTCTCGTGGTATGACCATTACAGAGCCGCTATCCGAATGAATGGTGCACTTTGTCTAAAATTCTCACGTCAGCACCCACACTTTTCTGCTTCCTATTGGATTAGAATGGTCATACCAGGATATCAGGGAAGTTTGTCCGTACTACTCCGTCCATCACACCCCAAACATGAGAAATTGGGTCCTTGTGAATAATTTTTATTCCCAATTGCTCTCTAATGAAGCTTTTGGCGCCTTCCCCACTGAATAGATATTTTGCTTTCGATACCTGTTCGACATTTGTATCGAGGTCCTTGAGTGTGACTTCCACGGGGTACGCTTTATCCTCCCCATCATTTTTAAATCCAACAATGGTCCAGGGTCGGTCGATAGAGCCGCCATGCTTTGTCAGCTCCTCTATGAAAGCCCTTTCGATATGCCCTTGGTGTAATAACGTGGTGAAGGGGTATCTAGTATCGATGAATGAAGGGCAGCTAGGCCAACTTCCGGTCCTATGTATGCCTCTTCCATCCGGTAAGGGGTCCCAGAAAGCAACGTCATAAACCCTCGCGGGATCGTGTGCCATGATCCTGCGTTTTATACCCAGATTTCGTAGCAGCTCTAATGAACGAGGCTGAATACCGTCAGCCCGGCCGGTTTTGGTGGGTAGTGGGCGGTTATCGATGTGTTTGATTTCATACCCCCATTTGGAGAAGCATAGGGAGGCAAGAAGCCCGACAGGCCCAGCGCCAATGATGACGACATCGTATTTGTCTGCTGATTGAGGCATCCTACTCTCGTGACGATTATGAGGTACTGGAAGGATACGACAGGAATTGTTATAATGGGGGATTCGCGTAGAGAACCCATGGGCATTTTTATCTCCGCTCCAGGAGAAGGCGTATTTAAAATTAGACAATCGACCACGCCGCATAGCTGCGGAAGCACAGGCTGCTTATATACTAAACACTGTCCATCCAGGATCAATCATGGGTATCGTTTTAATATTGACGAAGACCATAGCTCCAGCTAACCGGCGGCGGCGGCGGCGGCGGCGCTGATCCCTGAAACGAAGCATCTTGTTGGGCCTTTTTTCAGGCGTGTGGTGTGTCTGATGCGGGGGAGCACTTAGCCAGCGGCCATGGTCTTAGCAGTGTGGGGGATAGCATCGCTGTGCGGGCTGCAGACCAGACCAGGAAACTCGCTGTTCGGTTGTGTTGCAGAGTCCTATCCTAGTTGGCGGCCGGAGCTGGTAGTCGGCAGTGTAAGGGTCACGTGGTGGTGAGGTCATCCATGGATGTTAGTCAGCGTTGAACTTCTTTGACAACTTCTAGCTATAACGCAAAGATGCCGGTAATAGGACACCAGGAATATCATGACAGATTGCAGAGAATCCGCTTGTATCTGGGAATGCTGATTCATTGGATGCGAATAACAGCCCCCGAATATAGTTAATACTCCAGCTTCATCTTGGAAGAAGAGACTTTTCACCCTCCTTTCTCGGTCTGCATCCGAGTCGCGAGGTTGAAACTCACATAGCCGCTGGAATAGATATTGGGTATATACCCTGTTGAATGTCATATCACCCTGTGGAGTGATATCCGAATTGCGCCATTATTGTATTCGGATGATTTGGAGATATCAAGCTACGCCTTTCTATTTTCAGCACGGACAGAGTGATGGCAGCCTTCAAAGCCTGCATCTCGGTTTTTGTTCTTCCCAAACATGGAACTTTCGACTGGCAGCCATAGAATATACTATGCTAGCGTGTGGAATTGTTCTGTGTATTGCCCCTGGAATACCAATCAAGGTGATTGGTAGATGGTTGGAATATTTTTGATTCCTGTCTTTCGAATTCTGCCCAAATTGCTCATGTTTATATAATAATTGCTATTATATCACTTGAGCTGGCGGATTATAGATATTTCTGAATATAGATCCCAATTTTGAATATTCACACAATGGGATATGTCGACAAAGCAAATATTCTTTTCAAATTGAATTAGCTGAAAAGTTCCAATACGTTCATTCACCAAAACTATGAAGACCTTTATTGAAGCCCATTGTTGTATTCAATCTGGTCGATGGTGGATTCATATACGCCAACAATGGGTCAGGCCCTGAATCTAGCATTTGCGGAGTGCTCTGAGGAGTTGGGTGAAAGGACTGTCAATCCTTGGTATACCGTTGACACCGTTGATTTGAATAGGAGCTTTTGGTTGATTTCCATGTTATACCAGCATTTTTATACAACTCATACTATAAAGAACTGTTTGAATCAGGATCAAGCTTATCTCTGTTTTCTGCGGTGGCAAACCCCTTGTTACATGCAGAGACTGTCAACCTTCAATATCCAGGTGCGTAATTTTTTCGGGATTTGTTTATTGCTTGGAGTATTGTGGGCTTGAAGCTCACCAGTTGCAGCTTGCTATCGTGCGCCGTGGCAACCGAACAACCCTCGTGGTTGTTGACGTTGACACACGTTTCCGCCGTTCCAGGGACCCGTAAGCTCCAGCAAACTACTCTATCCAGCATGGAGAGTCAATTCAGCGGAAGGGGTTATTCTGAATACGAAAATGTTCCTATTGAGGGTATTCGGGGCCTTGAGATCGACCACAACAGAGCCCATCACCTGCACGGAGCAACAGATACGCTCTCCACACCACAGCTTACTGCCCGGAACCCTTACTTCCAGTCTGGTGCATCAAGTGCATCCGTTTACTCTCAATCTTCATCTGGCTCTCCAACCAAAGACACCTTTCGCCTACTAACGCGTGAAATCTTGAACAATCCACTGTTAAAGTCAGTAGAAAATACAGGAAAACCTGTTTTGACGCTTGAACCGGAAAAGTTTAACCCAATCTGCTCTATGGAGGTGCCGATCGTATACGACAAGTAAGTTGATATCACCATATTCGTCGCTTGGGCGGAAGGGAAACTAACATATTATTTAGCCACTCTTCATATAATAGTGCGGGCGATTCCAACCCTTCTGGAGAAGGACGCGAAATAATGTGGCCGTTTGAGCCAGAGACATCTGAAGCCACGCCAGGAATTCCGCCAAAGGCATTTTCATACCCCGTTGATACAAATCAATACAACAGACGCCTCCCTATTTCCAAGTCAGAGGGGAGCAATGTCAAGTCTCTTGATGGCAATACGAGCTATGACGACATGCCATGTAGAGGAGATCATTATTGCCCCGACTGGAATCATTCAGCAAATGTGTTTCCCGGACGCCAGAAACAGCGATCTGGGTCCCCGGATAGAGGGCGTGGCAGAGGGAGGTCTTTGTCTCCCGTGAAGGTCCTTGAGGACCTTGACGAAAATTCACCACTCGAGTTTCTGCCAAGTCCTATGAAGAGGGCTCGATCACCGCATAAAAAACTGTTTGGAGAAAACGGTTGGTTGGGTCGTAGCCCTTCTTTGAAGGAAAGCTCTTCTGAAAAGAACAAAAGGCCTGGTTTTAAGTCGCTTGGTGAAAAGATCAAACAGCGGGTTGAGGATATCGTAAGTTCATAATGTTCTCGAATTACTCGGAATTATTTCCCCAGTACTGTGAGTATCTTTTTTAATCTGACTATTCGGTTTGCAGACAGGGGATGCTAAGAAATCCAAGGAAAGGTTTCAATCGACGTTCCCCATTTCCCTGGACCCTCCAACCCAGGCAAAATTATACTCTGAGGTAGAGCTTATGATATGCGTGACAGCCAACAAGTTCCTCCTCGACCAGCACAAGGAGGGTCGCATATCGGTGGATTCAGTTACCAAAGTTACCAATTTCTGGGCTTCAAAGAATCGTCCGCAGGTCGTACAGTTTCAATTCGACCAGCTCACCCAGCGTGATCTCGTCATCTACAACCTACGGACGTTCAAATTTCATGGCGAATGTGCACAGAATGTGGTTGCTCTCAATGCGACCTTGCGCAATTGGAAAGCGATCGCCAAGGAGATGAGTGTTCGTACCTTCTGCACTCCAGATAGCGTCATTAGAAAACATATGCATGATACACACAAGATCTTGGAGATGCTCGGGGCGCCGCTTGTCACATTCCTCGCATTTCAGGAACTTCAAGTCAACACGCTTTCGCTGATGAAACGGGAGCAAGAGAAGAAGATGCAAGGAAAGGGGCCGCATGGGGTGACGAGGGAGTATCACCCTCCCTCCCTATCTCAGCGTGAAAACGAAGACAGAGGAAGGGTTCATGGAGAACACCGAGAGTGAGGGCATCTAAAAGAAAAAGTAAACAACGAGCATTGCTTCATCCGAATGTATATTCGTTCTGCTTCTGTCTGCGGGTGTATATCTTGCACGGAGTTGGCAGGGCTTCGTTGATGTGTTTGCTGGTTTTAAGCGCCTAAATACTTCTTTCCTGTTGTTTCTGGCGATCTGTATGAACATGATTATTTTTGTTTTCTCGTTTTCAAAGTGTTTGCGACGAGTAAAGTAATAATTAATAATTTTTTAAAGAATATATACTAATTCCTCCGTAACTAGTTGTTTTTTGACGACGCCAGAAATTTGAACATCCACGTGACAAGAATGGACAGATGACGTTAACGTCAGTTGAGCTACTGACAGCATCATACTAGGCATACAGCTTTCAATGGGACAACGCTGGACAATGACTTTGCTCAATTTAATAAAGAGAAAGCTCTAGCGGCTATTCCCGTTTCTCTACAGCTATCTCGATGCTTTTCATGCGGCTATGAAGGAATGCGCCTATCCTGCACCTTCGGCTAGCCCCAACAACTTCGAAGGTTCGAGGCAGCCGTATAACTACTCCATAGTTGAACTAGCATTCATCTACGGACTCAACAGACTAATAACTTGAAATTTCCAGTCATGATATGACCCAGCTTATTCTATATAAACCCTCGTCCCTATTTATATCGCGAAGTAATCTCCCGCAGATATTTGAAGCTCTATTCACCGCCGAAGTATGTCGAGCTTGCTCCACACCTATGGGCCAACATGCCTACTATATGATCCCGAGGACAATCCAGCAACGAAATCGGATTTCAGCTCGTCTACAGTTCCTCCCAAAGTTCGCGCCCAGTTTTTCTACTTGTCGTCTTTCCCAATAGATGATCCTTTAACTCCTCTGCCAGCGCCTTCTGCAAGCTCGAGCACCTCTGTTGCCAGCTTCCCTCCACGGCCCTTTTCGGTTTTGGATAACATTGCGCTGGAAGAAGCATGGCACGGACTTAGGAACACAGAGGAACACTCGGAAGCTGAAGACACTCATAAAAGCGGGACCGAAGAGAACAAGGCTATCAGAAACTGGAAGCAGAGAGTTGACAGACTCATCATTGAAGCCTTAGCTGCAGCTCGCGAATATAGGCATGATTCGCCGGATATAGATCTGACACCGATTAACGAACGCCACGATTCTGCTTCAATATTTTCTCTCGCTGAACAGCATGTGGCGGAATATGGAAGCTCTGATGATGAAGCGGAAAAAAGGAGGCTTGTGGTTTCAACTCTGAGAAACGTAATCGAGCAAATTAGCCGGCACGAAGAAAGCGACTGGAGGAATGAATTGCGACCTATAATTATGGCAATATTCAACGCTGCATCCAACGAAATCCCGAACCAAGATCGGGACACTCCTAATAGGGTTACTGATAATCTTTCGCGTCAAGTCAATGAACAACCTAGGCCTACTGGTGTCTCGATCCCGATTCGAACACCTTCGAAAAAATCTGCTTGCGACGTAGATGCATCTAGTAAATCGGGGGGACAATTTTCTACTCCTGATCAAAACTACCATACTCCAAACTCTTTGAAACGGCACAGCCCCCCAGGGGACCGTAAGTCAAAAACTTCGAAACGGAATAGCACATCATCCCCAACTGGTGATGACGTTTATGGATCTTACCCTTCACAGACACACAGGTCGATTCCTTCAACTAGTTTACACGCAGGCGGCACAAATATCTCTGGGTCTCCGTTCATCAGGGCTCCGGCCAGGAGTCCGCGATCAGCTCCTTCACCAAGGTCGCCTGCTACCCCAAGTAGTATGTCGCATCCGCTAGGTGGAATGGTGACAGGTGACCAAGGGAGCGATGGCCGTTCATCTAGCTCTAGGGTAGATCCTTCTGGTAGCCCTTCAAGGGTCCCAGTGAAACGGTTATCTCCATCTCAACCAGAAGTGACCCCGATAGAAAGCAAACGGGAACCTGATGCGGTTATACCGGTTGGAATTTCAAGACTACATTCAGTGGAACTTCCCAACTTAGAGGCAAGTTGTTTTGATTTCTCATTTTGTTCGCGTGATTGGGGCAATTGATCGGAAGCATTTCTAACTCAAAACACAACCTCTAGATGAAACCCATATATTGGAGCCCTATTCATGATATATCTTCTGTTATTCGAGCCACGTGGTTTTATAAGAACACTATGTTACCTGTTGAGCCGGAACTTGCAAACCAACTAGAAGCCGGCTATATGTACATGCGCCCCTGGACCGAAACCTGGCAGGATGAACTTAACAGCTGCATAGAAAATGGAGCAGAGGCAGAAATGAAAATTGTGCATCGAATCTGGCCTCTGGAAGAAGAAGTAAAAGAGCAAAGTACGGTGGATTCAGGGCGGGAGTTGAAGTCGCCTAAACGTTTGTCGATTCCGAGGTCGACTGAGCCAGAGCGACCGTCGATATTTTATGAGAATCAAGCTGCAGGCTCTATGACGCCACCCGATGCTCCTAGGCCATACAAATCTTCAAGTGTGATATATGTTGATTCCAAGGAGGCGCAAATTCTTAGGCCGAATCTACTACCCTCCGCTGCACGGGGACGACGTCCGCTCAGTGCAATTCGGAAAGGAAGACAAATAGGAATTCCTATTGTTCGAGGATTCAATGCTCAGGCTTGGGATAAGCTACACCCGGTTAAAATTCCGGCGACCAGCGGCAGGAGAATTGTGAAAATGCACCAAACTGCTGAAAGAGAGTCTTTTGGCCGACGCCCTATCTGCTACGCCTGCCAAATTGAGGATAAAAGACCAACGGTTTCCGACCTAGTATTGGTCGTACATGGTATCGGCCAAAAACTATCCGAGCGAGTTGAAAGTTATCATTTCACACATGCCATTAATGCGTTCCGGAGACAAGTCAATATTGAGCTTAACAGCGACGCTGTTTGGCCTCATATGCGCCCTGAATTAGAAAGCATTATGGTGTTACCAGTCAACTGGCGGTCGACACTCTCCCTAGAAGATGCTGATGCTGAAGCTTCACTCGAAAACCCGGATACGAACAAGTTCAGCCTTAAAGACATTACACCTGAAACCATGCCAGCCATAAGAAGTTTGATTAGCGATGTTATGCTCGACATCCCTTATTACCTATCTCACCACAAGCAGAAAATGGTTCAGGCGGTAGTCAAAGAAGCGAACCGAATATATCGCCTCTGGTGTCAAAATAATCCAGATTTTCGAAAAGCTGGTAAAGTGCACCTGATTGCGCACTCTTTGGGCAGTGTCATGGCAATGGATATTCTTAGCCAGCAGCCCACCCATGTTCCCTATATTGATTTTGAACTCACCAAAATCAGCCAGACAATATTTGAATTTGATACCTGCAATGTCTTTTTCTGCGGAAGCCCAGCGGGTTTCTTCTTGTTACTAAATAAATGTCTGTATCATTCCTTTTTCATTCAGGAGACGATGCGAATCAGAGAACTAACTTCCATATAGCAACGCTGCTCCCGCGACAAAATCGGGCTAAACCCGGAACGCACGGAGAAGACATGGAGCGAGGAGTTGCCGGAGAAGCAGGTACTTATGGCTGTCTAGCAGTTGATAATATTTATAACATCATGCACGATACCGACCGTAAGCTCAATTACCTCTCATATCCAAGTTCTATCCAATTCCAGTTAAGAAAATATAAAATAATAATAAACTCATCAATATTGATATCTATTCTTCTTCTTAGCAATCACCTACCGCCTCAATGCAGCCGTGGACAGCGATCTCGCCAACTCCCTCAAACCAGCCTCAGTCCCGAGTTCATCCACCTCATTCTTCCAAGCTGTCAGCAGCGTGTTCCGCTGGGGCTCCTCCAAGGGCCCGAACCAGAGCACCGCAGCAGACCTATCCACATCCCTCTCGCAGCAGAACCAACGCCCCGCCAGCATCGCAAAACTACCTTCCAACATTGAGATGGAGACGCACGACTTCTCGCGCGAGGAACTCGCGGAGAAGCGCATGGCGCTGCTGAACGATAACGGGCAGATTGATTTTTACATCAGCGGCGGCGGTGGGCCGTTGAGTATTCAGTATTTGAATATGCTGACTGCGCATAGTAGTTATTGGGTTTTGCAGGATTTTGTGAGGTTTTTGGTTGTGGAAATTGGTAGAAAGCGTGGGAGGGACGGGACTTTATTGGCGTTAAGGGCGGAGAAGAAGAAGGGATGGAAAAGGGCAAAGGCGTAGTGAGGATGGGGGGTTACTTTTTGGTTGTTTTGGGGTGTATGGTTGGATTCTTCTCTCTCAGGTATAGTTGTTCAGGTTTCATTGTGTTTTTTATTGTTACATATTTGGAGCTTTCGATTTGGTGTTTACTCCTTGTGAATATCTACGGGTTCTTTTAGATGGTTCATGAGGCATACATTCCCGAAGTTAACTATTTCTGCCTATTTGACCGTGGAGGCAATGATACCTCCCTACGGTGAACACCCTAAATACGCATGAAGTTACATAGAAGTAAAATTCACAACGATTTTTGTCATTCTCAATAGAAATTATAAAACCACATTCCAAAATAATAAACATATGAATCGAATCAACCAAATCATCAAATTGTCCATCTTTCACATAATAATTCATCATTTTTAGTTTTTAAATTTCACTCAGGAACTACCATTCCCATCAGCAATGCCTGCACCTTCTTTCCTTTTTCCACGACACCCTTCCCCGGCTCAAGGACCAACAAAGCATTCGCACCTGCTAGGCTACCCACGCGCGAACTCCGCTGCCCCGCCCCAGCACCCGGTCCACCCAGCCCGGTACTCGTCGCAAGAAGTTTACCATCTATTTTCGAGGCTGTTACGATCGCACGATGGTACTCCGTACGTTTAGGATCGAGCGGGATGTCCTGCGTCAGCGTTACTGTGGCGAGTGGGAGGCCGAGACGAGGCTGGAAGCCCTGCTGCTGCTGGCTGCTCATACCCAAACCAGTCACTTTGTGCAGGGCGGGCAGAACGAAGAGGTTCAGCGTCACTAGTGCGGAAGCTGGGTTTCCGGGTAGGGAGAAGATGAGTTTCGTTTCGCGCTCCTGCTGGGCGGCGGGGTCTGTGGATGATACTGCGGGTTTGAATGGGACTGTTGCGAAGGTGGTGGGTTTTCCTGGCTTCATGGAAACCCGGCCGAAGTGGATGGTGCCGCCGAGTTGGCGTTCGATGGTAGGTTTTAGTAGATCCAATTCGCCCATGGAAACGCCGCCAGTCGTTATTATTATGTCAACACTCGGTGAGTCGGGGGTGCCGCGGAGAGCATCGCGCAGGCACTGTTCGAGATGCCCTGTTGGTGTGTCCTTTGCAATTCCGAGGTCGACTGATGGGAAACCCCAGGCTGAAAGACATGAGAGCAATGACGGGCGGTTTGAGTCGCGAATCTGACCACCTTGGAGTGAATCAGGACCATCGTGGTTAACGAGTTCATCGCCTGTGCTGAGGACTCCGATGCGGGGCTTTTTGTATACTTTGACCATTCGCGTTCCGGTCGACGCGAGAAGACCGATTTCCCCGCCTACAGCTGTAATTAGGTCTCCCTTTTGAAGTATTTTAGATCCCAGGGAGACGTCGCTGCCAGGCTCGCGCACGTTTTCTCCCGGTTTTATTGCCCCAGTTAGGATTTCCACGACAGCCTCTTCCTTCCCATCAGGGGTTGTAGATACAAGGACTGTATCTTCCACCATTACGACCGCACTGGCGTTCTCGGGAAGCGGAGCCCCAGTGGTTATCCGCGCAATTTCCCCTCGCTTCAACGGTGGCGGCATAGAAGCTGCTTGTGCATGTGAGACTGATGCTACTGAGAATTTTCCTTTTGTGTTTCCAGTGGAATCCGCTGTAGGAGTGGAGGCGATAACTGCGTAGCCATCCACGATGCTTGCTCTATATGCCGGGACCGCTTCGCGTGCATAGATGTCTTCCGCAATTACGGATCCTACAAGAGATGCATCTACACGAGTTTCGATGATGGTTGGCTCTGGAGTTTGTTCAACGATGATTTTGAGAGCTTCTTCCACCGAAAGCATAGGATAAGGAGATTCACGGTAACGTCTCGTTGGTCCTGCAATAGGGTCATTTGATTGTGGTCGGTCAGCGGGCGATGTATGAGCTCTGGGTATAATGTGGCCATGTGAATGACCATGTCCGTGCCCTTGATGGCAGCCATGGTGATTGTGATGGTGATGGTGATGATGGGGATGAGATTTTTCCTCGACAGAGCCAGCAGCTGTCGTGCTGATGCCCGCTTCTTTCTCCAACCTCTGTACACCACCAGCATGAATTGCTCTCGAATCAGCTCCAGCAGCCTGGATGCAGGCATGCGGGAGAAGTTTGATGACGGCTTGAAGATTTTCTTTCGCTCCTTTTGGAGAACCTGGTAGGGTTATGATTAATGATTTACCCCGCACACCAGCTACGGGCCTGGACATCATAGCAACTGCGATGAACAAATCAGAACAGCTTCAAATACTTGATAGAAATATTTCTGAAGGGGGATGCCATACAAGGAGTTACAGCCAAAGAAGTAGCAAGCATGCCGTGCCTAGAGAAAGTTAGGCTCATATGCCAGAAACCCAAGCGAATAAGGGGCATTAGGACCTACACAAGTCCAGGGGCATGTCGATGGATTAGCGGCGATACGGCCTAACAGTAGTTTGTTAGTGATGCACAATTGAAAGAGTCTTCAAGACCGCCCCATAGGCAAGCTTCAATTGATAGACATCGGCCGGGGTGTAGATATATATGCTCTTAGGGGAGTAACGTAACCCACCTCTGGAGTATTGTCCTTAACTGCAAACCCCGTCCCTCCCGTTGTAATTACGAGATTAAAATAGTCTTCCGCATCTGTCCAGGAGAGTATCTGCCGTTGGATCTCCAGAACGTTATCCGGGACAATTACAATTGCGGGATCACTCCATCTGCCCCCTCCTTCAGCGGCGAATGTTTGGGTGAGAGCGCTAGCTGCCTTCTCCGTTGAAGGATCCCGAGAGGCAGTATCAGAAATTACCAGGATAGCAGCCTTTAATTTTGAGTCAGCCATAGCGAAGGTCGAGGATCCTCACCTGTGAGGTTCGTGTTTGCACTAGGAATGGTTGGAGAATGGGATCTCTTAATATCTTCAGGTATAAATAAGTTGGATGTGCTCCGTTGGTCAGAGGCCGTAAATATTTAACCAGTTATTAAAAACGGTTATTTAAATAAGGTCATTTTTTCGGCAAGAGAGGGGCAAAGTTTAGCTCAACATCAAACCCTTTCGATGCCGCTGCCTGCAACAATGCTCTATACATGCTCCGTACAGGATACAACAACAATGAACAAAAGGCTCTAAATTGGTAGAGTCCGGAACTTAAATCTGTAGTCTGTGGCAAGTACACGCGATTCTAATTCATTCCGCTCTTGGGTCGGTAACACGGAAGCCATCACGATCACCCTCGAGATTTCCCGGCTACAATGTATGATGTATCTAGAGGAAGCTGGGAGAGTATCTTTCCCTCTATGATCTACGTAGAAGATGTATTTGTACAAGGCAGCCTTCTGCCATATCTTTCCCCGCTGTGAATTTATGCTGGCTGAGTAAAACCAGGCATGGAGCTGCGTCAGATACGACGGCATTAGGCATTTATCAAGTGTTCAGCTTATGGTATTTATGAGGTTCCATGTTATAATGTTAAGAGTGAGTGGCAAACCGTCCACACTGTGAAATAAATTGACATATGACGGGAAGATCACAAGAGATATATAATTCCCCGATGCAGCAACAAATACTATACATGATATAGCAAAACAACAGACCGGGCGGACAGTGATTCAAACCCCCTTCCTGGTTCACAATCTTCCCCTCCTTCCCATGTTTGCCGTATTAAAAAACAAGTTATGACTCCATGTCTATTCCATTCGTAAATATCACATGGTTAATGGTAATCTAAATCGCCCCAGATCGATTTCATCATTGGTTGAAGAGAAATGGAAAATCGTAAATAAGTAAAGGGTTATCAAAAAAAGCGGCGCCAGTTATTTTGTACTGCAGGAGAGGATCCTGGCGCCACGAGACTCTCCCACCTCATCCCCGTTGTGTGGAAGGGAATGGGTTTCCGCGTTTCGAGGTTATCCAAATGAATTCCATTGTAATTCTCTCGACTGTTTCACAACGTTCAAGCAAAATCGTTTGCCTTTCCGGATATCAGTAGGCCAACAATCAGACCGAAGAGACCGAGGACGGAGCTAAAAATCTCAATCACGAGGATTTTCACGAATCTTTAATTTGCACGAAAACACATCAGCATGAGCTATTTAGCACGAGAAATAGACGTGGTGGATCAAGATCCAGACAATGTGAGGTGATGGTTACTAACAGGGAAGAATCCGCCGCATCAGCCAATGCAGCACTGCTTCCGTTGATTCCGACAGCAATACCGCAGATGAGATTGCATACACCGACCGTCAAACCACCCCAGAATAACGCGTAACCCGTGTACAGGTTGCTTCCGGAATGCAGGTTTTCGGTGGGGACGTAGGCGATCTTCGACGAAAAGACAATAGACATGATAACGCCGTAGATGGCGACGACTTCGCAGAAGATGATGGAGATTAGATTTTTTGTTCGTATTCTTGGGGCCTTGACCGCACCGCCTATGATCGAGGAGCCGGTGATGAATATTCCCCTGTTATCAAGGACGACGAAGAGATGGTGAGTTAGAGGAGTAGGTCCGTCAAAGTTTAATGCATATATACACATATATTATGAGTATTTATGGAGGAGCGGGGAAGATAGCGTACCATGCAGCTCCGACGACTGATAAACCGATACATAGGCCTATGCCTATTGTCGCAAAGGTATATGGAGACACTGACTCGAGAAACAGGCCAACCTGTTTGTTTCACAACGTTTGTCAGCGGGTACTATGTTCGTTTATTGCATGCGGGACGGAAGGGGTAGAGGGTTGTGGTAAATCGAAGGCATACGTTGAAGGCTTCACCCTCGCCATTGAAGAGCATATCTATACGCATTTTCCAAGGTCAGCTCCGAAGGACGAAAATAATCAGAACACTCTTGCAACAACATGTCTGCACGCACAAAGTCCAACAACTGTGAGGAAAGCGGTAGCACCGCCAACCGGGTACAGGAGACCCATGGTCGTCTCTTGCACCTCCGGCGACGTGATTCCTCTTCAGGGTGTAATGTGGCAGATTGGAGGGTATTGATGTGTTGGAGAAGTAGTTGAAGGGCTGAGAATGCTTGCTAGCACCCGCAGCAGCAAAAGAGGTAGGTATACGGCGGTGTGAGGAGGTGGACGCGGAGGGATGATAGGTATCGAAGCACCTCTGGCCCAGCTGTTGCAGGTTCGAGGGACGGATGTTTTCCCTGTGATGTTGGCCAGTGACGATGGCTGCGGCTAACCCGCAACCTTCCCTGACCCAGTTAACCGCGCGGAACTAGCCATTTTTACCGCCTCCGCTAAATAAGCTTGCCCCCAACTCAACCGAACCAGACAGATTGACACCCAGAGGATATAACCCTCAACTTGGATACTCTGAAACACAAAGGACACTGCTCTGGCCCCTTTCTTTGAATTCGTCTGTTTTGCAACGACTGCTACGGCTTTTAGTACAGATTACCGAGGCACAGAACATAGCAACTCCCGACTCTCCTCGACCTCGAAATCTATCTGCCCTTTATCCACCCACCCAACAACCCCATCTCCGCTTCCGAGCATCAAACCACGAATTAACCTATACCCCCTCTAATTCAGCATAATACACAGTCTTCGCCATGGCTTCGCAATCAGCAACAGAGGCGTACTCGAACCCTCTTAAGAAATTCAAGTACGTCCGCCGCGTTCACCCAGCGCGCCGTCTCAAGCACTCATCCCTGTTGATTAAGAGAAACCCCACGCTGACTGGATCCTTTTAGATTAGTTTTTCTTGGAGAACAGAGTGGTGGGTGAAACCTGCTGTCACTTTGCGCATTGCCGGTTTGCACTTGACTAACGTCTGATGCCATATTGGATTTAACGTGCGCAGTTGGAAAGACCTCCCTAATCACCAGATTCATGTACGATTCCTTCGATAACATGTATCAAGCTACAATTGGCATCGACTTTCTATCAAAAGTAGGACCCGGCCCCTCTTCCCAAATTTGACTGCCATGGATTATCTACCGCCTGTCGGTTGCCGCTTCGTGTCGGGAACCAACCGCGACTAACCAACATCCTCCTGCTTCCACTAGACAATGTACCTTGAAGACCGAACAGTCCGTCTCCAGTTATGGGATACCGCCGGCCAAGAACGATTCCGCTCCCTAATCCCATCCTATATCCGCGACTCGAGCGTAGCAGTCGTTGTCTACGATATCTCAAATGCCAAGTCATTCCAAAACACACGCAAATGGGTCGACGACGTGCGCGGGGAGCGGGGCAATGATGTGATCATCGTTCTCGTGGGGAACAAGACGGATTTGAACGATAAACGAGAAGTAACGACAGCGCAAGGGGAGGAGGAGGCTAAGAAGCATGGACTTATGTTCATCGAGACCAGCGCTAAGGTTGGGCATAACGTCAAGCAGCTGTTTCGGAGGATAGCTCAGGCTCTCCCGGGCATGGATGATGAGGCGGGGAGAGGCGCTAACCAAAGTACGCTCTTAATTTCTTTTGCGCTTTTATTGTCATTTATAATGGCGAATCCATCTATTTGGGGGCGTTGCTAACTTAAAATTTTTTCACAGTGATTGATGTTAATATCAACCCTACACAACCCGTGAGCAACGATGGATGTGCATGCTAGGGAGAAATTACTGAATGGTTCAATGTTAAGGATATCCACGCTTTGTTCAGTTCTATTGCATCTATTTGCTTGGTTTATTCTCGTTGTAATTGTTCTCTCCGCCGCATTCTCTTGTTTGTATAATGAGGGTTTCCTTTCCTTTCCTTTCCTTTCTTTTTCTTTTCCTTTCTTTCTTTCTTTCTTTCTTTTTTATTATTTATTTATTTTATTTTATTTTTTCTGTCTGTTCGCTCAAACTTCCCCCCTCTTCCTCTCCTGCCAGAGATATCGTAGACCAAAGTTCTTTTTGTCCTATCATATTTTTATGCAGTTCCCATCCATGTTGACTCGAGTTAAATTCCCCGCGGGCGCCCGCCATTATTGACTATGGATCTAACTCTCTTTTATTTTGGGGATTCTCTCTCTCTCTCTTTTTTATTTTTCCTTGCTTATTATTACCATTACTGCGCATTGCTCCATGGAGTTGTTTTTTTGTTGCTCATCTGAATTGCTTTCACATCCCCCCTTGCGTCTATTATTATAATTATTTGGCATTATTTATCCCCTATACCTCTTCGAACATGCGCTTGTATGCTGTGTATAGTTGTTATTTATCCAGCTCCTATTCATAAAAGGGTTGGACAACCCGAGGATGTTATAGATTTGCGTTCTTCACAACAGAGACAATGAGTTTTATATTAACTCTTCACTTGTGGAAACATGTAGATGCGGATATGCTAGGGGTTTGCTGATAAATGTTGTTCATATCATCAATCAAGGGTGCAGAGGATATTATTTATCACATGAAGCTCTTGAGGAGAAAAGCGCTGGTGTTGATAATACTATACATAGAAAACTGCCTTTGACAGTAACCTCTGTGTCCATTCCCGTATTATAGTTATCAGATCTGTAGATATATATAAATGGAGTGGTTCGGCCTTAACTACCAGTAAAAAACTATTTGGTGATCGAGCTCTTTTGCCCCAGTGCCCTACAATAATATCTAATTATTAGTATTGTCCAGCTGACTGTCCGCTGTAATACTATCAACTACTAGCAAGAGAGCTTTCTTCCCCCGCCATTCCCAACTATTGATTTCATCAGGGGCTGACAGGCCGGAGAGTTCCAGGATCTTTGTATCCAGCTGGCTGACGCTTGGTGGTTGGCGCCGGCGCTAATCGTAACTAAGCCAAGCAAAGGGCGGACGGACCCCAGCGGAGAAAGAAAGCAACAAAGACAAAGATCGAGCAACAACCAACAACTCACTCTCACTCACTGCATGAAGATACATCTTCTGCCAAGTATAAAAAAAGACAAAAAAATACACAACAGCACTCACAAACCAACTGCCAGTCTCCTCCAACTTTAGTCATCGCCTATCTTCACTTTCGTTACCCGACTCCATTGCTCTCTCTATTGGCAATTCGCTCTCTTGGACGCTGGAGAACCAGCTTGTTGCTCGTATCGCGACCACCAACAGGGCTTCCGTCGCCGCCCGCTGCGTTCACACACCAGCAGGATGGGCATCTCATTACGATTCCTCCGCATTCCGCGGCCACAGGTGCGTTGGCTCTTTGTTTCCTGTGCTTCTTGATATATAGCAAAGATACTATTGCACTATTGCGCCTCGTTCACAGAGTAACTATCTTTACTGTTCCGCTTGGCTAACTTTTGCGCGGGTCTGTTGGGTGTTTCGAACTACTAGTCCTTTCTCTATGTGATGAGCCTAGAAACCGGCGCTACTCTCATCACGCTCTCCCTTCTCCTGAACAAAATTAGTGGGGTCTATGGCCTACTTGCTCTCTTGACCGGTTACCATCTCTCCCCCTTGCAGCTGTCGATGTACATATACTCGATTCTAGGCCTGGCGTTGACCGCCATCCTGGCGCCGCATGTCCGACTACAATCCCCTTTCCAATGTCTTGCGCTGGCTTGGTTCTATCTGATCGACAGCGTCATTAATGCGGCATACACAGCTGCCTTTGCGGTGACATGGTTCCTCGTTATTGCCCAACAACAGAGCGATACACCGGCAAAGTCAGGCCCCGGAAGTTCCATGATGGCGGACACTGCCGGCTTCACCCGTCCAAAATTCAACGTCACTTCCGTGGTCGTGGACGCTGGTACTAGAGATGGTGTGGTAGCCAGCGCTCAGGCCGCCTCCGCCCCCGCCGGAGCTGGCCATGCAGATTCATCCGCGACCCTTGGAAGAGGTGTCCTACAGCCGGAAAGCTTGCAGAGCATCGCCATTATATGCACACTGTGGACTATCCGCGTGTACTTTGTGTTTATCATGATGGCTTTTGCGCGCCAATGCATACTGCAATTTTCCTTCCACGCCCGGACGTCAGTCGATTCCCGTCGCCGACCCTCCGTCCCAGCACACAGCCGCAACTCCTCCGTACTCAGCAATATCGATAGCGACCCGAACCCGTTCAACATCCGAGCACCAGAGGGACAAGGGTGGAAGGGCAAACTGGGTAGGATCATGGTTTCCGTGGGCCGTAGCTACTGGCTTGAAGATGATGATCATAGCTGGATGAATGGGATGAATAGGAAATTCCGAAAGAGCGTTGACCCAAGCAATAATAATCCGGGGAGTGGAATTTCTGAACGGGAAAGGCGTCGACGATCCGGCACTGGACCACCAGTCCCCTCCCACGCCACTGTGCAGGCTGCGATCATGCTGCAACAGCAACAGCAGCAGCAGCAGCAGCAACAACATCAAATACACAGTAACAGCCACAGCCGGAACCAATCACTAGCGGGCCAATCGGTGAAAATGCACGACATGTCGGAAGGACGGTAGAGATTGGCAAGATGAGGAGGGTATAATAACATAGCCACCTGCTTCTCATCTACGCAGGATACCGCCAGTGGACACTCAAGATCGCCGTTTATCTATGAGAGGGCGAAACAGCATAAGAACGATAAGATATATCACTTGCGGGACCTTTCGCAGGCCTCCCACCGATTTATGACCACGACTCGTTCCCCTCTCCCCCCTTCCCCCCGCGTTTGTTTATTTAACAAAATACACTACCCCCCAACCTCCCCATCGATCAACTCCTCCGATAGAAAAGATAAAACAATATCCTTCCTTTGTTTGTGTGCACCGAACAGGCAGAACGACATATTCCCATTTAAGCGCGACGAACGAAAACCTGGGCGAAATTGCGATAGATTGGTTCGCATGTACGGATTTGTCTCTTTCTTATCATGCATATAAGCCTGAGCATATATTTTTTATACATATACATACACACGTTACTACAACTACAACGAGGCCAACAACCTCCCAATGATAATAAACGAAGGGAACGGAGAATGTGAGGGCGGTATTTTTTGTATTCAATTTCCCTTTTCACCTTATTTCTTCTCTTCCCTTCCAATATCTCCCCTTACGTTTCTTTCTTTTCCACTTCTGCTTCTTTTCCATTCCCTATATGCTTTTCTGATTTACATATTGGATGTGGGACATGACAAGGGGTTGTTCGGCTGGGGTTTCCTTTTGACCTTTTTCTTTTTCTTTTTCTTTCTCTTTTCCTTTTTTCCTTTTTTCCTTTTTTCTTGTTTTCTCCTTTCTCACCCTACCATTTCTGCTCTTATTGTCCCCCTGTTATAAATGTGCTGTTGAGGAAATCGGGTGTACATGTGTGCCTGTCATTGTACGGGAACGGCCGTCGTAGGAGGAGTTTCTCCATGTTTTTCTTTCGCTTTCTCATGCTTCGGCTCCGGTGATTTCCCTTCTGTGGATATGCCTTGTTATTTTTCCTCCTTCTCTCTGCCCCGCTCTCCGCGTCCGCGAACGAAGACAGTTGCTGTGATATAGTGTGTTTTAGTTGTTTGGAGAATCTGGCATTGCGGTTAACCTTACCTATCATTTTTTTTCATTTTTTTTCGGCAATTTCGTCTTGCTTGCCTTTTATTTTTGCGTTGGCCCTGCTCCAGGTGGGATGCATGATACAGCTGTCTTTTTCCTGTCTAATTTGCCTTGACTCTTTTCGGAATATATACCTGTTCATATATTTTACTCACTTGCTGATCGTGTTTTGTATTGGTGTTTTTCCTTTCCTTTTTTTTTTTTTCCACCACGGCCATCTACCGTAGCATTGTGTTCATATCATGGCGTGACATTTTCCTCTAATCTGGAGAAGTGGGAAATACGGTATGTGTTTTTTGTATTGTTGTCTTCAGCTTCGTATAAGAAGAGGCGAAGAGAAGTGCTGACAGACAGTTTTTGAATATATTTTGTTTGGCTTTTGTGTCACACATAAACAACGGACTATCCTATCTATCGCGATCTCGTCAGTGCTGTGGGAAATGGTGTCAGCTCGGTCCGGCTCCGCAGTGCCTTGGCGAGCCTCGGCAGCAGCAGCAGTGTGTACCAGGTACTTGGAGTGCCGTGCTGAAGATGCAGAATTTACATGGAGGTTGTTTGTACCTGGTACCTCCTCCCATATCGGTGTGCCTGTTTGGTATGTTTGCACTGATGTCGTGATCGCAGACCAATCAACTCCTCGCAGTTGCAACAAGGGAAGTGTCCAACGATGCTGACCAATTGCTGAATTGGCAAGCAAATAATTCGTGATGGCATGGATAAGTAACTGCTCTTTTCTTTTCTTCTTCTTCTTCTTCTTCTTCTTCTTCTTTACTTCTCATTCTCATTATTATTTATCATTTCTGTTCATTCGTTCAAGAGGAGAAGTTTGGGATTGGATTGACTGCGGTTGAGGGTATGCTTGCGCTCTGATATAGAGCTCTTCTGATCTATACTATCCAACCAGCCCGCAGCGCTGTCGATTTTGTTACAATGAGGTCGGTGTCAACTGCGGGAGAGGCTGGTATGTTAACCCTTATCACCTTGCAAGAATTGATTATATTGTTGAACATGGATATCATTTTTAATACGATGATGCTAATATATCTTGTTTCTCTTGCGCAGTCGCAAGAGTCGCCTATCTCTCGAGTGACATTGTCCTCTCTGTCCAGCCATCCCTTCAGACTGACTCGTTATTCTCAAAGCACCTGAGCCAACTCTCCGCCGGTAGTGTACGGGGAGTTGTGTCACAAAGGGTCCCGGAGGTATGAAAATTCATTATTAAATTTGTTTCTATCATCATTGTTATGTTGACATGGCTCTAATAAAATATAGATCCGCGCCCTCCGCGTGAATGAGGATCCGCTGTTATCGGCTTTCCAGCCTTTGAAGTCGGGCCACCGTGTCGCTATCACAGCGACTTCTTCTATCCTCCTCCCATCTATACCGTATCTATATAAACTAGCAAATTACCCCCTCGTCATCCATGTTTCCCTAGACCCAGCTCCTTTCCCCGATTACTCCGTAATCAGCTCTATCCGCCAATGTGGCTTTTCTTTCTTGCATTCGGAAACGCTGCAAGAGGCTCAGGATATTGCCTTGACGGCACATTCGCTGGCAGCCAAGTCAGGAAAGGGGGTGATCCATTTCTTCGATGCAACCAACTCGCGCGATGATAATCCAATTGCGGCAGAGGATCCGGAGCTCGTGAAGAAGATTCTAGATTTAGAAGATGTGCAACATGCCCAGGTACCTTCTAATGCTCCACATACGCTGTATGCAAACTCCGGCCGTGTTCCCACCATTGTGGAGGAAGATTTGGGCGAACGGAGCGAGGGCCAAGCTGGCAGCCTGTCTGCCTCCCAGCTTTCGCTTCCGTCGAAGGTGTCTTCCCATGAGAATTACTCCATCTCGTCCCGAAGTGACAGCGGCTCTGATGTTCCAGCAAGTTCCTCAGCCACCACGGTGGAACCTTTAACTCTCCGACCCGTGGACGCTTTGGATATCTTCCAAATCACTAGCAAAATATGGGATGCGTTATCACAGCTATCCGGGCGTCAATATCACGCTATCGAATACACTGGGCCGGATGCTGCAAAATCGGCCATATTTGTTTTTGGCTCCACGGGCGTCTTCGTCGATGTTCTAACGGACCCTAGCAGCAAAGAGGATTTTGCAAATGTTGGAGTTATTACTGCCCGCCTCTATCGTCCCTGGATCGGTAGTCAAATATCTCATGCTATCCCCAAATCGATCGAACGCATTGCCGTCCTGGAGCAAGTACGCAAGACCACGCGATGGGGCCCAGCGTTCCTGGACCTCTTATCAAGCTTATCCCAACCAAGCGACAGTGGAAGGGCTCCTCAACTTGTTGGCTATAGACTGGGGTATATAGAGCCCTCAACATCCAACCAAGCCCTTCGTGGCATATTGCAGAATCTCGCGGCCGACACCCCAATTCAGAACCTTCAAGTCGGCAAGGAAAAGATTCCAGAAGAGATTTCTCCAGCTATCAGCGTCCAAAAACAGCCCGAGGCCGAGAATGCGTACATGAAGATTTTGGACCAGCTCTTTAGCACCCGTCTTTACGTTGCCAATCAACTTGGTTCTGAAAATGCAGGAGTCTCAAGCACAATTGCTTTCACGCCGGAGTACGGATTCGGTGCCTTAATTGCGCGCATCGAGGGTCGGCAACGTTTCATTGATGAGGTTGCGGAAGCTGCCAAATCAAACGCCTTTACGACCGACACGCCCAAGAATTGGCTTTCGCGATGGGCATTAAACGCCACAGATTCGGCCAAGGCAAACAGCCTCGCTGCCGATGTGATTTCTCGGCTGGATGTTGACGGATCGTCTCTGGCGAGGAAACTGCTGCAATCGAAACAGTATTTCTCGAAGGAGTCACAGTGGCTGATTGGCTCTGATGCATGGGCCTATGATTTGGGCAACTCTGGTGTTCACCATGTCCTCGCTTCGGGCGCCAATGTTAATATGCTTATTATCGACTCGCAACCTTACTCGGAGCGCGTTGCTGCGGACGCGACGCGGAGAAAGAAGGACATTGGTCTCTATGCCATGAACTTCGGAAACGCTTATGTCGCATCCGTTGCGGTGTATGGATCTTATACTCAGGTCTTGCAGGCAATGGCGGAAGCCGATCAGTTCGATGGACCCTCTGTGGTTCTCGCTTATCTACCTTACAACAAGGAGAGTGACTCTCCCCTGACCATCTTGCAGGAAACGAAGAAGGCTGTCGACTTGGGCTATTGGCCACTTTATAGATGGAACCCAAAGAATGCGGAAGTAGGAGAGCCCAATTTCGCCCTCGATTCCGAGAGGATCAAGCGAGAGTTGGAGGAATTCCTCCGTCGGGACAACCAGCTTACCCAGCTGATGAAACGACATCCTCAGTTTTCCGCAAGCCTGTCTGAGTCTTATGGGACGGAAGTCCGGGCGCTGCAAAAGAGAGCTGCTAAAGACTCGTATGACAAACTTCTGGAGGGTCTCTTTGGCGCTCCTCTAACGATTCTGTTCGCGTCTGACGGTGGTAATGGTGAGAACTTGGCCAAGCGGTTAGGGAACCGCGGCAAGGCCCGTGGACTGAAAACCATGGTTATGGCTATGGATGATTTCCCCATCGAGGACCTGGCTACCGAAGAAAACATAGTGTTTATCACGAGTACAGCTGGCCAGGGCGAATTTCCTCAGAATGGTCGTGCCCTGTGGGAGGTCGTTAAGAACTCTGGAGATCTCGACCTCTCTTCCGTTCATTACTCTGTTTTCGCATTGGGAGACAGCCACTACTGGCCCAGAAAACAGGACAGGATCTACTACAACAAGCCCGGCAAGGATCTTGACGCTCGTATATCGTTCCTCGGTGGTAAGAAGTTGGCTGATATCGGCCTTGGAGATGACCAGGATCCCGATGGGTTCCAGACCGGATATCAAGAATGGGAACCGAAACTGTGGCAGGCGTTAGGGGTGGACAAGGTCGAGGGACTACCAGAGGAGCCGCCCCCATTGACCAACGAGGACATCAAAATACAGTCCAACTATCTGCGAGGCACAATCGCAGAGGGCCTGCTAGATGAATCGACTGGAGCAATCTCAGAAACTGACCAGCAGCTTACTAAGTTCCATGGTACATATATGCAAGATGATCGCGACGTGAGGGACGAGCGTAAGGCCCAAGGATTGGAACCCGCATACTCCTTCATGATTCGTTGCAGATTACCCGGTGGTGTTGCAACGCCAAAGCAATGGCTGCAAATGGATGACATTAGTAGCGCATATGGAAACGAAACTATGAAACTCACAACCCGCCAGACCTTCCAGTTCCATGGCGTTGTCAAAGGGAAACTGAAACCTGCCATGCAGGCCATCAACCAGGCCCTGATGACCACCATTGCCGCATGCGGTGATGTAAACCGAAACGTAATGTGCAGCAGCCTTCCGGAGCTGTCATATTATCATAAGGAGGTCCATGCTATTTCCAAGCGTATTAGCGATCACCTGCTCCCGGCAACAACTGCGTACCACGAAATCTGGCTGAAGGATGAGAAGGATACCAAAATTCAGGTAGCGGGTAACGCCGTCGTTGACCATGAGCCTCTCTACGGACCTACTTACCTCCCCCGAAAATTCAAAATTACGATTGCCATTCCCCCACACAATGACACTGACGTTTACGCTCACGATATCGGTCTGATTGCTATCAAGGGTGCCGACGGTCACCTGGAAGGATTTAACATCCTCGTCGGAGGCGGCATGGGCATGACTCACAACAACAAGAAGACGTACCCCCGAACAGGATCCATGTTCGGCTTCGTGTCTGCAGACCAAGTCCACATCGTCTGTGAAAAGATCATGATCGTCCAGCGCGACCACGGTGACCGCAAGAACCGCAAACACGCCCGGTTAAAGTATACAGTCGACGACATGGGCGTAGACGTTTTCAAGAGCAAAGTCGAAGACCTGCTCGCACCAAACCTCCGCTTCGCACCACCACGCGCCTTCAAATTCGACTCCAACATCGACACATTTGGCTGGCAGAAGGACGAAAGGGGTCTGAACCATTTCACCTTCTTCATCGAGAACGGCCGCGTCGAAGACACTGCCTCATTCGCCATGCGCACAGGTCTCCGCAAACTCGCCGCGCTGAACAAGGGCGAGTTCCGCCTCACAGGCAACCAGCACCTCATTCTCTCGAATATCGAAGACGCAGATCTCCCCGCCATCAAAGCGCTAATGGCCGAATACAAACTCGATAACACCGCCTTCTCCGGCCTGCGCCTCTCCTCATCCGCCTGCGTCGCCTTCCCCACCTGCGGCCTCGCCATGGCTGAATCGGAACGCTATCTCCCAATCCTCATCGATAAGCTCGAAGACTGCCTGGCGGAGAACGGCCTGAGCAAGGATAGCATCGTCATGCGCATGACGGGTTGCCCGAACGGGTGTGCGCGGCCCTGGCTGGCGGAGGTGGCGTTCGTGGGTAAAGCGTATGGTGCCTATAACATGTATCTGGGCGGCGGGTATCATGGACACCGGCTGAATAAGCTGTACCGGTCGTCGATTAAGGAGGATGAGATTTTGGAGCTCATGAAGGATCTGCTAAAGCGGTACTCGCTTGAGCGGCGTGCGGCGTCGGTTGAGGGAGGGGAGCCGGAGAGGTTTGGTGATTGGTGTATTCGGGCTGGGGTTATTAAGGAGACGACGGAGGGGAAGACGTTCCATGATGATGTAAGTTGATTTCTCTAACTATTTTTTTCTTCGTCTTATACGCAGCGTACGGCTTCTTTGCCTTCTGTGGTAGCTTTTTGCTGATTTGAATGGTTCAATATAGGTTGGGGAAGATGATGAGGATGAGGAGTAATTTACGTACAGCACATGGTCTAATTCTACCTCTTGTATTTATTTTACCCTTCTCGTCGTGGCTTTTCATGTCTCTTTATGCAATGTATTCAGCAAAATTTCGGAATCAGTCCATGTTCCTTTTTATATGCAGACTTCTATATATAACTACTTAATACCCTTTGTCTCCAAGACAATTGAATTTTAACGTGGGTTTAAGCTCCCTTGCTTTTTGTTATCCTATTAATTTAAAATGCCATGTATAACACGAATAATTTTCAGCATGAGAACATGCAATGAATGTATTTCTGTATCGCTAGATGCTGACCGCGGTCGGCCACCCCCACGTGATTCAGGGTCAAGGCCGGGGCGTTCGGGTGCGTCAGAGGAGCTTGGACCATAACGTCTTTTTTTTCTGTTGGGTTTTATGCCCACCGACAGACCACCTCAAGATATCACCAACGAACTTTTTTGAAGCTCTGCAATAAGACCTTTAGAAAAAGCAAATTTGAATAATCCAACCTATATTTCTCTGAAAAAATCTCTATTTCCAATGGATTGAATTAGCCCCGCTGTGATTCCTCCGGTTTTCAATCTTCTCCGCACCTCCCACCTCTAGCTCCACCCTACCACCATGTCCTGTAAGTCAACGGTTATAGCTTCCCTTCACCCCGCGTTGATACAAGAAGAACAGGGATGAAATACCAACCGATGTGCGGAAATATTATCTCTCCAAATCTAACAATTCCATTGTAGCCACCCCTAACATCGATCCTGCGCCCGCGCCCGGACCGGCATCCGGCTCCGGCTCCGGCTCCATAGACACAACCACCCCTCCCACAGCCGACCCCGTAATAGCTTCCTACGATATCTATATAACCGATTCTCAAATCCGACGTTTCCTCCTCCAATACCCCGACCGCCAAGCTACACAGCCCTACAACGCCGCAACCCAGCAGAAACCTACCGAACTCCGCCTAAAGCCACGCACGGGGCTAGTAGAAGTCGATATACCGATTAACACGCATGTCAATTATGATGAGAGGAAGGGGCTCCGGTACGGTAATGCGCTGAAGAAGAGCAGGGTTATTGCTGAGGGGGGTTCGATGGGGATGGCGGGTGGGTTTAATACGGGGGGGAGAGCTAAGGGGACCGTTGGTGCTGGTGCTGGCGCTGGCGCCTCAGGTATGGATGATGGCGAGGATGGGATGACGATGATAGGGAAAAGAAGACAGCAGATTTTCGCTGGGGATGAGGAGGGTTTGATGGATTATGAAGATGAGAAGGCTGGAGTTATTATGACGACGCAAACGCTTGGGGGACGGATCAAGGAGCCTGTTGATGGGGATCCGGTTTATATGCTGGGTGCTTTTAGGGAGAGTATGTGTGCTCGCTTATGCTTCCTTTACTTTCTTGGTTATTTTATTTTATTTTATTTTATTTTATTTTATTTTATTTTACGAGTTGACATGGCGCTGACTTTTTTTTAAGATGAATTGCACTTGGCACCTCTATCTGCAGTCATCCAGCTCCGTCCACAGCTCCACCACCTTGACGCCTTCGACGAGGTATCTGCACAAAGCAAGACCATGACGAAGGGCAAACGCGACGCCGATGAAGAGCGCGGGTCTCGTGCTGTGCAAGCGGAGGCACGCGCGATCGATATGAAGGTCAAATCTGCGGATGTTGAAACAGGGAACATTGCGAGCAATAACGTGCTCCTGAGAAGGATGCATGAGGAGAAGTGGGAGAAATATGCATGGATTGATGAGAATGTATGGAAAGCCCAAACAAACGCTCCTTCTGCTAAATCTCGTTTGCAAAAAAATTATCTACTAACACTATGATATAGGATCAAGATTCCTGGGACATGTATGAAGAATACATGTTCAATCAATCCCTGGATGAACCACCCCTACTGCAATCCGCAATTGGTTCCGAAGACTATATTGATGGAATGAGCGCGCCGAGAATAGACCCTATCAACCCGGAGATGGCTGGGTGGGCGATGAAGCTGCGGAGAAAGGCGCGGAGGCCGTCTGACGTCCGCGGGAGAACTAAGGCAGGCGACTAATGAAGTGGTGGAACTTCGTGGTTAGAGTGCGATATGTACTGCCTGATGAGCGACGAACACTGTGTACATGTACAGATCGTACTACTACTTACAATCGAAAAATACCCTTTTGGTTATCCCAAATTGCTACCTACCTAGGTAGTCAGAAATGGATCACATGACTAATATATACACGTGACTTATCCTCAATCTTTTTAACTTTTCCTTTCGCACGGGATAACTATTATCCGCTAGACGCCGATCGTCCAAAGCCTCCAAAATAATTTTCTTCGTCGATTTCTATCTCAACGTCCAAGCACTTTTCCTGCACAACGACGACGGGTTTCTGTACTCTCTCTTGTCAGGAACGCAGAGGGGAGGGAGCTTCTCAATCACTTTCTCTTTTCATTTCTCTCTCTCCTTTGCTTTTTCACATGTTTTTCCTTTTATTTTATTCCTTCTTTTTTGCTTATCCTTATCAATTGTAATCGCTCATTCTGTTAAGACTTCCAGTTCACTGCCAGCATGTTGTGCCGGGCCGCTCAACGGAGACACACTCTACGCCGCCTAGGCAGATCATATGAGCAGATATCCTCGTCATGGCTTCCCGTAGCATACCCGCGATTGCAGTGCCAATCGAGCAGGATTCAAACTTTGTCCCGGCCGTCCGTCCTCCCAACCCTCGAGTCCCCTAATTCCCTACCCTTACGGTCCACCCGGTCATTAGCAACGGCAACTTCAGACATCAATGTTCCGTTTGAGGGCCTCCCGTATGGACATGCAGAGATTCACTCGCCGTTAACTGTATCGCCTCTGTCGAATTCCCCATGGAACGAGCGGCTTCCGTATCCAGAGCCTGATGATATCGATACCTCTTCAGTCATCATACGGAAGGATTTCCTAATTAGCCGGCCGCCTGCTGTGAGAAGATCTAATGGAATTGGTGGCGAATTGACCGAGATGCTTGCGAACATCGATGTCAGCCTTTCAGCTGCTATGTTCCGGCGTTCGGAGATTCTGATTCATCGGGTTGCCAAGCTTATTGGATACGGTACGCCGGAAGTCCTTGATCTTCACAACAAATATCTACGCTCGATGATCTCGCATATGATTGTCCACCGGCGCTACGGGATGGTGTGGTGGGCACAGAAATGGTTTGAAGTCGACATGAAGTATGCTTTTGCGGAACCGGATTCCATAACCTACGCCCTGATGATTAAGATGGCGTTACGCATGTTATTCGAAAATAAGCAGAAACGAACAGTGAGAAGGTACTGGAATCTTGCAAAAGATGCGGAGATTGAAGAGGAAGTATTGGGTCTTCCCATTCTATCGGAAGCAGACTTGGGACTTCTTTCAGAGGTATGTTAGAGAGTTAAATCAGGCGTAGATTTTAGTTCCTGTCGCTTCTAGTTACTAACAAAATTGCGTTGTTGGTTTTAAACAGATATGTTCCGAAAATGCTTACAACGATTCAACCATGCCCGATGAGTCCTACATTGAACCGGACGAGGACTTCTCTAAGATTAAACCGAAGCTGCATCCACCCGACGACATTGCTCTCGTTCGCGCTACCGAACAACGAGGTCTTGGTCTTAGTTCTCTTAGAGAGACCTTATCCATCTTTGACCCCGAGCAAGCACTTCCCAGACCATCCGATCTGCCCGGCTCCCAAGAAGAACAAGATCTGGCCTATGCACAAATGCGGCAGCGTCGCTTAGAATCAGATTGCGTCGACTCAGCTATTGCCCGCTGGCGGAAGGAAAGTGAAATGCTGCAAAAAGTTGGAGTCAATCCCATTCCCAGCAAGCCAATGGGAGCCCTTTTATACGACTGGCACACACAGCTCATGTCAAGGATAAATGAGGAGCTGGAACTCATCGAGGAATCCGAAAAGAAGTCACGCATGTTACCAGCGGATAGCCAACGTGTAGAAATATCTCCGTATTTGAGAGCGATCAAAACCGACAAGCTCGCTGCCCTCACCATTCTCAGCACTTTTAATGCTCTCAATAAGAGCGGCGTGGATAAAGGGGTCAAGTTAACGGCACTGGTGATGTACCTGGGAAAAGCGATTTACGATGAGTACTTGGCGATGCAGTTGCGCGAATTGGAAAAGAAGTCCAAATCTCCCAGGAGAACATCGGCCCTCATTGATAAGCTTGTCCACAAAGGCACAAAGAAAGCCCAGGTCCAATGGCAACGAATAATTGCGAGATTCGAGGAGAGCCAGAGACCAGTTGATTGGTCACCTGTTGTTCAAGCTAAAATCGGGGCTTGCCTTGCATCAATGTTGTTGTCGACTGCAACTGTTCCTGTTTCTACAAAAGATCCGAGCACTAACAGGACACAACGGACTGACCAAGCCGCATTCAGACGTGTTTACCAGTTGGAACGTGGCTTCAGAGTTGGCTATGTTCATGCCAATGATCATATCGTGGAGAAGTTACGCCGAGAGCCTCTTGGTGAATTGTTAGCGAAACACTTGCCCATGGTCTGTCCACCACGCCCGTGGACCAGTGCTCGAGAGGGTGGATTTCTCGAATACCCATCCGCGGTCATGCGAGTCAAGGCAGGGGATATTTCTCAGTTGAGCTATGTTGAAACCGCAGCAGCCCGTGGAGACCTAGATACTGTATTCGCTGGATTAACCGTCCTCGGCAAAACCGGCTGGAAAATCAATAGAGGGGTCTTGGAAGTGATGCTCGAGGCGTGGAATAGTGGCGAGGAAATTGCTAACCTTGCTCCTGAAAACCCAAATATTATCGAACCTGAAAAGCCCGAAACTGACGACCGAGATATTCTTAAAGATTACTACCGGGCAAAAATCCATGCCGCAAACACCCGCACAGGCTACCATTCACAGCGGTGTTTCCAGAATTTCCAATTAGAAATTGCGCGTGCGTATAGGAACGAAACCTTTTATCTCCCCCATAACCTGGATTTCCGTGGCCGCGCATATCCGATGCCACCATACTTCAACCAAATGGGTGCCGATCATTGTCGCGGTCTTCTATTGTTCAGCAAAGGTCGCGAATTGGGCACAAGCGGCCTGAGGTGGCTGAAGATCCATCTTGCCAACGTGTTTGGTTACGATAAGGCAAGTTTCCAGGAACGCGAGCAGTTTGCAATGGACCATTTGGAAGACATCAGGGACTCCGCCATTAATGGTCTAAAGGGCAAAAAATGGTGGCTTGATGCCGGAGACCCTTTCCAGTGCCTTGCAGCCTGCATCGAATTGACAAATGCGATGGCTCTAGAAGATCCAACCAAGTTCGTTTCTCACCTGCCTGTCCATCAAGATGGTTCTTGCAACGGTCTTCAACACTATGCTGCTCTAGGAGGTGATATCATCGGCGCGCAACAGGTGAACCTTGAGCCTTCCGATCGCCCCTCGGATATTTATACCGGCGTGGCAGAGCACGTCAAACAATCTATTCAAAAGGATGCAGCGAATGGCGACCAAACTGCAAAACTACTTGAAGACAAAATCACTAGGAAGATTGTGAAACAAACGGTCATGACCAACGTTTACGGCGTCACCTTCCTGGGGGCAATCCGGCAAGTGCGGAAACAGCTCGTGGACCACTACCCTGACCTTTTCCATTCTGGAGTTGCTGGTGAATGCGCCACCTACATAGCAAGGAAGATCTTTGTCGCATTGGGTTCGATGTTTACCGGTGCTCACGACATTCAATTCTGGCTCGGCGATTGCGCAAATCGTATCAGTCAGTCCTTGAGCCCCGAACAAATCGAAGCCCTAGCAGATGAACAGAACCTCAAGGTAGTAGGGAGGTTCCAAGGCGCCAAAAAAATGGCGAAAAATATCAAAGATCCTAAATACCACTTTAAATCCACTGTTGTATGGACAACTCCGCTTAAACTTCCAGTTGCTCAGCCCTATAGAGACGCTGCTTCCATCAAGGTTTACAGTGACTTGCAGCAACTCAGCATTCGGAACCCTCAGGCCAGCGATATTGTCAACAAACGCAAACAGCTACAGGCGTTCCCTCCTAACTTCGTTCATTCCCTTGACGCTACTCATATGTTTCTTTCCGCGGTCAAATGCGACGAACTCGGTCTTTCATTCTCCGCGGTTCACGACTCTTTCTGGACCCATGCAGCGGATGTCGATATCATGAACCGTGTGCTTCGTGATGCTTTTGTTCTCATGCACTCCGAAGATATCGTAGAGAGACTTGCTTCCGAATTCAAAACTAGATACGCAAATCACATGTACCTAGCCAACATTAAGCCTGGCACGCCACTGGCCAAAGCAGTATTGAAATGGCGCAAGGCCACCAAATCATCGAATAGCAAAAGGGCTCAATTGGATGAACTCGTTAATGAGTATAAACGATTAAAGCTTCTGCGATCTAACGATCCCGAGTTGCAGGCTCAGGGCCGTGAAATGGTTACCGCTGGAAAACTCGTTGCAGAGTCTGAAGATGCTGAATCCTCACTTGCCTCGATGCAGTCGCTCGGTGTAGCTGGTATCGGACAAATTCCTCCTGAGGGGTCCGAAACGCCGACGGGGGACCGAGTGGTGACGTCAGAAGACCCGTTAGACGAGCTTGAAGAAGCGGCTTTTGAAGCCGATACTTCCACCAAGCCAGATGAGTTCTCACTAAGTGAGCTTGGCAAGGAGGCAGCGTCTCCCGACACAAAGCCGAAGGCCAAGTCTAAGCCTGCACCTATTTGGGTTTGGCTGCCATTGACCTTCCGCACAGTTCCTGCAAAGGTATGCCTTGAATTTTCTTTTTAACATGTTTAATATGCCCCTTTCGCTGCAGCCGCTGTTATCGTTCTAATTTTCGCTTGCTCTCCTTGGCTTATTGTTTACTCACGCATACTCTCTTTATTACACAGGGCGAATTCGACGTCAAGAGACTGAAAAATAGCGAGTATTTCTTCTCGTAAACGATTCGAACATGTCTATAGTCATTTATTTCCCTTTCGATATGCCTCGTTTATCTGCACATACGTTTTTCTAGGCGCTGAGGAATATGGTGGGTAAAAGCAAACTATAGAGAGGAACGGAGCATCTCATCTTCGACATGTGCATATATATACCGGTGATCTTTTTGATTATCTCTTTATTTCATTTTTCATTTTATTTTTGGTATATGCACACAACCCCCGGCATTCTGTTTGGCGTTAACGGCGGTCAGCGAGGTTCTCATTTCGTTTTCATTCTCATTTTCTCCTTCTCCTGTAACCTATTTTAATCTTCCTACCATCTGTGTTTCCTATCCTGGACATATCTGAAAAGGGCGTCCGTCCGCTTTACTGTTATTTCGATGTATAAAGAGTTACCCCTTCCTTTTTCTTCTGGCTGCTTGACCAGGATATCTCTGTCCGCTGTTTTCTGGCCAAACGGGGACATGTACTATTACGCTATTCAGGCTATTCCGGTTGTCATTCCGGAACATGTTTGTATGGATATGAACTTCGAGAAAAGATGTCCATTGATGTATGATATATTATTCTATTGTATAACGTACGCATATTCTCAATTTCTATCCCAAAACATCTAATCTATACATATCATCCAACTTTTAGCGGTGTGTGCGTACCTTTTGTAGCCCTTCTATCACCTAGTCAATAATCTATAAAGCCGTTGTCCTTTTATTTATCACATTTTTCGCTGTCACCATTATATCGAAACCCGCCCTAACCACCTACAACCGGGCAGCATCCTTCCCTCTCGTCGTCCTCTCCATAACCCATAAAGACTCCGCCTCCACCTTGACCTTCCCATCCTCTCCAACAACCTGACCCTCCAAAAACCACTTCCTACCCTCCACCCCCTTGAACCATGCCTTAACAATGATTACCCCAGGAGTCTCCACAGGCGCTCGGAAAGAAACCTGCAGTTTTGCAGTGTATAGACGCGGCCTGTCCTCCCCACCACTGACAGGCATATCCTGCCTAAAGGCCTCGACGCAGTTACTGAGAGTTTCGTCAAGTAACGTAGCTAAGACACCGCCATGAACGGTGTCGCGGAACCCACTTAGCGACGGCCCTAGCTCTAGGAGGAGAAGGAAGTCTGGATCTGCAGCTGGCAATGAATTTTGTTTAGTGGTCGGCGGTGCTGTGGGTAGCTTTTCGTCCCGCTGCTTCCCAGGCGCCCCAGGAGTAGCCAGCAGCGCTGCAGCCACTGGGTTCAATTCCGGTCTGCGCATGACAGCAACCAGTCGCGGGACTGTCTCGGGCGTGTTGATGACATTGCTGAAGAATCTATCTGTCGTGTCCTCCTCCCCTTTGTCGAAACGGGGGTGGAAGGGGATGACGCGATACGTGGACGGGTTGTTCAGAAACGGTTTGGCGCAGGGGATGCCTGAGAAGAAATTGATATCATCTTCTGAAACAGGGACGTTGTTGAGGAACTCGGCATATGTTGTGTAAGTGTGCGTTTCCTTTGGCATGGCTAGTGTTGGGGGGCCTGCGGGGTCGGCGCAGAGATGTTTATTGGTTTAATTTATCGTGGGCGGCACACAGTAGGATGTTTTAAGGCGTCTGGCGTTGGTTCTACGGTAGGAGTATGTGGGTTTGATATTGACTCTGCAGGTGCTGATTGGAGCAATTCGTACGAGAATAGAATGGGATATTTGGAGAGGAAGATTTACTGGGCAGAGATTGCGCAAGGCCGCGAGGGGTTCAATCACCAGGATGCCAGGGTTGCGAGGTAGGTGGCTGGTTAAATTAGACTGCTCACCGTCAAGATATCCAACAGGCCTTTAACTATCATCGAACAGCTCACATTAAATGCTCGGGAAGCCGATATCACGGCCAAAGTGGGAAATAATTGGGTTCGGCTCGGCTATCAGGTTGGAGTTGCCGAACCCGTGCCATCCAATACTCTCGTCTTTGTCGTGACAGGGGTAAGTAAATATGTCAAATCTATGTATCTCCAGCCATCATCCCAGGGATTTTATTTGAGTGAACTCGTATTCTTATTACAGGAATTACTTCGATATACTATGCATAGCTTCACCGCAGCTCGTTTATTCCACACATCCTGCTCCCCTGCGTCCAGGATAGCGAAAAGGAGTGCTGTGGAGAAACTAATCGGTGGAGGACCTTTTTACAGCGGCAATTTGGAAAGGGGGCGGTGGAGAGGAAGGAGGAGGGGTGATTCAGTATGTTTGAGCCTACACAGCGAACTAAGCATGCATGAAAGGTAGGGGACATCAGAGTGATTCGATCAATAGCGGGGATTCTCTTTTGAATTACACTCTCAGTTCGTGTGATACCTTCAAAATCTGGCGGCGCTCTGCAGCTAAAAAAATGTAGCTATTGAACTATAAAGTGCGGGGGTAACTATGTATACAAAGAACTTAGAAAATAAATCACGCCTTCTTGGCCTAAACGCAGTCAATTTGGCGATGATAATAACAATGGTGGACATGGAAAAGTGGAGATCACCTGCAGGTGTGCATATCCGGTAAGTTATAGATTGGTATTTAATAAAGAGAATGAAAGCTCCGAGAGGCGGCGACTTCATTTCCCCAGATGTACACCAGATGTACAGAGTATAACTCCGTAGAGTGCAGATTAGACAGGCCAAAGTGCCGCACGCTAATCTGCAGAGTACAGTCAAAAAGCCTTCCAGAATGATTCCTGGCGCTAATAAATATACGGTCGGGTCGTAGGCATGGCTTGCGTCTCTTAGGTTAGCCCTGGTTTTGACTGGCATGAAAATTAATGATTTCCCTTTCCCTTGCTTTCTCCCCGCCAGGCATGGATAGGTTCCTAGCCTACATACTAGAGGGTTTTGGCTATCAACAGCCTCTTCTTGCTTTGAACGATGATCCGACCGCGGGGAATGTTGACTCTTAGTTACTAGCACTTGGATGAAATAAGCTGGGCCGGCGATCGATCTCTCCTATAGCACCGATCTTCTCCGGTACATCGAATTAGTCAAGAGAGTCACTCGGAAGTAGCCTGATGATGAAGAATATATTTCATGAGTGTTTGCTCTTGACCGCCAGCCAGGGTTCTGCATGATCCTGTTTCCTTCTAGGAATCTTTTGAAGTAATGCAATTTATCCACTTCTTGCACCTAGTAGCGGGGCATGCCACGGCAGCTTTGGAACTGCTCTTCAGCAATGATGACTGGATATGCTGGTCAAGCTATCCAAAGGCACCACCAGTTCAGTAGGGCTAGATACTGTCACTGTACGGAGTAGGCCAGAATGTGCAACCTGACCCACACCCCTTTCCATGGCCCTATACAAGCGCCGCATATCAGAATCCTTTCCTACAATGAACCCGGCAAGAGTAGCCATGAATTCATTTCAGAACAGGTCATCCTCATCTGAAGGCAGTTCACCAATACCCTCATATATCATTTATCGCGGAAGCTCAACTACCTGCTTGATGGAGATCTCGTAGTGGGCAAAAACCAGAAAAGATTAATAAGAAACATTCTTGCCAATGAAGACTTAGATAGAGAAATCGACATGTGAGGGGCTTTTGGATTGTGGGGAGCAAAGGGAAAGTTGGTGCCAATGAGATGATTGATGGTGTGCATACATTATTATTTATTACTCTTGATGTCTGCCCTGAAACACTGAAAGCTGCAGTCAAAAAAAAAAAAAAAAAAAAAAAAAAAAAAAAAAATATATATATATATATATATATATATATATAAATAAATAAAAATAAAATAAAATAAAGGCAAATCCACCCTTTTTTCAGCCCCAGCAGGATGCGGCCAGCCGACGAGGAGGTTCTGTGATATTCAAGGAAAACGAGCAACTTTTGGGGCGAGTGAGCGCTGAAGGACGGATGGATGCACCCGCTGACTGCACGGGATAAGTAAGGTGGATGTTTCAGCAGGGCATGACATAACTATTGATGGTGAGAACGGGAACGTAACAAAAACATGGGATGGTTGGCGGAAATTTTTACTTGCGGATGGCGGAGTATGTAGACAACTTTTGTGATTTGAAGTTTTGGATTCTGGCAGTTTTTCTTGTAACATTCCCCGTGAGCCTTCCGTTTTCTTGTCCTTGTATATACCATTTTCTACTCTTCTCGTTATGGTTTGGCGTATGGAGCCTACGACCCCCCTTCTTCACAAGATATTGACAATTTGTTTTCCATACCCCTATTTGGCTCTGAGGCCTAAGCTGATGTATTTATGTTTGTTGGTAAACATGTTCAACCTGATAATTAAATACCCACCTTTTATGACAATCATTCAAGCTAATATGGTTGGTTAGATGTCTATGTTTACATCTTAAGCTTTGCCTTTGAAATATCTGACAAGGTTCTCAAGCGGAGACAATATCCTAGTAGTTGGTTTCAAGTTCGCCCGATATTGATGATGTGTCTGAGGCCCAATCTCGTATTCCGCAACCGTGGGAAATCGAACATGCGAATGGCGGTGCATTATTGTTTTGCGTGTGCTTTGTACACACAGATGAGTGGCCGTGACCAACGTGACCAAAACGTGGATAAATTGCAAGTTGGGGATCTCCATTGCTAAGCCTACATATTAAATTCGCGGTGGCTTTCATACCTCCTCAATGTTTGCGTCGCCATTGCTCGCGGGGTAGGCCCTTGCGGTTTCCCTCGTGGGTCTAGAGAGGTTGGCAGAAGGGGTTGGCAAAAGGGTTGGATGCTGCTCCGAGATTTAACTTAAATAGACCTGAATATCCCTATACTGACAAGGTATGGGCGTAATGGGAGCCGGGCTGGTGTGGGCGATACCTGTGGCTCTGGCGTTTAATCCAATGATTCGCGTATCGGCTGCGTAATTATAGGTGTTGTGGAACCCGCCAACACTGCCACTGGCAATTGTTTACCCAGCGCAGGGACGGAATGGCATCTCTTTATAAACCAAACATGTTCTTCTCACACGTAAAAGCTTGCATGCTCCGCCGGCTCACATAGCCTCCATAGTCCCGCATCCCTGGCCGCACTCTTGACGGCCTCCAGCTCGTTATCATTGATCGCACGATTGATTTCCGCATACCGAATCTCTTGAGAGCCAGATTTACCTCGTCGCTTCTTGCCAACATGCGCATCGGGGTGATATTGTTCCATAATGTGAATGTATAAATCCTTCGATACATTCTCAGCCAGCCAGCGCACAATCTCCACTCCTTCGTCCTCCATCCCTGGCATTACCAGATGTCGAAGTAGCACTCCCCGTTTGGCAATTCCGTCAGAGGTAAAGCTTAAATCTCCGACTTGCGCATGCATAGCTTTGATGCTCTCCATCGCCGTTTCCGTATAGTTGTCTGCTTTCAATAACCGCTTGGATGAGCTGGGTTTCCAGACTTTGAAATCTGGAAGGTATATGTCGATAAGACCGTCGAGTAGCTCTATGGATTCTAGCGAGTCAAAGGATGACGTATTGTATATGATAGGTATTTTGAGACCCATGTCCGCAGCGGTTAAAATAGCCAGAGCCACCTGCGGAACTACATGTTCCGGAGTGATGAAATTGATATTGTGTACCTGTCCTACATTCTGTAATTTTAACATCCATTCCGCGAGCTCCTCTGGTGTCAGATCAAATCCATTACGTTGATGAGAAATATCCTGAGATATATAAAATCGTTAACCAGCGTTCGATAACACCCGGAGAGCAGGCTCGAATCCTACAAAGGGGGAAAAAGAAATAAGAAAGGAACGAACGTGATTTTGACAAAATGTGCATCTCATGTTACACATTGAGAAGAAAACAGACCCGCTCCCTCTTGACCCCTGAATGCATGGCTCTTCCCCGAAATGCGGCGCAATCAAATTCACCTTCACTGTCTCTCCGGGTATTAGACAATAACCCGTCTTTTCATACCGGTTTACTCCGCACAGTCTGGGGCACAAATTACAGTTCCGCAAATGGGCGTATGCCTTGGAACGCTTCTTCGCGGCATCCACGGATGATATGAGTTGATGGCGCGGGATATATTCATCGAGGAGATACGGGGGTGCGAGATGTACTGAGCGGGTTTGACCTGAACGGCTGAAGGTCGGGAATGGTCGCGCTAGGGTTTTAAGAGGTAGAGGTAGACGCATATTAGGCGGAGTGTAGCGCTCCGTGCGATGTATCTGTATCAATGCTATCTGGTGATAACTATATCAAGGGGAAGGAATTTTGATGCGAAGGTTGGCGCTTTGGTTGAGCCTCGGGATTAACTAGTTACGTCATAACTGAAAAAGACACACTAGTCCACATCCGGCTAATATATATCCAGCCCGGGCTCACCTCTTGTGGAAGAAGCGTAACTTTTTAAGGGGAATGAAACAATGCATTGTTGGCAATGTCTTAATGAGTCCTGACGCAGTGGAACTATTGAGATACTTGTTTGAAGAATTCTTCTTTGGAACCTCAAGGTAAGTGTGAATCTTATTCTGGTAATTCAATACAAAACACCTTGCTGAGAGACCATGCTAGAGATTCGATTACTTCTATCTACGAACATAAACACTTGGCTATGAGCTTATCTTTCGCATAAATAGTTTTAAAAGCATTGCATTTCCCAATCATGAAGCCAATTGTTGCGGTACCCGCGACCCTGGCTCTGGTGTATCGGGCCTGGTCCCGGAAGTCTTTAACAGCTATTGGTATAGTTGCTGCTGCGCTCACGGCTGTGGTGCACGCTTTACATCCAAGCTCCGCGCCGTTTGCTTTCCTCGTTGTTTTTTTTTTGAGTGGAACCTACGTTACGAAGGTGACGTTGCTCATTTCACGTACTGGTTTTCTTAGCTCATTAGGCGGGGATTACTTTTGCTAACTAGGGGGCCATATCCAGATAAAACATGATGTTAAGTCTCGATTGACCGTTTCTTCAACTGGTTCAGTGGGAGGTGAGGGACCTAGAACTCATGTCCAGGTGCTGGCAAATTCTGCAGTCGCGTCCTTTTTAATTCTTTTGGATCTGCGTCGCTTGCGGACGGAGAACCAGCCAGAGTCTGACTGTTTTCCGTACGGGGGAGATCTACTCATGGTTGGGATAGTCGCGTAAGCCTAGCCCGTCAAATTAACAATATTTTGCAAACTTGCATTGTTTATATTTACTAAATACAAAATAATATAGCCACTACGCCGTTGTAGCTGCAGATACATTTTCAAGCGAACTCGGGATACTCTCGAAAAGCAAACCCAGGTTGATAACATCAATAACTTTCCGTAAAGTCCCGCCAGGCACCAATGGCGGTGTCACGTTGACAGGACTCCTGGCAGGTGCCCTTGGAGCTTTCATCATTGCAGGGACATCGTTGATACTTCCATTCTGTCCCATCGATCCCGCGGATGGCATAGCAAAGTCCGGTTTCGACGGCGGAAAAGCATGGGGCTGGCGAGAGAAAACCTTCTGGATTATCGCCGTCACGATATGGGGCACGCTAGGAAGCGTGGTGGATAGCATTCTAGGTGGCCTCCTCCAAGCTAGCGTTGTTGATAAACGTACTGGCAAGATTGTAGAAGGAGCTGGCGGGCGGAAAGTAAGTTCTTTGCAAACCCTTCCCTTCAAAACTTTTCGCCCTGCCATACATACTTAACTAAACCTCATCTCTAGGTACTTGTACACCCCGGTGAATCAATAATCACCGGCCTGGAAGAACCATCTAACAGAGAGGGAAGCAGGATCCGTGTTGCGGAGGATATTGCAAATATCCTGACTTCTGAGCCGACTCTGAGGAAGCGGCGCTCTTACAGTTTGGGAGGTCCTCCTGATTTGGAGCATGAAAGCCGCCAGATCGAGAGTGGGTATGATTTGTTGGACAATAATCAAATCAACGTTTTGATGGCGGGAATAATGAGCGGTTCAGCCATGCTTGTTGCATCGTATGTCATGTAAATGGCCGCTGGATTCACGTTTTTATTTTGCGGACACAACTCAGTTCAAAATATACATTTCATGTCGCGGTTCTATGTAATGACGATGGTTTAGTCGGCCTTCGCTGCGCGTGGCCTTACTTTAGCGTTACGTGGTGTCGTTCATATCTTTTAGTTATTACCATTTACCATTTGTCATTTCCTATTTACTCCTTTCACATTCTCATTTCCTACAATACAAGATACCTGTTCTGAACCAAAGGATAGAATTTTCCATCTTTTGCTGAATGTTATGTGATTAAAAATAGTAACATTGTTGTGTAGCGTTCGTAGTTCTTTTTAAAAGAAGAGACTAAGCAAGAACAATTGTACATTTAACAATATTCACCCTAAATTTATTATATACATTAATGTTGTATTGTCCAGGCAATGTAGTAGATTATGACTCTGCCAGCGGAAGGAAAAAAGAAAAACATATATTGATAATGACAGACAAATAGCATGCTGCTCTTGCATCTTGACAAATTTGTGGAGCTCAAAAATTGAATAATTTTAGATGTCTCGAACTAGGCGTGCACCTGCCCATACATAGATGTACTTGCGTTGATACCAGTTAATACTGTGCAACACAACATGTCAGCGAAATTCCGAAGATTTGCATGGCGAGATAATGAATAGAAACGCCTTACAATGTTGTTCGACCCGCGATCCGAGGATGGGTGGCCCAGGAACCCCCCAAAACAATGTTATGTTTTCCATCGAAAAAGTCGGCTGTTGAGTGTCAGCGACTGCAGCAAAATAAAGCATTGAGTAGCCTAGAAGGAAGTCTAATTACCTGAATAACCTGGGTAAAGGTCCATAGCTTTGAACCCTTCATGCGCATGTAGAGGAGTGCTTGTCCATTCCCAGACGCCCCCCAGTTCACCCTGCCCGGAAAGTCTGTCTCCGTTTTGGGTGACTGGGGTAGGGTGCCAGTGTTTGAGCCCAACGTTACAATTTTCGTCGAGGTCGATATACACTGGCATGGGGTCTGCTGAAGGGCATTGAACAGGCTGGTGATCCGGTGAGCGAGGGTTTCCGTGAGTATCTTTAGCGGGTTCAACTGATCTGTCAAAGGTTTTCACGGTCCCGTTAGGCACGTTGCTATTTTAAACCAAAGTCAGCTATGTATTCTATCCACATCAATATGGTACATATTAGCTACTTACCTATGCCCGTTTGTCAAAGAAGTTGCTCCATTTCTTTGCTTAGATTTAAGAAACGCGGAGTACTGGTAAATGCTTCGAACTTCTTCAAAGGTGGGAATCCTGCAGTTGACAGATTCCGCGTACCCTTGAAGCTCATTATAAGAAGCCATCAACGGCCAATTAAGCGCCCACTTCAATGGTACAGGTCCGAAGACAGTGCGAACAGCAAATTTCTCCAGAAACTTCTTGGTCGCGCTGGTGCTTGATTGTCTTACCCCATTGGTGGAATAGCCATTGCAACTGTCATAGCCATTCCGTTTAACATCACCAGTCTTTGGGGTTAGGTCAATCCATGTCGCTGGTATGGTTGTGATGTGATGCTCTTCCAAGTATGTTGCATATTCTCCATTTGTAATAGGCCTGGCTTGCGCAGCAAAGGCTGAAACGTTCACGTTTCTCTTGGGCTTTTCATTATCCCAGCTGAAGGAGTGCTCTGGGATAACATGCTCGTTCGGATCATCTAAGCCAATAGATATCTGCTGCTCAGGAATTGTAAACCATGAGTTCTCCCTTGATTCTAACGCGGATTGGCGAGCAAGAGACTCAAAATTCGGTCGGAGAACTCCAGGGGGTGGTAGAGCCTTGTCACTCTGCAAAAGCATGTATAGGAATGTTTCAAGATGCATCGCTTCATGCTCGAAGCCAATCCATAACGCCTCGGCCAAACGGCGGTCCTTCGTTCTCTTCTCTAATAGAGCGAGTGTTCGGCTGCGAACTGCATCTCTGTAAGCCAAAATCTCTCCAAGGGATGGCCATTCGCTTGGGATGTCGGAATGATCATGGCAAAGTTCGGGATTATCAACATCTGGATCAATACCCCGCTCAAACATCGATTGGAAGTGCTTGGGTTCCGTCGGAGTGCCATCCGTGGCTCGTGTCAGGTGAATGTCTATTTTGGTCTCAGTAATACATCTCTGAAATGACTTGGAAGGTCTACAAATTTACCAAGAAAAGCTGGAATATGCCCAAGGTAAAAAATCAACGCGTTTCTTAACCTAATCGGCTTTGATAATAGGTCATCCTGCGGAATCATGGATAAAGTAACCATATCCCAGGTCTTCCAGAGGTTCTCGAAATCTGCGACATTGGGTATTACATTCTCTGCGTACTGCGCTGCTCGAGTTGGCATTTCCAGGGCGCAAGACGACAGAAGATGAACATCTATTAAAAAAGTTAACCGCAGGCTAAATGGGTTTCAGCAAACAAAACGCGCTCACTAGAATGCCCTAGAGCCGGAAATGCATGTGTTTCAAGGGTTTGGAAGCAGCCAATACAATGAAAGTGAAAGGCAGAAACGTACAATATTCACCGGTGTTATTTCCAAACTGTGCTATTGGTGTTAGTCCCGCATGTTGAAATAGGTCTTTGCAGTCCTTTGGCCCATATTTGAAGGCCTGCTCGAAAAATATCTTTTCACCCTTTTCAAGGACCACTCCATCGAAGGTAACATCCTTGTTAGGGACATAATATGCCATATGGGCCCCAGTCACCACATCGTAGTGACCAGCCACGCCCCAATCTTCCTTTTTGAAGGCTTCAAACCCGAGAATAGAATTAGCGTGGGAAAGCCCTGTCATATAAAAGTCCCTGGTAACGCCCTGACTGTCGTTGTAAGCCTTATAGACCCTTTCAGGATCCTGACAGGAATCTATTCCAATCAGCATGGAGTCGGATGGCCCGAGCATCTTGGAAAATCGGTTCAAAAACTGCGCCGCTTCTGGACGAGTGAAATTGCCAATGGAAGATCCCATGGACAAAATACAAGTCGGATTTCGTCTATTCTCCGGCCTAGTCAACCAGATGAGAGCATCATCGTAGGTGCCGTGGAGCCCGCGGCATCGAACATATTTATAACCTCCCTGAGGGATTTCAGCGAAGGTCCGGTGAAGCTCCTCTCGGGATAGATCCAGAGCGAAATATTCAACTGCTTTTTGCTTTCGTTCAAACTCATCCAACAATATCTTGATCTTCCGAAGATTCCTAGAAGTATAGTTAAGTAGATGTCACGGGGAGAGGCGAGTTTTGGGCCCGTTCATGTCCTCGCTTGGAAAGGTGGGTGGGAAGGAGCATACCCGCTACCCAGTTCCAACAGCTGTGCATTTTCCGGGAGTTGGTTGACAATCTTGGCTGCATGTGTGGTCAGGGCCTCGATCTCGGCGTTGGTCAAATAATACTCATCCACATAAGTGATATCTTCAAACTGACGAAGGCCTTCGGTACTGTAGAGGAGGAGGGTTGGTAAGGACTTTGCGCCTCCATGCGAGGGCTTGAGCCCTGCGTAGATATCGTTGACCAGTGAGTCCTTGAGGTCATTTACATGGATGTCCATGATAGGTACGTTGCTCAATTTGGAAGGCGCCATTTTCGCTGAAGATTGGAAAAATATATGCTGTAGAATAGTTAACTGCAAATGAAATAGGGAAAATGTGAAGATGATAAAAAAATCCTGTTGTTCTGCGATCAGGGACGGAGAAAGATGATGAAATGTATGACAGAAGCTAGTGGAATGGATGAACCTTGGTAGGCGGGTCACACACACCCACATATATATATATATATATGGACTTTAAACCAGGCTCAAAATTCCGCACTGCTTCCCCAGGGAGCTAAATCCAATGTGAGTTTAAACGCTTTTGTCAAGGCGGAGATTTCCTCTTACATGTGCCGTCAGCCGGGGTGTGGACGATTGGAATCAGTCTGAGGGTCTGAGGGGGCTTGGGTCTAGAAATGAAATTAGTACCTGAATATCGGCTGAATAGAACGGTCCGTCGTCCTTAATGGTCACTTTACGGGGTCGAGTAGCAGCTTGCCGATGCTCAGATATCGTCCGCGATGGAGAGGGATGAGGAATAATTTAGCTCTGGTGGTTAGAGTTTCGTAGAGCAAAAAGCTTTCGAGGTAGGTTTATATCAGCCTGCTAGCTATCCATGTTTCCCAAGAAGCATAGTGATGCTCTGACCTGCTCAATCGCGGATACGCTGCCTTAGTCTCCAAACTTTCACCACACCGATGACGTAGAGTGAGTTGCTAGAACCTGACCATCGCTCGCCTGGAAACGAACAGCAAATTGGCAGAAGGCTAGGGTTAATTAAACGGGGCAATTGGGAGAACGTAAGCATCCTCATCCGGTTCCTAGCGAAATGTTGCATTGTGGTCAAGTCCATTGTGGTTTCTCCGCTTTTCCCGTGCTTTTTGATATCCCGCTGCCAGGTCCAAGGATGCGGGAAGCATGCGGGAGTAAGACCCATTGGATGATGACGTTGGAACCTGGAAAGTATAAGGTTGATAGAGTTGAACGCTAATGTAGGAGTTGTTTGCATCGTTTGCTCTGTTTGGCTCGTTTAGCCTGTTTGGGCCAATTTGCGCTGCTTGCAAACATCTGTGGCTTCAAACCAACCATCCTTCATATCATATCTCCATAAGAGCATCCCCGTCCTCGTGTTCGAGCTGTTGATTACAACAAATGCTCGCACACTGCTCTTTCTGAGTCATACCCCTCGCCATTATCTCCGCTGTTCCGATTTTAGCTGTTCCGCCAACTTCCGCACCATCAGATCAGTGGTAGGATTCGGATGCGGAGTCGGAGTCACGGCAACAATTTCGATATGAAATGACAACTGGTGGATCTGGGAGATAGAGCTGTTATACTGATATTGCGTCTGTTTTCGCGAGCGCAGCGGGCAACCAAGCAAGTTGTCTTTGTCAATGAAGATCCTCTCCCGGACAGGCCATCCGCCGGCATACTGGGCATTACAAACAACCCTCAGCTTGGGTTGATTCACTTGCCCCGTGGAGACACTTCACCATTCGGTCACGTATGTTGGAACCGATTTCCCCTTGATCAGAAAAATATATTGCTTTGCATCCCAGAAAACGGTAAAAAGGCTCTGGAATGAAAACCTTGAAAGGTCGGCCAGAAATAATTTTTGGTGATAGCTTGGTTCCTTGTGAGCTCTCCAGCGTTGATCTTAAAGCCACATATAGGCGAACGCCGGAGGGAGACGCGGGCCAAGCTCAAATACGCAACATCTATCATTCGATGAACGTCTTTAAATTCCTCGCTCGAGTTTGGCCTGTATCCTACTCAATCGGCGATATTAAAGGACCATGTAGCTAAGCAAGTGCTGTCTTTGCCTATCAACACCCTCCAGTTATAACGGCAAAGAAGTCATCGTACTGCTACTGTTCTCATTTGACTTTGTCAGCCATGAGTTTAACTTGTTCGCGATGGGCTGAAGACAAAAGATTCTGTGGACTTCATCTTCAAACTGCCGCAGGTTTCAATTCTTGGAGCCCTTAAATCCTTCTCTTCTCACCCTTTCACCTTACATAGTACAAATACCTCATGGCTTCTCCTATTCTCCTCGATATACATTGGATAGGCATGTTGCCTTTTTGAAAGCAATGGATGTTACCATTTACACTACATTGATCCGTGATTATGGTCACTTGACTACCTATGCTTTTTGTACATGCACATCCAGATAGAATTCAATGACAATCGCTTAGTCCATGAGCAGTATATTGTCGCCCTTAAAACGCGCTTAATCTTACGCTACAGTGGACTTGATTTTCCAGTAGGAGGAAGATAAGGGAAGCTCTCCGAGCATTTGTGAAAAATCAAGACAATGCCAAATTAATATGTCAGTGTTTGTTGAATGTTCTATTCGGGAAAGGAATTTTGTTTTGTCTTTCTACTTTTTTCCGCATTGGGCGGTGCCCTTTGACAGAGCTCAAAGAGGCGTTCAAACAGCTCTTATGTTATGTCATCATAAAACCCTAGGTGATAAGATGATTACCATGTCTATCTGCGATGCCCTGATGTCTGTATAATGCTTCAATCTCGGGAATCCATGGAGAACAAAGTTATAAAGAACCATGTCATCTTCTTCGATAATGCCCTGGTTTTTCTGGAACTGAGCCATTCAACTTGCTGATGATGAGGTGAGCCTGCATTGTCTGCTCCCAAGTGGTGTTGATCCACCCAACTTTGATACCTCTGTCAGGTAAATGTCAAGACTATAGCTGCTGAGTCCCATTGAATACAACAAGCTGGATTTCCAGTGAGCAGTGGAATCTGAAGGGAGATGCCGAACCATGTGCGTGGTATTTAACGCGAATTATATCTTTAATAACGAGCAAGCTTTCCACCTTCCACATCTTCCAGGTTACACCGTCTTTGTTGTTGTTTTCCCCATCCTTCCCACCTCTAAACAGACACCTTTCGCAGAGGAAACTTCCTACAAATTGTCAAGCGTCATGACCTCAAAGTGGTCTGCAATGATTCTACGGCAGAGATGGTTTTCGTCCCAATCTCTCAGGCTCTTGAGAAAGCTATTCAGAGCTATCCATTGTTTGATGAGCCTGCCCTGCCGGCCATGGTTTGTCTCACCTCGTACCAGCTGGTGACTGCTGGGGGAGTTGGATGCACTCAACTCTTCAAGAGCTGTCAAACAATTCTGTCCTCTGTCCTGGAGAGCGGCCGCAAGTTCTTCAAAGTTATCCTATTTCTATAGGCTAGTAACTAACATTTAAAGGGTTGGGGGCCCTTTGTTTGATGTGTTTGATAGAGGCTTGGTTATGGATCCCTGGATGGCTCCCTGTCGCTATATCAAGTGGTATACACTATTTCGAAATTCTCCCAACCACTGAACTTATCTACTGCTGGATCTGTCACCATATCCTCTGATGGCGATGGCAAGTCGACCTATATTATGCGAAGTGAAAATCCGGCGATTGCGGCCATCTTCTACAATCAGATGAACACTATGGATTATGATTTCATTAAAGAGAAATATGTGAACCGGAAGTTGATATACAAAGATGGCCCCTTCAAGGTATGTTTTGAGTCTTTTGCTGTTTTTTTTCTGTTAATCAGACACTGACATTCACTCAGACCACAATTGTGACTACAAAGTCTGGCAGAGTTCGTGTTTTTAAGGCGTCTTGCAATCCCGCGGATGACCATCTCACCTTGACCTATACACTGCATGGATTTTGGGATCTCAGCATGTCCACTTACAACAAGGCCACAGCACAGAATGTTGCCAAGTGGCTTCTTTGCTACCCGGATCCTGCTCAAACTCTTCCCTTGAGAGGGCTGTGATGTTTCTGATGTTTTTCTTCCTTCAGAACCTAGAGAGGTAAATGATGATTTTCTAGCAGGCTCAGAGAATCCATACTAGAATTAATCTGTAATGGTGGTATCATATTGTGGGATTAAATTGGCACTGCAGAACGCTCGGAGTCAGTTCAATTTAAATCAAAGTTGCAGGGATTTTTTTAGCCGCACGCTCCCATGGTAGGATTTTGAGCTGTTTGTTTCTGTTGCTATCTTAGTAGTTGGCTTAGCTTGTTTCCCCATAACCAAGTCAACGGTACAGAAGCTTTGGATATTATTATCTTTGTATTTAGTGCTGAGCGTTTTCTGGCAACTATTGGCATTTAACACTCGGTTTTGTCGACTCTGAGCGTCAGTTGATGATAAGCCAGAATGGAGACAGGAAATTACTCCAGTCCTCACCTGCCTTAGTTCTTCTCTCCCAGATGGGTTCAGTTGCCTTCCTAATTCGAGTTAGTGGTTACAGAGTGAGTGTCCTGTATATCACTCAGGTTATAACAGACTTGTACATGTACTGTACATACATAAAGATACCTGGGTAGCAACCATGATGTCACATGATGGATACTCTCGCTTCCGAATGTCGAAAGCAGCTCCATATACAGAGTACATCAGGATAGTGTCACAGAATAAATCATGATAAATCAATACGGAAACTATTCCGATCTGCCGAAAGGGATTCCTCTGACAAATCTTGCGCGGTTTGCTTTGGTTAGGCTAAGTTTATATCGTCCCCGCGATCTTGGTCCACATTCCGGCTCCGCGAACTATCAATAATCGGCGAGCCACGAACCCCGCCCATGTATCAACAAGACTGAAGCCGCTCCCAAAACCTCCAAGTTCATTATACATTTGGTAGGGTCATATCAAAATAATATCTAGCTCGCTAGCCATAGTGAAAATGTCTGTAGAAACTTTGACGACGATTTCCCCGATCACCAACGATCCTATCCTCACCCGCCCAGGGGTATCTCAACAAGAGCTTACCTCATTGCCCCAAAAGGGGCAGGATGCCTTCCGTTCCTTTTCACGGTCAACTACCCTAGGTCAGCGCCAGGAAATCGTTGCCCGCGCTCTTGGACTTCTTGCAAAGAAGAAGGATATCCTAGCTCGCGAGGTGACGGAGCAAATGGGACGCCCGATCGCATACACAGGCGGCGAGATTGCAACAGCGATAAAACGAGGCGAGTACTTGAATCGTATTTCTTCCACTGTGTTAGGAGACGAAGGGACCATAGATACGGAGGCTGAGGCTGGGTTTAAAAGATATATTAAGAAAGAGCCGGTTGGGGTTGTGCTAATCATCTTTCCATGGAACGTATGTGACAATTCACCACCCCGCATTGTTAAGCCCCAATCCTTTTCTTATATTCCATCGGCTACATTTGTTGATCGAGTATATCAATGCTCTATCGCCTCCGTCGCCTTTTGCTCTTGCTAACTATCCTATTTATAGTACCCGTACCTGGTCCTCGTCAACAGCCTGGTTCCCGCCCTCCTTGCCGGAAACGCCGTTATTTTGAAACCCTCACCACAAACGCCAACAGTGGTGGAACAAATCGCTTCCATTTTCAATGAAGCTGGTTTACCACAAGATGTTCTACAATATTTCCACTGCGGTTCTCCTACCGACATTGAATCAATTGTTCGGTCACCTCTCATCAACCACGTCTGCTTCACGGGGTCTGTCGCCGGGGGTCTAGCTGTCCAGAAGGCGGCTGCAGACAGGATTGTGAACGTTGGCTTGGAGCTTGGTGGAAACGACCCAGCATATGTCCGCAGTGATGTTGATCTCGCATGGGCAGCGGAAGAGATTGTTGATGGTGCGATTTTCAACAGTGGCCAGAGCTGCTGTGCAATCGAAAGAGTATACGTTCACGAGACCATCCACGATGCGTTCGTCCAAGAGGCCAAGAAAGTCCTAAGCAAATACCGTGTGGGCGATCCGTTTGACGAGAAGACACAGATCGGTCCGGTAATCTCGAAACGAGCGAAGGAGGCCATTTTAGCCCAGATTGACGATGCCCTCAAAAAGGGGGCAGTGGATGAAACGCCTTCGAACTCGACGTTTGACAACCTTCCCAAGGCTGGAAACTTTGTCAAGCCCACCCTGTTAACCGGTGTGAACCACAACATGCAAGTGATGGCGGAAGAAACTTTTGGGCCAGTTATACCTGTCACAAAAGTCAGGGATGACGCTGAGGCGATCCGGTTAATGAATCAAAGCGATCTGGGCCTGACGGCGAGTGTTTGGACAAAAGACGTTGCTAAAGCCGAAGAATTGATCCAGCAGATCGAAGCAGGAACTGTCTTCGTCAACAGAGCAGATTACCCGAGTCCTGTAAGTGGATTGCAATTGCAGAGAGGAAAATTCATCCCCTTTCCTCCTCTCCAAATAATTCCACCCCAAGCCTCATCAACTTCAAGTATGATCCTCTGACATAACTTTATAGGACCTTGCATGGACGGGATGGAAAAACTCTGGGCGCGGTGTGACATTGAGCAGGTTCGGCTTTGATCAATTTGTCAAGTTGAAGAGTTTCCATCTCAAGGACTACCCAAAATAACTGCTTCCCTTTTATCATCCTAGCAATAGGTTCATGTTTCACTAACCCAAAACATTTCTAATGGAATTAACCAACTATGGTGAATGTAATATGCGGCATAGGAACACTGGTGATAGGAAGCTATTTTTGGAATGTACATGTACATGTACATTACATGTGTATGTATGCTTTTAGCGCCAAACAGGCTTTCCAAAGAATACCCCCTTTCAGTTACGGAGCACCTGTGCATTGTGCATGCATGCATGAATGCACCACTCTACGAGTTGCATAAAAACCCGTTCGCAGTGTTAATGATCGGTTTCGTGGCAAACGTGGGGTGAATCCATCTCCAAAAATCCACTCGCTCTGTGCGTGAAAACTTGGTGTGCAAACAGCTCTTATTCGGAGGCATGTTAACTGGTTTTGAAAGATGGTAGGTTTAAAATCGTAGATGAACATTCTCCTCCATATGACTCGTACTATTCTTTAATAAAGTCGGTTATCTGGCTCCTTCACTTTAGTCTCGATATCTCAACTGTTCCGTGAAAGAGGAATGAAGGTTGATCTATTGTCCTAAATCCTAGAAGTTGATATAGATTATATCCGCAAGTTCCTATATCATTTCGCCAACATCAGTGATTTTGTGTTGAGATATCATTCTGAGTCAAATAACGGAAGGGGGCAATGCCACATCTATCAACTTCCTAGAGCTAACATTTATGGCCTGTAAGCTGGTAACCACATCATGTTTCGAAGCTCGAAAGGTATCTAGTCACTCAACTGGCCGAGCCTGCCGGCCTCAGTTTAATAGTCTGGGTCGCAGCAGTCTATTTTTTGGCAATGACATCCCACAGGGCACGGGCATTTTTCATGGCCACGTTGATAGGGTACCTCCTGCATCGCTTTACTTCAATTGAAATTCAGGACTAAAGCTTTTGGCAGGATAGGCGAAGGGCTTTGGCGAGCTCTCGAAGGGTCGAATTCAGTTAAGCAGCATATTAGCTTATGGCAAGATTATCAAACCACCAGCCAACCTAGAAGGTCTGTCTGACGATAAATTTGAGAATAACGAGAACGCATGCCGAGGGGAGGGCGAAAGACGAATGGCAGACATAACCAGACAACAAAACTAGAGTTGTTATGTTAGGAGAATGACGCGAGTGCTTGGTGCAAGTATTCCCGGTGCGGTGAGAATACCCCCATGACAACAGTTGTCTGGAGTTGCTTGCGTTTAGTAGACCTGGGTGGCCTGGAATCTTGGCCAACTGGGGTATGCTTGAGACGGAAACCACTCGATATATTATCTGAGAACCAGGTACTCTGTAATCCGTACTCTGTATAACATATCTGCGCCAGAATCTGACATTTCCCCTTGATAACAGCGCTACAATCTCGGTCCCCGCCGCTTAGTTAGTGCCCTATTTGCTGACAGTCCACTAAACAGCGGCTAATCTAGGGAAGCTTCGGGGCCGATTATCTCAGTACCAGGGACCGATTCCGTTAAAAACGCGAGGGCCTCTTGGTTGAGGTGAGTGATGCTCAACTTCGAAAGTCAACACGCCCAATATGGCTGTCAGCTTCTAATCTGTGTTCGACGCAGGTTTAGTTCCCTTGGCATTTTGTGTGTCCGATTACGCAGCGCAGTGTTATGTGCAGGAACACGCCAATCATTAAGTTATATGTCTCCGTGTAGTAGTTAGAGTACATAGGATCACAGAAATTCGGATGCGTCAATTCCACGGTTGCACTGAAAAGGAAAGCGGAAAGCCTGATGAACACGGCGAGTGAACAAAGGCTCGCTCTTCCTTCCCTGATGTCCGTCCGGAAGCACAGCCTTGGTAGGCTTGCGTCTCTTATCAATGCTGCATGCATCCCTTGTGTCAGCCATGCCATTGCCACTGCTAGCACACTCGCCCGGGAGCCTGTACCTGACTTCTGACCATCCATGTTCGATGTCAAACGATCTAAAAAAAGCTAACAGAGCTGGTTGGTTGAACAGCCCCAGTTGTTGGGGGACGGGCGAGTTCATGCGGGACGCAGTCAGCCAACCAGAACCCCGCCGCGAAGACAATCATAGAACACACAAACCTCCCTCGCCGTTCCTCTTGCACAGTAGTATGTTACGGCTGCACTGCGACGAGTAAAACCCCGCTCGCGCTGGCGCTTTGGGAAGAATCAGATTGGACCCTTCACTTGACCAAATCGTATACAATTTATTTGGCCTGTTCCCAGTCAGCATATGGGCTGGGCTTGGTCATACAGGGGTGGAGTTGCGGCGCGGGCAAACGAGTGAGCATAATAATCATTATTAGTTAATTCATCCTGGAGAGGGGGTAGCGCTTCGTGCCGCGCCTTGTCTGTGTTTCAGCATCCCCATTTTTATTTTTATTTTTCTCATGCAAATTCCGCTCTTCGGACCTTCTTCGTTTCCTTTGAATCTCTTTTGGTTTTCAGTTTTTCAGTTTTTGCGTGCAGTTTAGGCTTGCATTGATTGTAGTTTAACATTTGTTGGATGATACACTACAAGGCCTTGCCGAGATTAAATCACTCAGCTCTGTCTTTCTTGCCGCCTCCTTTAGATTTAATTCGAAAACACCGACTTTGAATTTGTCGACATTTTATTTATTTTCTTTGTGCCATTAAAGTTCTGTTGAATTGTGCAACTCCGAACCACATAGTCCGATTTCTGTCCCTGCGCCCTTCTTCCTTGGTCGTGAATTGTTACTTCGTTCCGTGATTTTACTGGGCGAGTTTGAGTAACTCGACAACGCGCTATAGCACACGCGCACACCTTCCAACTTCCCGCTCTTATATTATCAAAGTCGCCTCCTATCGAAAACACTAAAAAGCACCGTTGTAGAGTTAGGCTTTTGCCCTCCAATCTCCTAGCTTCTGTGCCATTTTGTCAAAGAGGCTAGAAGGATAGTTATGGACTGTTTTGGGGGTCTAGTACCATGGATCAAGTCCATCCATCGACGACGGCAAAGTACCTCAAAGCGGTTGGTGATTGTGAGTATTCACAGCGCGCAGTGGTCAGTTTAGTTTCATGCTTATATTCGTTGTCTCCGTCTCAGGGTCCTCCAACAGATTTTCGGCGGGTAGAATTCACGATGCCCCATTATGATAAGGAGTATGTCGTCCCGCTGAGTTGGCTATTTGCAAATAAGCCCATGGCACCCGATCCTTAAAATTGTTGCTAAGTATTCTGAACAGAGACGCTTTGTCGGACGAAACTCCCAGTGACTCCAGCGCCCTTTATCGTGTTTCGAAGCGAGAAAAGCTTTACCACGAAGCCAAGATGTTGAAGGAAAAGCTAACCGAAAATACGGATGTGGTCCGGTTGAGACTGCTGCGGCAGAGCATATAAACTATTGTTGCCGTTGACGAGAACCTACGAATATAGGATTTTTTATCCAGGTGAAGATTTGGGTCCATGGTTGGACCAACGACATTTGATACATATTTCCATGTATCATGACTTTTCGAGGACGAACTATGAAAATAAGTTACGAACAGGTCCTGGATACGACGTTTATGAAATATTTTCATTTTGAGCAGAGGAATATACCTTTTCTTTCTTGCGCGCCTCAGAATAAGAATGTCGGGACTTCATTGAGGCGGGATTTTTTGGATTTTCCATCTTTTTCATGGCGTTTATATGGCGAGGTTTCCGATAGTGATAGTTTGCGAACTTGGGATTTGTTATTGTTGCCTTCATTTTTCGTTATTTTCGTTGATTTTTCATCTTCCGAGTCATCGAATAAACTCATTATTTTACTTGTCCGCTTTGGCGGAACAAAAGCGGCTCGTCGGTGGCTCGTCGAGTCGCCAGGCTCATGTGATACGTTTATCCCTTCTTGTGGGTCAGATCGTGATACAGATTGTGTTCTCGTCTTTGTAGACAGTGAACCTGTCGCGTAGGTGTTACTCCTACTGGTCGCAGGCCTTGGGTTCGGTGTTGGTATCTGAACTGATTTCGAACGCCGAGGCTGGGCATCAAGATCATCGTCGTCGCCGGTAGTACTTTCATCATCAATGACATGTGGGCGAATCTCTGCTCCCGGTGTCGGTTGGGGGTGCCCATCCTGGCCCCTTTTACGACTTCCTCCAGCTAAGCCAACTGGCGCCTTCGAGAAACCCAATGCAGCCCGAGTTGTAGATCTGATCCTGTGCAAGCCGACCAAGGACTTGTGCTTCATCTGATATGTCATCAAATTCTGCAACGAGGTTCCTACCCAAGGATCATCATCTTTATCCTCTTCACTTTCGATGCCCTCATCCTCTACCTCAGAGTCGACAGGGGGCCGACCAGCAATTCTTTTGAGTTCACTCAGAGCAGCCTTGTGCCTGGAAGAGTTTTCTTCGGACTGCATGTTCTTGCGAGATTCGGCACTCAAAGTACTTTTCACACCCGTAGGTCGAACTAAAGCTTTTATTGCTTTGGCGTTCTTGATTTTTGTCTCGTTTTTCTTACGCACATATTCGGCATGGTGCAAATGACGAGTGAAGCTCTGTGCAGTCGCTAGAAATTCGTCCTCGACCATAATATACTGATCATCGTTATCTAAGCCTTCTTTCATAAACCTATATGCTGTTAGCTAGCTTGAAAGCGGCCCAGTGAGATGAGACAATACGAACTCTACAGGAGGTACTTCGCATGGCGGAGAGGTTGAAGGAGTTCGCACTATTAAATTAGTATGAAGATTCAAGAAACCAGCAAAGCGATTACATACCGATCTGAGGCGCGCCTCTTGTAGGGGTTTGCACATTACCCAATCCCGATGCTGTTGAAGACGTCGATCTGGATTGCCGTTTGGAGCTACTCGCAGTGGGAGTAGTGCTTTTCCTCGGTTTCTCGTCGACCTGCCATGGCAGTGTCCGAGGCATACTGCTCAGGAAGCAACCAGAGTTCTCTGAGTGAATTCAAGAGCAGTACGATTCTAGAGCGTGATGGTACCCAGGAGAACAAAGATCAACCCATGGGCGGATCCCCTTTGAATCAATCTATGTGTAGTTGCTTTTATTTTGTAAAGTAAGCGTCGTACCTAGCAAAATACCTCGATGGTAACAATGTAAACCGCACCCATCCCGTCTACGGTAATTCTGTACCATTTCATGAGGCTCCCGCAGCTGAGTTTGAAATGTAGATGGATGAGGCTCGGAACTGGAGGTTGGGGATAAGTTTACTCTAATCTCTAATAGACCTAGCGTAAAACCTTAATATCATAGGTTGCACCAATCTGGAATTTATGCTTCGTATTCTTGTACCCTGACCACTTACGTGCCTTAGCTTTTGAATTATTACTTGCTATTTTGAGTGAAAGAGCGCGAAGAAGCGGGAGAACATGACATGCATACTATCTAGTTTTGCCTACTAAGGCAACTTCAGTGCAGGGGAGAAGCGCAGGGAAAATACCAGTGGCCCACTATCTCTTCGTGCATGTAGAGTATCACATTTCCATGCTAATACGAAAAGGGATGGGTCGAGCAGAAGGAGGCAAGAAGTCCAGAGAAAACAAAAAATTTCGTAGTATCATTGGGCACGAGCTATTCAGCTTGTCGTGCTGTTCTAAATTGCAAAGTAACAGAAACTCCCAAGCCCGTAAAATCAGATTCAAATACAGAAATACCGGAGCCTGGTGCCATTCATCAGGTCTTCCGTGTGGAGAAATCCCAACCCCAATGTGCGCCTTTCCATGTTGCGAAGATTCAAAAACGGCCACCCAACTGCAGCACAAGCTTATACCTCACCCGGGCGCTTGCTATTACAACTCACAATTTTCACCTTATCCGCATGAACAGTGGTCTGATTATCGAGCTTGAAAGTGGCATCTTTAATGAGGAATGTCCAGACCTCGTCGCAGAACCGATAGGTATCCAGATGGCCCTTCAGACGAAATAACAAAAGATTAGCCCAAGTGCTAATTCTAGAATGAGAGACAGGTGGTCGGACCGGGAGAGGTATCCTTACCTTAAAAGAGAGTCTAGCTTTGACTTTATCTGCAAGGACCTCTGTTATGACGCGATCGAAATTTGACAGTATTTTCATCGCAAGTTGAGGCTCGATTCGGCCTTCGTTGATCAAGTCATCAAGCGTATCCGTGAGGGACAAGCCAATACTAAGAAAGCGAGGCGTGTTAGCCTATATTCATCCTGTGTAGTAAGCTATGGCATGCAGTACCTGCTGCCGCGATAAAGCTCATAATATGCCTGGGCACTCATTGTTGCGGCTTGGTTGGGTGTTTGTGATTGTCACCAGATGATTCAATGGGAATGGGAGATCAAATGGATCCAGATGCTCGTTCACGTGACTATCAGTTGATCACACGTGATAGGTTTATTTCACCTTATCGAAGGATACAACTTCATGTTTTCTCGCAGCAAAAATCGGATACCAAAATTTTAAAATGTCACATTAGTGCAGAGACCGTATCTACCGCACGAACCTTCCTCTTCCGTAGGCGCCAAGTTATGCATGACATAACCCATTGTGCCTGTTGACTGCCAACGCTTTTGATCCGAAGTATCAAGGACCAGGGGACGGAAGTTTCGCAAGTCTACCAAGACTACCGTCTCGTGAGCTGGCAACATCCCCGTGGGCATAATCCTGCTCTGTGCGGAAACGTTTAACCGTCCGATAGCAGTCAATGAGACTCTGCCCAAAAGGAAGGCGAAAACAGCAGCGCTAGTTACCTCTGTACTGGAGAAGGTGATGGGCGAAGGTGGTGTATCTGCTCTGAGTTGGAGGGTGGGAAACCTACGGCCATGAAACGATCAGCTACAAAGCAATATTTTTCGATTGTTTTGACCCGACAAGATAGGTATCAGTCGACGGAATGGAACGATGCCTTGATTGCGCAACCCCAAAACTCATTTGGAGAAATATGTATCGTTGGTCACAGGGAAACGACTTTGTCACCTTCAAGCATGGGAACGTCAGTGATGAGGGGCTCGAGGCGGCTACTTGACTATCTTCGTCGGATGGTATCGCATCCCCGCACATAGCGAATGCCGCTCTCCCGTTCAACCTGTATCACATCGCCTAGTGGTAAACCCTGTCTACAAGATGACTCGACTTTACACCAGAGTCTTAAATACAACCGTTGGTCCTAACGTATTATTTTCCTGTTTTCATACTTCAACGGGAGCGTTGTCCGTTATTTTGACTTGTGGGGTGGAAGAATGAATGACTTCCACAATTCAGTAGGACTCGAGTTTGGTTGATCCTGTATCCTTCAATACAGTACGTTGACCCATCCCAATTGGAACCTTCGTATTTGGAGAAGCAGTATCTTGTCGCAAGCCCGTTATCCAAGGCCAGAAACTTGCTAACTTCTTGGCGAATACGCAGACAGAAGGCTTGCTCTCAGCTTTGCAGAGTTTTCGAATCCAGTCAGGTTCAGACAACCACATAATAATTAGGCAGACTTGGCAACGCAGCGTGCGAAATCAACAGGGCCGTGTCTATGAGTTTCACAGGCAAAATGCACTCCAAAAGACTGAGCATTAATCTGAACAACGACCAGGATCGATGAAACTTTTTTACTAAGGTTCGATACCAGATCATTTCACCCAGAAAGGCATCCTCAAAGCAGAGCGTTCGCTCATAAGAACCTAGAATTAAGGAACCATACATTTCCGTTTCTATACTTTTCAACCTTCCAAGATACATTCCGTTTGGCGAAGCAAAGTGTATGATTCTAGCCTATCTTTCCCAAAGCTCCAAAGAATGGTATCGTCATAACTCGGTGCTTTCAATAATTCCCATTGACAATCCAGAGGAGCGCAATTCCTTCCGCAAGAAGGTGGAGAATGAGATTGCGTTCAGAGTTTGCCAATTAGAAGTTCCGAATCTATCCTAAGAACACCACAACATCCAATCGCTGCTACCCGAATGAAAAGCTTCAATAAAAGTTTGGCGACTGGAGTATCAGAATTTTAGATGAATCAGTGTGGGCACGTTGACATTCATGTGGTGGTATTTCAACCATGTGAGCACGGTTTGTACAAGGGATACTGCCGTTTCCTCCATGCTTGCACTTCCCAATGCTTGACGGGATGGATCAACGTTGGATATGACATCTTTATTTCTTTCTAGTCCACACGCTTTAAGAAGCAACAAACTCTTACCCATTGTGGCTGACACTTCTGGACGAGCTTCCGTTTTCACGTCACCATACCCCATCTGCCAAAGTTACGAGGCCAAACCGCAGACACGAGGATCTGGGATCTGCACTCATCCAAACAAGATCCGAAAACATCTGAATAAATCCAGGCTTCAGTAAAATGTAAGACTGAGCTTGTCGAAAAATACGAACCTTTGGCTGGGTAGTGAACATGAGCAAACATTAGCTCGGCTCGTTGAGTATGTTATGTCTTAGTTTCGACTCAGCCTCACAAACTTAAGTCGACCTTCCGCTGGCAACAAAGCTTAATAATATGCTAATTACATCCGATTCCTTTTGAGGTGGTCAGCGTCTAAGATATCCAAGATATCTTTTTGTCAAATCGACCAAGGACCCTGAAGAGGAGCTTTTCGAAGGAGAGCTGCACCGCCCAAAACCCTGATTGAGACACATTCACTTTTGGTGTGAGCCTTCAAACCAACCGTTTCAAGGACATTTATGCCTAAGAAATCACGACGCGCTATAGAGCCCTCCATCACCATGCTTGCTGACCATGTCGACTAATATGCATTCTAGGTCTTTAGTGCAGTGATTGTATGCATTCTAAGCATCTGTATCATTGTCTGGGGGGCGAAGCACGTTTCGCAATCTATTCATGTCATGATCTTTGTTGGCTTGACTTTACCAATCCATGCCAGTTATTGGTCTAACCAAGGCGGTGCGTTGAAGATGATATTCTCCTCAGACCAGGAGATAAAAGGAGGGAAGCTCCCAGCTCATCGTAGCTTTAATGCTTTGATCCATAATCGTTATCAGACTTATCTTCGTTCCTCAACGGGCCCCCAACTTCGACAACGATAAAACATTCTCCGCAGTTTCAAATCTTTGCCCTGCTATAAAAATGAAGGCATCCTTTGGAGTCTTGTTCACGCTAGCCCTAGCTTTTGCACCCTTCAGGTGTGTTAAGTAGACATTGGTTAATGTTTGAAATATAATACTATATACTTGACACACTACGTTTCTTTGCCATATCACTCCCTTTTCATTTGAACTCTTTCATCTTGCCTGTCAACTTCATCGCCCAATCTCCAAAGCCCTCCCCAATAAAGCTAACCCCAGAGGCACGTACAGCTCCGCTAGCCCCGCTCCCGCAGATGCAAGAATCACTCCGCCGGCACAGTGCCCCGAACCCTGCTACACCCATACAACCACTGTTGACCAACCCTGCTCGGGGACGACATGCATTGTCAACCCGTGCATCAGCATCACAACCTCTACCACTCCGTGTCCAACCTTGTCATGCCCGAAGACTCCCACCGTGACTCTTCTCAGGCCATGTCCTACCACTTGCCGGATCGGGTGCGAGACGACCACGAAGTACGTGCTACCAAGTATCTGCCCTCATTAGGGTTCACAGGTGGATATTCAGATATGAAGGAATTAGGGTAGGATAACGGCCTAGGTACAATGCTGGGGCCTCTGGCGATTTTGAGCTGGTGGAGGCAGGCAAGATGTATATAGTTGTGAACATGGTGGCAGCATTGGTAGATAGTAATGGCAGTATCTGTATTTACTCCCGCCACTTTTCACTTATTATTAGTTCATATGTGTTCTAACAGAAGTACTGTAGTAAGTTTGATACATTGTAGAGATTAACCGCGCCAAGCACGCCCAGGGCGGGCGCATTCACTAATAACTAATAAGTTAAAATACTCCGTGCTTGGCACAGGTAGTTAGTTACTAGTATTCCCCTTACTTACGGATTGAGTTGAGGGGAAGATCACAACAACCAAGACATCGAGGGCTCAAGGTTGAGTGTTCTTCTGCCTCACCAAACAATCAGTTAACTGGAAGGTGGATTTAAATTACTCGGGTGAACTACAGGCTGATTGCGATCACGGTAGTCATAGGTTTGGCAGAGCCGAAGAATATCGAGCATCCCGGCTGATATTCCAAAACCAACACAAATGGATATCTTCCGAGGTTACCAGGATATCACCCCCTCTCTCTGGCCCTTACTCTGCACTCCGTGAGATGGATGCTCCGTCCTCGCATGGCGCGGATCCTCTTAGCACAACATGCCCATCCGCTCAATCCTTTCTGGAGATGTATATCAAGCTTAGGAGGAGACTGATCACCAATTGATAGTCCAACACTCAAGAATCACCTTCTCTCTCGTTTAGTTTTATTTTTAGTTTTATTTTTTTTTTGTTATCACAGCTTTGAACGCAACATGGATTCATCTTGAGAGCAAGTAAGACCCCATATGGAAGCAGACTATGCATGATCTCGCCTGGGGGCTTGGTTGAGAAACCAGGTATGTACCGAGGCGAACCTGACGCCTGGGTATATTGTGACAGGTTCTCTTATGACGAAGGTGATACCGTGTCTCTGAAAACGCATACCACGGCGGAAAAATACGACATTGAGATCATACGGGACGGATATCAACCCAAGTTCGTTTTTCTAAGGACTAGCCTACCTGGCAGAACGTGCGATACCCCACATGATGCTTACGCTGTGGGCTGCGGTTGGCCGGAGGCCCTCTCGATTCATCTGGAAGAAGGCAAATGGGAGTTTGCATTTTATCTTGTTATCATTCCCATACAAGAATTCCATGGCCGCGTCTACTAGCGCCATGGTTTCTTTATTGTCAAGGACAAACTATCAGGTTCAAAAATGACTGTGACAGATCTGTGACTTTTTATATCTCTTGCTTTCTCTCGCTTTCTGCAACAATAAGCAGTTCAGATATGAATGAGCTTCAATTATTACCTCACAATTCACATGTATGTTGAGAACTTGAGACTGTCTAGAGTTTCAAGTACATTATATGAGAATAACCTATCTGTTTTCATTGAATTGAACATATTGATCAGACATACTAATATGAATGACAGCATCTGAAAAAGAAGATAAGTTCAAGTATATCTGACTCTTATCTAAACCAATCTCAGAGAGAAGTCGGTGTATTAAAAGATATGATAAAAGAGAGAGTCAGCAGTGAAGTCTCTTCTGATGAAGCTTACAGAAATTTGAAACAGCAGAATCATAGTGAATATCAGCACTTTGAGACTACTGATTGTGAACAGAAAGATAAGAAAGTGTATAGTTTCAGTTATGACTTAGTCAACACTTGTCAGCAAGGAAACCTGGCAGCATTGAATATGTAATGATATCAAAGCATTGACTTCATCTCTAATGATGGAAAATTATCAATAGAGAGACAAGACATCTTACAGTGAGCTCTGAGCCTTCTCATGATCCCAATTCAATAGACTGATGCAGTTTGTGATACCTGCATGCAAATTTATCAGGGAACTTGAGTTTCACAATGTTGAATGTGCAAGTTGTACATACACCTACATACAACCTGGTGCTTCTCCTGGGTGCCGATGCCATGAGGTTGATCCACGAGCTAGAACTGGTCCAAGGGAAAGAAGATTTGGCATTATATATAATTATCTCGTGGGGATTTTTGGCGAATGAATGGTGAGATCCGCAACTGCAGAAAAAGACAGCGACTCTTCCATTCTGACCATGATTCTTTTAGCATCGTCTAGACGGCGTCAGTCTTGGGTGTCTGGACTTTGGCGCTCAACACGAGCTATACCATTTTGACCTACGGACAGGCTCTCCTGGTGCTGATGTGCGGTGTTGGTATCCTATTCATGCAACCATGGGCCACTAAATATGGAAGAAGGCTTCCTTTCCTCTTGAGGTCACTCCTGATCCTGATTGGTCTTGTGTTTGGGCGCATGATGACGGATATCAAACTCTACTCAACAATCAATGTGGCATTTCTAGATGATTCTTTTCTCCACGAAAAAGGGAATGCGATCAGTATATTCGTGCTCGTCATTGTGGCCGGTAACTTTCTTCCACCTCTGGCAGCAGGGTACATAGCAGATGCCCAGGGATGGGAATGGTGTTTCCAGTATCTTCTCATTTTCTTTGGACTCGTGACGCTCCTGTTCGTTTTCACTGCCGACGAAACTTCTTTCGCCAGGAACGATTTTGAATGAAGCGCGCAACCTCACGCGACATGACATGGAGCCAACACAGGCCCAGGAAAACAAGCAGGCATTTCACCATGATGCAGAGAAGGGTTCCCGATCCTTTGCCCTAATCCAAGGCTCCCACACCGGACGATCAACCCCTTCCATACCTCAAAAGAATGTCCCTCTCCAGAAGGAACCACGACGTTAAGATCGGATACTGGAGGTTAACATTTTCCATGTTCGAGTTAATCGTATTGCCGGCACCCACTTGGACGAATATCCAATTCAGTCTGGGCTGGTTTGTGGTCATGTTGGTCCTGACAACTTTGGCTGCCTTCTTCGCGGAGCCACCATACAACTTTAGTCCGTCGACACTTGGTTTGATGACCCTGGCCCTGCTAATCGGGGCCACATTCGGCTCTCTCTGGGGCGGGCTATTCACCGACTGGCTGCTTCTGCGCCTTTCCAAAAGACAGGGTGGCATTTATGAGCCGGAACACAGACTTTGGGCTTATCTCCTCATGCCTTTCGCCGGAGCAGGTGGAGTCCTGCTGTACGGCTTAGGGACAGATAACAGTCTTCATTGGATTGTCCCATGTCTGGGACTCGTCCAACTCGGATTTTATCTTAATGCATCCGCGCCGGTTGCCACGGGCTATGCGCTGGATAGTTATCCGGATATGGAGGACGAGATCGTGCAGCTCTCGAATTTCCTTATCATCTGCGGAACCCACGACTGTTGGTATACAACCCTGGCTCGAATACAACGGTCGCCGTGATAACATTATCATCATCGCAGTGTTGGTTTTCGTCATCAACCCTCGTCTACCGGATTTCAGATTTGGGGGGAACGGATCCGAACAAAGACCGCGGAGAGGTACTATATCCTCCACCATCGCTCGATGTCTGGCAGAGATTAAGCGCGGAGAACAGTTTTGTGAATCGTGGTAAGTGGGACGTAAGCTATTAGGCCAGAATGCCATGGAATCTCAATTCAACATGTAGTAGTCCAACAAACCAGAGCAAGACCAAGAACATTGAGGCTAGCAAACCCGGCCGCAGGGTAATCGTCTTCTCAAAACTTCGATTCGTGCTGTACGATATCTTCAATGCGACTCATGAGCTCGCCTTGAGATATTTCCAGGCACAGAAGTTACTCGATTTTCCACCTTTCATAAAATAAGGTTACAGTAGCCTGGGAAGTTCCTCGCTGGTCCCACTATCCTCCAGCTCATTCCGCGCAATGTGGGACACGTGACTGTAGCCGAGCAGCTACCTACCAGCGCCCACCGAACGCTCGGCCACCAGATCTATATTACACAGTTCTTCAACAGTGCAGGAAGATATTTACATTAAACATTGATCATTAATAGTACGGATGAAATAGATCATGCTATAGTTAATTTGTAAAGCCGTTGTTGAGCTTAATAATTCATTTAGGCTGAGATGTAGATATTGTGATATATATATAGTGGAATTATTTAACTAACATGATACAAACTGACAAAAATATCATCACAAAAATACTTCTTGAAAAACATGAATATCTTCAACAATTCAACTCAGATGATATAGAAACTTAGAATAAGATATAGTAGATTATCGCTTATCATCGGCCATCTAAAGGAATTGATCCTAGTTATCAAACCGAACTGCTGATCTATCTTTACGAGCCATCCCCTCACCTCGTAAAAAATCTCTATTGGACAAAATATGTTAGGGGCCACGCAAGGCTGGACCGCCCTTGAAGATTTTTAGAGCCTGAGGATGCTACGTACGAATCCATATCCTCCTCCTACATGTGCATGAACAAGTACCGACCTATCGTCCAAAATATCCAAGCTGTATAACAAAATGGGCCGGCCCTAGGGTCCATTTGTGTGTGCTTGAGAGGCTAACTTTCTAATTTTAGACCGTCCGATGCATGCTGCTGCTGCAGCAGTTCCCTTTCTGTCAGATAAATTGGTCGTGCGGCCGGAATATTTCAGGAACTTTGTCATTTTTAATCATGCTTGATTAAACTCCAATTCCCCAGGGCCCGATCACAGAGATTAAACAATTTAAACAATAAGATAGAAATGCGGTATCTATGTCAGTCGCCGAAGTGTTCATGGACACATGCATACAGAAAAAATAAAACTTCGCCAGAATGGAAGAAATGAAACGATAAATGGACATAAAAGGAGGGACAAAGGCCCGAAAGGGCAAGGGGAAAGGGGCAAAGGAGAGTGAGAAATGGAACGAGGAGCTTGTAGAAGCTTGTTGGGTTACACGCACCGGCGCCATAGAGAAAAACGTGATTAATAAATAGAAGCGCCAGAACTGAGAAAATTAAAAAAAAAAAAAAAAAAAGGTGAACAAAACACCAGAGGTCTCGCAACTTTTATGCAGTTATCAATCAAAGATCAACAAATAACCAATGGCAAGATGAAGCAGTTTTAGTAGGCC